CATCTGACAAAAATGTTTGATCCCCCTTTTTCATCTCTGCAAGTCATCGACCACCTCTTCGCCTCCCCTTTTTCTCCCCAGTATACATTCAGTCAGTGAAGTTTGGGATGGAGGGATGTGTACGTGCGCTTTATCACTCTCCCTCTGCTCTCTGGGGGTCACATATTTTTTTTAAAGCCAGACTTTTCCCATTTGATAGATCACAATGACAAGAAGAAACAGCATGGCGTGGAACAGAATCTGCACGGTTTTTCTGCTCAGATTTGATCCAATTTAAGTTCCAGCCTCCACAAGACATTTTGCTAAGATGATATTGTCTGACTTCCTGTTCCTCCTTTTAACGAATGACATCTTCTAAAGATCCCTTTAAATCAAATTCAGTTCATAACATTTCCCAGATATGGTCCCACAGCAGTTGAGAGCGGTTGAGAAACTGAATATGTCACTGAAATGATATAATGCTTCACCTATTGCTGCCGTCCTCAATCAAGGGGGTCAGAGGTCAAAGTTGGGTCTAAAAAAAAACCAACAACTCTGTAATCTATGTCCTGGATTTCATGTTGTCTCAGGTCAAATCATCTGTTCTTTAAATTGATCTGTAGCTCCACCTAGTGGGCATATTGGGCAGAACCGTCACACCTGTACAGCAGGTCTGTCTGTGTGTGTGCGGGTTGATGGACCCTGTTAAGAAGTCTGCACACTCTGTCCTCTTTGGCTTTGGATATTGAAACCTAATCTCAGGACAAAGAGCTCTTGATGCTCTTGATGTCATCGTAGCCAACAGCTGCAGGGATGACTGCATGGATGAGAATGCCAGAGTACCAGCAGCCTTAAATGGAGCCACGAGTCCTTGAAATGACTCTGATATTCAAACTGTGTTAGTGACACACGCTTGTTAGCGTCTGTTATCTGTTTCCTTTACCTTTAGAATGACTCAATAATATGTGACCGGCAGTGAAGGACACCTGTCTGTGACGACAGTGTTGCAGTGTCAGTGGGTTCGGGGTGTCCGAAACACTCCACCCGAAGAGATAGCTTCGAGAGCTGTGGTCTGAGAATGCAGGAGACGCATGTCAACACCAGATTTAAATCTGCCACGGTGGCACAACTTTGTTGAGTACTTTAAAATTTAAAAAAAATGTTTTTAATTTGTTTCCAGCTATCGTTCATCACATTTTAGACACAGCTCCTCCAGGTTTGATGCTTACTGTGTTTGGAATGCTTACAAAACTACCGTTTGTGCATCAATTGTCTGGTTACCTCGAATACCCTTTGTAAACGCAGTTTAAAATCATTCAAATATTCTGCCCAATATTTGAGCTCTTTACTCTTTATAAGTTGTTAACTGATTATTTAGGGGTCAGCCTGACTCAAGGAGCGAAAGCAGGTGGGGTGTCCTTTCTTTTCGGAGGGTTGTTAAGCTCAGTGATCCTCAGCAGAGCTCGGCCTCCCCTCTATCTTTAGTGAATGGGCGGCCTCACTTTATCTGGACCTCTGTCATCGAAGCTGCTGGTATTTTTAGGCGGTGGCTTGCAGTGGCAGCAGCTGCGAAAGCATTTAACGCCCCCTCCTCTCATTCCAATTCTCTGTCTCTCACGCTGTTGGACAATGACAGTATCATGGCTGGCGCATGAAGCGAGCACTCGGCTGAAACGTCATTTCCCTCTCTGACACCTGCGGCGTTGCGCCGAACCGAGGGAACACAACCAAGAGCTGACGCCTGTGATCACGGCCTGCCAGGTGTGAACGGACGATTGACTTTTCCTTACTTACTACGACTCTCAACTGGAGCCAGAATCTAGAAACAACAAGAGACGCAGAAGAAGAGCTGAGGAGACTCGCATTTCTAAAGAAGGGGCGTGCCGATGAACGCTTTGAGGACACGCTGTTCAAGGGAACCTCACTGAATGCTTTAAATACAGCGGTGAGTTTATCATTTGACTCTTTTGTTCAGGCCTGCTTAAGAAGAATTTGCCAACACAATGTTCAATGAGTCGCTGAGCCTTTTATGTCTTTACTGATAAATTACTTAGAAATATCTTACATGCTACCCGGACTGCTATAATTCAGCCAAGACACAAGCATGACCACACGATCGAAGACGGTGACAACGTGAGGGAAACAAATAGGCTAAAATGAGAGGGATAACGCTTTGCATTGGATGCTTCATGATAAAAACATGCGCTGTTGGAATGCAAAAAAAGGAAGTGGTAGACTCATTAAAAATGCCAACAATGAAAAGAGACAAAGAAGATCCAGCAATAAGGACAGAGCTGCCATTCATGCTCCACACATACACAAACCAATGAGTCAGTTTTTTTCTTTAGTGGCTGCACACTGAACGGTTTACCTGCTATGAGGGACATGGTCTCTGCTCTTATTTTGGACAGACTACTTTATAAATACACTCTTCAGTGAGTTACAGCACCAGCTGAGACGACTGCTCAAAACCTGCTTTACTAACCCCCCCTGAACATGTTACTTTATCACTGCTATTTAGATTGTGAATTTGGAGTCTGAGCTTCCTTTAAGTCGAACGCCTAACGAAATGCACCTTTTCTTCATCTTACAGCTGCTCCACCTGAGATAAGAGGGTGTAACTGAAAAAATAAGGGAAGGGACACTTCACCATGGATATTTTTGGAGGTGCTCCCCGTGTTTTGGGCTACCCCCGCCCTGTGGTAGCAAATAGCGGCTCAGATGCCACACTGAAGTGTCAGATTGGTGGGGACCCTCGTCCTGATGTGATCTGGGAACGTAAAAACATCCAGATCGTGTCTGATGAACACCACAAGCTCTCGGAGGATGGAAACGCATACCTGCTGACCATCACAGGAGTAACTCTGCAGGATGCAGGCCAGTATATCTGCAAGGCCAAAAATAGCATAGGTGAAACATATGCAGCAGCCTGCCTCAAAGTGGAAGGAGAGCCCCAGCCACAGGAAGGGGGGCAATTAGGAGCCCATGGTATGCAGCACCCAATGACAGCCAATAGAGTATTTGAAGGACACCAGAATGGCTACTGTACAGCGAAACATGGAGAACACGGGAATGACAATGGAGAGGATGAGGACAGACCCCGATTCCTCATCAAGCCCCTCTCTTTGCGCGTGGATCGGGGAGAAGACGCTGCCTTCTCCTGCAAAATGTGGGGCACTCCTCTGCCCGAGGTGACGTGGGAGAAAGACGGGAAGAGGCTCAGTGACATCTTCGAGAGTGCACACTTCAGCGTGAGCAGTCAAGATGCCGGCTGGTTCCAGCTCAAGATCTACAGGACGCGCATGCCAGACAAAGGCGTCTACACCTGCAGGGCCGCCAACTGCCATGGTGAGGCCTTGGCAGGCGCCGTGCTACTCGTGGAGCCAGTGCCGGAACGAGAGGAAGGTAGAATGTCCTCCAACGGTCAGGCTCACAGCCAGTGGTCGCCCAAGCACAGGGGGAAGCTCAGTCTGTCGAGGGTTATCGAGGAGCCGCCCGTCAGAGCGTCTAAAGCCAAGAAGTTTGCCGTGGCGGAGGGGAAACATGCCAAGTTCCGCTGCTTTGTGACAGGGAAGCCCAAGCCAGAGATCATTTGGAAGAAAGACGGGGTTCCCCTAGAACCCGGGAGACGCCACCTGATATTTGAGGACAGAGAAGGCTACTACACACTGAAGGTTCTGTACTGTAAGGGGCAGGATTCGGGACTATATGTGTGTGCGGCATCAAATGCTCTCGGAAACACCCTCAGTGCCGTTCACCTGTCCGTCAAAGGTAGGAGACCCATGCTTTTCTGCAGCATTTCTAAATGTAAAAGACAAAACAGTGCATCACTGCTCTAAAACAGATGGGATCGGTAGACAGATGGAATTCCAATGCAATTATAAATAAGTCATTGTGTCACTGATGCACTTAACCCCGAGCTGCACTTAAGAGATAATTGCTTGCGTGCATTGTTGAAATGCTTGGCGTCACCTTTTAATGGCTAACTATTATGTCCTAATCCCATCATAATGGGTTGATAATTCTCAGGGTCAGATGCCTCTTCATATGTTCAGTCTTTGGTCGGGCAGGGGGGAGAGGGGTGAGGGGGGGGGGGGGGGGTTGTTCTCCATGCACAGATTACAGGAACGGATCTTGGCTTAAAAATGATCAAGTGGTGGAACGAGAGACTCCAGCAAACTGAAATGAATTGGTACTACGATGATATGATACTGCAAACTCTTACCCATCTTACCCATATACATACACTGATTTATCTATGTTTTCACTATTACTAGAACCATCCTATATCTGTGAATCATGAGACATCCACACTTACTCGTCCTCCAGGCCCAGCGGTGCGCTTCAGACGCCCGTTGAAGGATGCAGAGGTGAGGGAGCGGGATGTCGCCGTGCTGGAGTGTGAAGTGCCCGATGAGTCGCTCCCGTCCGCCTGGTACCTGGAGGACCAGCGGCTGATGCCGAGCAGTAAATACGGGATGGAGCAGAAAGGCGCCACACGAAGACTGACCATCCACGATGTGGGGACGGACGACGATGGAGTGTATCTCTGCGAGATGCCAGATGGAGCGAAGAGCATCGCAGAGCTGTCTGTTAAAGGTATTTTATCAGGGTTACACTTTAACTTTTCCAGCAGTCAAGACTGTGATATCCAACAATCCGTGGATTTGCTAATAAGAATAAGATTCCTGTTATGTTCAGCGAAAGAAAACAAACAAAAATATTTTCTTCTTACAGGCACTATTGTTCGTAAACTTCCCCGGAAGTTGGAGGTCCTGGAGGGCGAGAACGCTGTGTTCTGTGTGGAGGTGGAGAATGAAGACCTGGAGATCCACTGGTTCAAAGACGGTTTGAAGCTCCACGAGACTCATCAGACCATCCTCAAGTCTTTTGGCAAAACTCACATTCTGGTTTTCGTCGACGTGGCCTACCAGGACTCCGGGGTCGTGACCTTTGTCGCAGGAAGATCCAAGACCTCATCGCGACTCAAGGTCAAAGGTACATAAAGAAAACACTGACCTGCATGTTAGCTTCACCAGCTCAAGGATGGTTTGAAACAATTAGAAAATTACTGTTTCAAACATTTTCCTATCAGCTACATTCTTTGTACTTCGCCCACTATTAGCCACAAGACACTCCCCCCCCATCTGCCCCGCGGGAGTGAATATGGATGTGGAGCGACCCAACAGCACCCTGCTCACATGGGTTCCTGCCCCCAACAGCCAGACCTCCACCAGATCCATCTTTGTAGTGGAGAGACAGGAAGTGGGCTCCCCAGAGTGGCACAAGTGCTTCACCTCAGAGAGCGCCGCCTCAGCCGAAATCACTGGTGACAGCGTGCCGTGCGAAGGCAACTACCGGTTCCGTGTATGTTGCATCAACAAGTACGGCCGAAGTGGCCATGTGGAGTTTCCCCAAGCTGTCCATCTGGGTGAGAAACATCCAGAAAAGTAGAATTGTACAGAAACAGTAGAAAGTTTGTGTTGTATCGAGTGGAAATCAGTGCTACCAGGAAGGTAAAACTATTTCTCCATTCTCATTAGCTCCTGGACCAAAGATCTGCAGCAGGCTCAAAGGCTGCGAGGTTGTGGAGGGAGAAGACGCTCCGTTCTCCATCGAATTGTCCACCCCAATGGTTGGAACCTGGTTTCTGAACAGCTCTCAACTGCAGCATGGCGGACGATATTCAATACAACAGTCCGGAACACAACACTCCCTGGTCATCCGGGACGCCAGCGCCACAGAGGACACAGCAGAGGTCACGTTCATAGCCAATGGAGTCAGGGATTCAGCTGTGCTCACGGTTAAACGTAGGTGTAGCAATCCACTTTTTCTTCTATTGAGCATGTGATGGATGCTTTTCTTTGGAGTTTATTTTTGGTTTTACTTTGTTGCAGCTGCTGTGATGAAATTCAGTCCCCTGTCAGACTCAGACAGCAACAAGACGGTGGACATGAGCGACCCCATTGTTCTCTACTGCGAAGTCTCCCACCCCTTCGCTCAAGTAACTTGGTTTAAAGATGGAAAAGAGCTGCAGGTGATGGATGGCCTCAACATCCAATCGGACGGGAACATGAGGAGGATTGTGATTCAGTCAGCTGATGCATCTCACTCTGGAGTTTATTCATGTGAAACTGCAGGAGATGTCATCAAATTCAACGTGACCGTTGCAGGTAAAAGGTTTTTGATGAAGTTGATCAGTTGATTTGATTATAAGTATAAATACACTATACTCATTCACATTGTATAACTATTTAAATAATTTAAAGAATAAATGAATCATATTTTTAGTCCCTAAACATATTTCCAACATCATTTATGATTTTTATATCTTTAGTAGTTATATTGTGTCGTTCAGCTCTGGTTAATCCATTCGGCTAAACCAAATTGCAATCTGAATACTTGTACTTGTAGGAGGCATCTCTGGTGCCTGTTCCAGCTGTTGACATCCCTCGCTGCCGCGTTTTTTTTCTCAGGTCCCCCGGTGGAGTTCAGGCTGCTTCCTGAAGAGGAGCTCCATAAGAGCAGCATGGAGTTGGACCCCGTGGTGCTGCTCTGCCATGTCTCCTCAGACGATGCAGAGGTTGTGTGGTAAGACGACCAGGAGCCAATTGCTGTTGACAAAAACATCTAAATTCAAAATTATCCACTGAAGTTTCTATTTTTTCGCAGTTTTGAATTGAAGTAGTTGGTTAATGACTTTCACATTTGTCTGTGTACCATTCGGTGTGTCCAAGGTATAAGGACGGCTGTGAGGTCCAGCCCACTGACAACATCACCCTGCAGGCGGAGGGGAGCATGAGGAGGCTGATCATCCGCTCTGCAGAGACCTCTGATGCCGGCAGTTATACCTGCCAGGCAGGAAACAGTAGCATGGAGTTCACAGTCAATGTCAGAGGTATCGAAACCTGTCTGACTGCCGATGAGCAGCGTTACGCATCCACATGCTGGTGAAAGTGCAGAACATGTCTCTGCGTTTTTAAAAACACACACTCACACTACATTTGATTCCCCTGCACTGAATCCTCTAACTAAAAACACAGAGCCTCCAGTGATGATCGTGGAACCGAAGGACGATATTGTGCTGGAGAGCTTCATCTCAGAGAAGATCCAGCTGCAGTGCGAATTGTCTCGCTCCAGTGGGAAGGTGCGGTGGTTCAAGGACGGCCAGGAGGTGGAGGGAGGCGACAACATCCAGCTGATGTGTGAGGGTCCTTACAGGAGGCTGACCATCCTCAGCCGCTCGGTGGAGGACGGTGGAGAGTACGTCTGCGAAACAGATGGAGACTCAGTCTTCTTCCAGCTCAGCGTTAAGGGTAAGACCGAAACCTCCCCTTTGGGCTCCCTTCTGATTACACCATCTAATACAAACATGTCTTTAACCATCGTCCTCCTGCACCAGAGCCGCTGGTGAAAATTGTTTCTCCCAGTGAGTCAGAGCTGGAACTGACTCATCCAGTCACTGAGAGGCTGGAGCTCAACTGTCAGATCTCCCAGGCGGACGCCCCGGTCCGGTGGTACAAAGATGGCCTGGAGGTAGAGGAGGGTCAGAACTTTATCCTGGAGGTGGATGGAGCCCAACGTCGGCTGGTCATACCCATGAGCACGGTGGACGACACAGGGGAGTATGTTTGCGACACTGAGGATGACTCTGTGACCTTCCTGGTCACGATTGCAGGTATAAACAAGGTGAAACTGATTAAGTTGCATTTTTAGCTTTTACTATTCTTTCTTCTTTAATGCCTTGATTCCTTACTGCTCAGAGCCACCAGTGACGCTTACTCGTCCCCAAAACACACCTGACAAACTGGAGTGTTTGGCCGGCGAACAGATAGTGCTGGAGATCCAGGTGTCCCGGTCAAGCGCTGAAGTCGTGTGGCGGCTGAATGGCAGAGAAGTAGAGGAGAGCAGTAACGTCACCATCACAGAGGACGGGCTCATCCATCGTCTGACGATTCACTGTCCCAACCCAGACGATTCTGGGAAATACACATGTGATGCTGTTGATGACAAAATTGATTTCGAGGTCAAAGTTTCAGGTAATGAGGCAACGTCAGCTTTGGAGATAATTTCTGTACTGAAATGCAATTCAAAAGACGACCACAATGTCGTGATGATGGTCAATATTTAATCCTGCATCATCAGAGCCTCCCACAAAGATCCTGAGAAAGACAGAGATTAAGACAAATCTTAGATCCATGATGTCAGACGACATTGTGCTGGAATGTGAGCTCTCCCGGGCCAATGGCGTCACCAAATGGTACAAGGATAACTGTCGCCTTGAGGGAAATGAAAGGTTCTGTGAAGAGGAGGAAGGTGCTTTCCGCTCATTGGTCATCCTCAACGCTGAACTCGGAGACTCGGGAGAGTACTTTCTGGATGCCGGAGATGACAACATCAGCTTCCATGTTACGGTGCAAGGTAAAGTTACAGTATCCATTCAATGATTTTTTTTTCACTGCTCCTCAAATAAATCAACTGGGACTTCCCCCCTTTCCCTTAGAACCCCCGGTGACGATTGTGGGCAACTCAAACAACTCTGACAACCAGGAGATGGAGGAAGGGGAAGACCTGATCCTGGCCTGCGAAGTGTCCCGTGCCAATGCCCCAGTCCAGTGGTACTGCAACGACAGGCTGCTTGCCAGCGACTCCCGGACCAACATCGAGAGCTACGGCACCCTGAGAAAAATTATAATCTCAAATGTCCAGGCATCCGATTCTGGGAAGTACGTGTGTGATGCTGTGGATGATAAGATGATCAGCGCTGTCAGGATTCAAGGTGAAAACTCACACCGAAGCCTGCAGAGATGATTATCAACATTATTACTCAATACCATTCCGTCTTTCCTTTTCCATCAAAGAGCCTGCAGTTAAGTTTGTGAACAAGGAGGAAGACGTCGTCTTGACGGGTTACGAAGCAGAGGGCGTAACCCTTACAAGCTACGTGTCAAAGGAAAGCGCTCAAGTGCGTTGGATGAAAAACTGGACGCCTGTGGAAGGCGAACGTACCCGAGCTCTCACAGAGGGGTACAAACGCACGCTTACCATTGAGCCTTTGAGACGCTCTGATGCCGGCGAGTACACCTGCGATGCCAACACGGACCAGGTCCACTTCAGCTTGCTGGTGAAAGGTTCGAATTTCGCTTTCATCTTTTCATCCGCTAAAAATACATGAAATATAATATTGCTCTTTAGTTTTTGTATATCTTTTTTTGTTTGTCAGAAATGAGAATTAAGTTTGTGAGGCCACTCCGAGACACGGTGGCGCATGCCGACGGTATGGTGACCCTTTGCTGTGAGGTGTGCAAGCCGAAAGCAGACGTCCAGTGGCTGAGGAATGGCGTGGAGGTGGTTCCAAGCAGGAGGTTCACCATACGGGCGGACGGTGTGGAGCGGAGCTTGACCATCCACCGGTTAACCAGAGAGGATGCCGGGGACTACACCTGTGAGTCCAGAGATGACCGGACCGTGGCGACACTGAGAGTAGAGTGTAAGTACGACCGCGCTGCTCTGTCTTTTCTTACGTGAGGTGACAAGTTCACAAACGGTCTTGTGTCTCTTCAGTGCCTCGGGTGGTGGAGTTCCTCACAGAGCTCCACAACACCACTGTGCTTGAAGGAGAAGATGCCACCTTCAAGTGTGTGGTTTCCCCTGAGGATGTTCAGCTGGCCTGGCTCATGGACAACGAGGCCATCCCCCTTGGAGATCGTTTCCAGGCCAACCAGAACGGCCTGTGCCACACTTTGGTTGTCAAGAAATGCCAAATGTTGGACTGTTCAAAGATTACAGCGGAGGCCGAGGGACAGATGAGCAAAGCCAGCCTCAAAGTTCAGGGTAAGGCCAACTGATCCAAAGGAGGGATAAGCTGTATTACTAGAATCAACAGCCGTTTATTGGGATTCCTATTTCTGTCACTCCTCCCTTATATTCAGAGGCTCAGGTCATGTTTACAAAGAAAATGGAGGCCGTCATGGCGGAAGAGTTTGGTGACGCCACCCTGGAGACAGAGATCAGCCTTGAGATTGGAGAGGTCCAGTGGATGAGGCAAGGGGTGGTCATCCAGCCCGGGCCACGACACACGCTGGCCCAGAGCGGCTGTAAGCGCAGCCTGATCATCCAAAACTTGAATCTGTCAGACCGAGGAACCTATCGCTGCGAGACTCTGCATGACCGGACGCAGGTCAAGCTCAATGTAGAACGTAAGATGTTTGGACAACCTCAATTTATCACTCATCTAAATTGTTATGTCAACACAGAGTTTTATCAATGTTTAATCAGTGTTTTTCACACAGTGCATGAAGATACTAAGAATAGCAGGACTAGACCTGCACCGTGTGGAAAGCTTTTTGAAACACAGCCCTGCTGACTGTTCCTGTAGGTGTAGTAATGCAATAAAGTGAGCAGGGCTTATATTTGATACACCGTTTCTTCTCCTCGAACCAGTGTTCTTTCACAGTACATTGAAATAGTTGGCTACATTGAAGAAGGTTTAGATTTAGTAATGTATCATTTGTAAATCTGGTTCCAGTACTAAAAAGTGTAATGTATTCATAAAACCCTTTGTCTCCCTCATCTCCTCCAACCTAGCTCGTAAAATCTCCGTCCGTAAAGGCCTAACTGATCAAGAAACCGTTGAGCGAGAGACCGCCTCCTTCGAGGTGGAGCTCTCGCACACAGATGTGGAGGGAATCTGGCAGAAGGACGGCATCCGCGTGAAACCCAACAACCAGTGGCGGGTGAGCACCAACGGGCTCGTCCACAGCCTCACACTGTCCAACCTCACCCTGGAGGACACGGGCACCATCGTTTTCTCAGCTGAGGGCATGCGCACCGCCGCAAGGCTCACCGTCAAAGGTAGCTACGGGCCTGTGCACCTTTGATCAAATTTGATTCATCGGGTCGTTGATTCAATAATTGGATCTGTTAACCGGCAGAGACTCCGGTGTCTATCCTGAGGACGCTAGCCGACGTCCGTGTGGAAGAGGAACTCCCGACCACTTTGGAGTGTGAATTCTCCAGACAAAACATCGAAGTCAAGTGGCTCAAGGTAAAATAAACTAACTGCAGCCTGTTATGGTCCCGTGTTCTAAATGCATGAGCAATAAATTTGTTCCTTTACTTCAGAACGGGGCGGAGCTGAAGCCGGGCAGCAATTGTCGGATCTACTCTATGGGCCGCAAGCGGTTCTGTCAGATCATGTCATGCTCCCGGTCTGACTCCGGCACCTACACATGTGACACGGGGGATATCAACACTTCTTGTTCACTCGAGGTGTACGGTTAGTGTCCAACACACACCACGTAAACTCAGTTATATGTTGTGGTGTTCAAACGCTGAAACTGGATGAATGGATTATACACCTCCACCTAGAGGTTGCAATGAGAGAGATGCTTATTCTGTTTTCGTTGATCTAAGCTTCTTTACTAACCTCACAGAGCATACGGTGGAGATAGTGCACGACCTGGAGGACCTTTACATTAAGGAGGACCAGAACGCCGTCTTCATGTGTGAGGTTTCCTTGGAGAATGTTGCTGGGGAGTGGTACAAAGATGGCCACAAGATCCGGCCCACTAGCAGCATCAAGATCCGCACTGAAGGTCAGAAAAAGAGGGTTTTGATTGATGACGGGGGAAGAATAATTCTGTTAAGATGGAAATATAAATTAGATCAGTTTATCAGTAAAGGTACCAAAGGTGTGAAAAGATGCAGCACATCTGTTAGTAGAATATCTAGAGGTGAATAACATATTTTGAGCTTCAATTTAGATTGTCTGAAGAAGTCTGTTCTTCTTCAGGGACCAAACACTTCCTACTAATGTGCAACGTCACTGCCGAGGATGCTGGGGAAATCCGCTTTGTAGCCAAGGATGTTGAATCCACGGCTTCCTTAGAAGTAGAAGGTAAGTCCTTTTTTGACTCTACAACTTTATTCTTTTAGAATGCTGGCAGCGTGAAAACCTTTCCTTTTACTTCAGAACTCCCCGTTTGCATTGTAAAACCGCTGCGAGATCGAACAGCCTTGGAGAAACACCGCGTGATCTTGGAATGCACCGTTTCCACGCCTCGCTCCAGCGCAGTCTGGTACAAGGGCAGCGAGGAGCTGGTTCCCTCGGATCGAGTGGAGATACTGGCCGACGGATGCTCCCACAAACTGGTGATCCAGCAGGTGGCTGTGCAGGATGAGGGCACCTACAGCGTTGAGGTTGGGGAGCACACATGTAAAGCCAAACTGATGGTGGAAGGTATGTTGGGAACTCAGGATTTGTTTGTAGCAATACTAATGTATTATAATAAGGTAAAATGTACTTCACTCTTATGTATCTTACCATAGTAACACTTGGCTTTCTTTGTGCAGCCCAAGCCCTCGTCATGGTCACAGAGCTCGAGGATGTGGAGGTAACTGAGCCCAAGCCGGCATCCTTCCAGTGTGAGGTGTCCGTCGCCATTAACAAGCCGCCCCTCTGGACTCTGAACGGAGAGACCCTTCTGCACGGCCCCTCGGTCCGTCTGGAAGACCACGGGAGGGTCCACAAACTCACCCTGAAACAAACCAGCGCGGACATGAGCGGCGTGGTGAAGTTTACCATGGGCAAGGCCAAGAGCAGTGCCACGCTCAGTGTAACGGAAACTTAGGGGAAGAGATAGAAAAGAAAGCGAAGGGGAGACAAAGAATGAAACTGACTTTAAAAACAGGAATTTCCCATCTCAGCCAAACCTTTCTACATTCATTTGGCAAGATTGGATAACCTGCATTTCCCATCCCAGATTTTATTTTAAAATTTAATTGAGGTTATTTAGCGTCAATATGTTACTTCAGTCAGGTTATTCTTTTATCTTTTTTTTACTGGGTCGTATATATTTATTAGCCTGATTTCCAATTGAATTTAAATACTTCATGTATTCTGATGAAAATGCTCCAAAATAAATTTTCAAAAAAAACGTTATATTGTGGCAAATTTATGTCACTTGTTTTCTGAATAAGGACACAATCAATGTCTTAACACCATACATCAATGCTAAATAAACTAATATTTTGCATAATTATTAAAATGTACCACCTTCCAACAGTCTTTGTTAATGACTGTTTTGAGTTTTTAATTTACTAGGGAAATTGTCCACCTTCCCAACCAAGATGAACAATTCAAGTATTCAAGTGTTTATCCTCCTCGCTATAATCACTCATACTACTTATAACTAGTTTATAATTACATAATAATAATTTACTTACGTTAATATCTCACCTTGTAAAAAGAGAAGAAAAAATGTAGACGAAAATATGTTAGTAGTTAAGGTTAATCAAAGACTGCATTCGAGACAAATTCTCCTGAGCAATAACGTTAATTCCTCCCATACAGCTATACAGCTCATACAAATGTGCAAAATTGTGATGTATAATCATCATATTTGTTGGAAGAGTGGATTAAGAATGTGCAAGAGGCCGAATCTCTAAACCCCCAGCCAGGTTAGTTATTTCGTTAACGTTACTCTGGTTACAGTACAAAGCTAGCTCACCTGTAACGTTACTCATCACTTTAGTTAAACAAACTTAAAAGTATAAGTTAACGCTTTTAGAGATTAAGAACAGTAATTATAATAATAATAATATTCCTTGGTGAAAAAACAACACTACTGTGTCCAGAACTGGGTTCGTTATAGATCACCTTTCTAGCAGCAAACCGCTTTCTAGCTAAGCTAGTTGGCCCTAGTTAGTGCTAACGTTAATATCAGACGCTATTAGCGGTTAGCTAACGTTAGCTCACTTGTTAGCTGCTACGGACTGATATTAACATTTATCTCAGGAAATTAGACCACAGCTAAAATTAGAGTAACTATCGTACTCACATTTATTGAGTGTCCAGAAACAAGACTCCAAATGTGAATGTTTCTCTGCGTTTGGTAGCTTTCTAACTTAGTACCGTTCATTAGGATCACAGACAAGCGTTTGCTAACAGGTTAGCTGACAGATGGCTAACTAACGGTTACTGACGCTCGTGCTGCCACCAGCCGGTTGGGACGTTAAACAAATAACGTCACTTGACTGAGGTCGCTGTGACACACTGTACAAAGTAATAAGTAATACTATACTATTCGCAGCGTCAATCAGTCAATTTAAATAAAATAATAATAAAAATGGGAAATAGGTAAATTAGTGGAAAACTGAAAAAACATATTTTACCTAGTAAAAATGATTCATATTCTAACAACACTAACTGTGATACAATAGGATTTCATTTGACAGATGCTTGTGCTGTGTTTTTTCGTTTTGAGAAGAAATGCTCGACGTAAAAAGCACTTTGACCATCTTTCATTTAACGTTTATGGGTGGGGGAAAAAAATGTTATTACATACAATACTTTTATAATTCGGCAATACAAAACAGTTCCAAAATTAGGTTACATCTATTCAATCATGAGTACAGTAACAGGAATATTCCATATATTAATGAAGATTTGTTTGCCTTATTACTGTGCAAAAGAAAATATACATATCTACTGAATGTGTAAGAAGCACAGTATCAGCAAATGGGCCCCCATACTGACAACACTTATATATGTAATCAAATGACTGATAAAAATGACTTAATGTTCCTATAAATACTCATGTTTGCCAATGAATTACAAAGAAAACCAGTCATTTGGGACATGTGATGGTGGCTACATGAAACGCACCCTATCAAAATAAAAACCTTGCCATGTGTCTACAAGAGTAAGATACTATCCTTTTAGTAATCTGCTGGTGCTTCTGTTCCATATATTGGCCTATTAATACAGGAGGTAAACAACCAGGTCTTGCATGAAAACAACAAAACTAACTGAATAAAACAAAACAGAAAATAATTGTTTAGAAACAAACTTGGCTTATTTGATTGACGAGAATTTGTTGAAACAGAAAATAACGCGAAAGCTCCAAATATTTCGGATTTAAGTGTGATCCCAGCCTCATCCGTGTAAAGTTACATCTCACACGCGATGGAGGCTTTTAGGCAAATCCACGGCTTCATTCTTCAGGCCACACATGGTATTGTCAACGCATAGAAGGAAGATAGCAAGAAGCTTGCTACATCACCATAGTCCGTAAAGCAACACAGATGCACTTTGTCGGACCCCGTGTGAGCGTTTTAAAGAAAAATTCCACCCACAAATCATTTTTCGCCCAGAATTCCTTTCCTTGGGCAATTTCTATGACTAATAGCAACTTCAGTAGCAGTAGTGTGAACGTCTTTTCCTCCTGTGATCGAGTTCTCCAAACGTTAATGTGAAATAGCATGCACACAAAAGGAAGCCTGACATTTAGAGGTCATGTTCAAATACTTTTTAAACTCCAAAGTAGCTGCAGCATAATTACGTCATCGGAGTACAACAGAATCAGACCAATAACAGACCCAGAGGTGCAAAAGTGAATCACTACTAGCCATCTTTCAGGATGGATTTCTTTTTTTAAATCTCACTTTTTGCTGTCAGACGTGTGTCTGCTCACAGCACCTCACACATCCCCGTCCCGCAAGCACATTTCATTACAGTCCTGAAAATGTTTCCAACCTACGTACCGCTTCAAAAAAAAAGAAAATATGTAGGAAGAAAGCGTTACGAGTCGATCCCGGTCCCCTCGGGGCTCAAACGTTCATCACCGTACGTGTGTGTGGGCAGACGCATTTGGGCCGTCCCTCAATCTCTAAACAATCCTTGGAAATCAAGTCTCAAGAACACAGCAGCTGCTTTTTCGCTTGCAGATGGTTTGATATTCATATTAGTGTCTTACATGGCTTAGGTAATAGGGCTCATTGTTTTGGGGTTTATATTCCGCTGACAAATTAAAAAGGCATTAGAGTGTTGTACAGTTGTTGCTGCAGAAGAACATTTTTCTCTGCCTACATCAATACAAGAATTAAATACACCATCTAATGCTGTTTAGTAAGAGGAGTCGAGTTTTAAATTGTGCTGAAATAATAACAGTCCCAGTGAGGACTATAGACTGTACTTGTAAAGTGCTGTCCAATTGTTTTGTCATTAATTCATTTATCAACTCCGGATTACTTTGATCGGATTCATCCATAACACTGTAACAATGATTCAAAACTACCTGATCAATATCGCTGTAAAAACTCGCCGGCGATCGCAAGCGTTTTTTTCTGCAGACAAATAGTGTGACATTTGACTAAATCAGGATGTGTAGCAAAGATATTGTTTAAAAAGAAATCTACAGTACTCATACACCATCTGCTCACTCAATGATGAGGCCGAAGTTCATTTACAAGTAAATATTTCCAGAATTTCCATCTCCGCTCGCTTACCGAACCCTGCACGATGTGCAGAGTCATGGCGACGGGCTTCCTGCGCGGGCTCAGCCTGAGCCTCCTCCATCCTTTCATCCCACGTCGAGCTAATGGGGACGAAGTTACAAATTACAGGGAGCGTTCTGTTTGACCAGCAGGTGGCGGCGGCGAGGCCGTTTGAGGTCAGCCGAGTCCCGAGTCCCGAACATGACCTTGGCTTGAAAGCGGGAAGCAGTCTGGTGGGCGGAGCCTGGAGCCTCGCTGGTCGGGGAGAGGGGGGGGGGGTGTGTGTATCCGTTCTTGTACGCCGTGTTGTTCAGAGCTGAAGCGAGACGCGGCGCGCCGTTAGCTGGCGGCGCCTTGGTGCTTGAGGACCGTGTAGACGTTATCCACACGGCTCAGCCTCTCGAAGAAGGGGATGAGGTCCAGCAGCTCCGTGTCGGCCATGTCGTCGAACCACGAGGCCACGGGCACCTGGAACCAAGCCGGAGACCATCAGCGACCGCGCCGCTCACCCTTTGCTGCCGACCGGCAACACGACGACCCGCGCCCCCGGCCCGTTCTACTCACCGCGTTGTCGGGGTGAAAGATGTAGGAGGCGGGGGAGTTGTCCACGATGATGACCTTGCTGAGGTCTCGACCCAGGCGGCTCAGGTCCTTGACGTAGTTGCCTCGGTGGAAGACGCAGGACTCCCGGAAGAGGCGGGAGCGGAAAGCGCCCCACTTGTCCAGGAGGTCGGAGACGGGGTCCGCGTACTGCGGCGATTAACAGAAGTACAGATGTAATACTGTAATGCGTTTTTACGGTGTTCGGTTCAGTTTTGCAGTTTTCCCTCCGAGGTGTAAATAAAAACCTGCAATTCCGCTGTAGTTGACTCACCTTGGCTAAGCTGGCGGTGAACAGGACGCACTCAAACAGCTCCCCCATTCTCTTGAGGAACTCATCGACGTGGGGCCGCTTCAGGACGTACACCTGGACGACGCAGGAATTTTTAAACCACGTTCAAACACGGGTTACGTCTGAGAAAATAACCCACATGTTTCCAACAAACCGTAACCGCCCGAGGGACCGCGGCGCTTTGTGGTGGCGTTTAACATAATCAGATGATGACGGAACAGGTCAAAGGTTTACGGCACGCATATTTAAACACTGTTTAATCAGAGTCGTGTCCGCGTCTTGCTCCCTTGGAGTTCCTCCGGCTCTCTTCCCTCTGCACTGTCGGTGGATGAGGGTAGCGTTCCTGAACCAAGTCATCCGGAATAGGCTGTGCTTGTCTGAACAAACCTATCCTGGATTACTTGAACCAGGCCCAGACCCACGGTGCGTCATCCGTCTCCAAATCACTCACTCCGCGAGGCGCCGTCCCCCTCACAGGGCGCCACAAGTTACAGGGGGAGACATTTGGGGGGGGTGGAAATGTAATGAAGACATTACCTGGTGTACTGTTCCATCTATTTCCACGGGAATGATGAAGTCTGCATTGTTCACAGGCTGTTGAAATGACAAAAAAGACATGGAGGTAATGGAGGTTTTTCACATCATAAGGAAGTCAGGTTTACATAAAATACAAGATCAAATCTGTGGCAGTCTGTGTGTGTGTGTGTGTGTGTGTGTGTGTGTGTGTGCATGGACGAGTGAATGCTCGATTGCCACGGTGACAGAAACGTCACCAACGACAACCAGATGTAGAAAGGAGGTTTTTTTTTTTTACCTGTCACATGATGTCATGTGATCACAGGCCTGTCATATCTTTGAGTTTCCTCACCTTGAAAGAGCTGTGAACTAACGTCTCATCCAGGTCTATAACCACGCAGATCTTTCCTGAGTCTTTAGACTTCACTGGAGCCAGCAGGGGCTTCACCTGGATCTAAAAAGGAAGCAAAATCAGACGCGAAATCTCTCCCACCCCCCCGACAGATTTGTATCTCTACCGTGCTGTGAATACAACCTTGGAGCCGGCTCCGTTCTCCTCCACCAGCAGGGGGGCGTTGTTGTTGACGGACGGGGGCTCGGCATGGTCTCGACACAGGCAGCAGAAGAGGCTGGAGAAGAGGCCTCGGCTCCGGGGCTTCTTGGAGGACAGAGAGGGCGAGGAGCCTGCAGAGGAGGGGGAGAGGGAGGAGGAGGAGGTCACCACAGCTCCCTCGGCAATCAGCGGCGAAACCCTTGAAATTCTGACTAAAATCCTTCCATCAGCAGCGAGATTTATGGAAGATTGCCCGACCAGGAATCAATTTGCGGGATGATAAGCGTCACGCCGGCGGCTCCATCGAGCCAGTGAGCGTAGGACAACAGTACAAAGTGCTGCCAGCAGCTTTGCTCACACTTCAGTCGCGTGCACAGGCGCTGCTGGAGCCGCGCGTCTCGCCAGCGGCTCTTGAGTAACGCTCCGATTTCAGCAGCGGACGCGGTGCTACGCGGCATTACGAAAGGAATCGTGACACCTTAAAAAGCCGCCGGGGGAAGTCATCTTTGTGATGTGATGTGATGTTTTAAAAGCAGCGGTGAGGAGGGGGGGGGGGGGGGGGGTAAGTTTGGGGGTTAGGTTTTACTTTGTTCGGTTGATTCCATCAGCTATTGTACTTCTTTCCCACTAAAAGTATCCGGCTCCGGCACATGACTGCTTTGTGATCCCCAGAAGTCTGGCATGAGCGCGTTTCTTCCCCACACTTTGTTTCAGTCCCCATCTCTCCCCCTCTCTCCCCCTCTCTCCCCCTCTCTCCCCCTCTCTCTCTCCGGACGTGACCGTGCTACCAACACACAAACCGCTTTCATTCCCTCCTCCAAATTTGTGGATTCAAACTGCGTCCGACCTTCCGCCGCGCCGGGCCCAAAACAGGAAGAGGAAACAGACGGGAATCAACGGAGGAAGCTGCTCGCCGCGGTGTTTTCTCATTCTTTGGTGGAGCCGGAGCTTGTGATGCTGTCGCGTTTTGTTTCATCCACTTCCACTTTTATGAATCGAGACGCTGCGAACGTTATACAGCGCTGAACTGAAATGGTTCAAAAGGGCTGTCTTGTATTTGTGGCAGATTATCGCCTAATAAACATAAACTTAAGCCGTAGACATTTGTGAAAGTTAATCGTATTCAGTTCCGTGTGACCTCGATCACTCCCTGATGTCCTCACCCACTGTGCTCTTCACTGCTTGCTTCACCTTTTCACTCCCGTTAGCTGGAGTATTAATGCTTTTCATACCTTGTAGTACCAGGCATGAATAATCAGCATATATTGTCCCAACACAACAAATGAAAGGGCCGTAGACGTGCGGTTCTTTGAGAAGCAGCGGCAACGTTGCAGCATCGTAAGTTGTGGCTACAAACCACGATGAAAACTACCGCCTGATGTTTAACAGACTAAACCCCTCAGATAAACATTTCATATCAAGCGGCTTTTCGTTTTCACTGCACCCACATCAGTCGTCCAGTGAGGCGGGAAAGCACGTTCAGGCTTGTGATTAAACGTTTTGGGAAATAATAACAGAAGGTTTACTGCCTCTCCACTTGGACTAAAATCCGATTTCCTCAAACTTGCTGAAAAGGAATAATTCAAAAGATGCTTCATCCCTGCGTGACTCCGATGCACTCGTGATAAGATGTTTTGCCCTTTCAGATCATCAGCTGAGGATCCATAAGCAAGTCTGACGGTATGAACATTTTCCCGTAACAGACGCTCACGCTCTGAAGGGCAGAGCTTCGGTCACATGCTTTGAGCTCCGATGCATGGAAAACACAGGGTTGCCGGTATTTTAGAACTATTCCTCAGGGCAACTATGAGACCTTTCAAAATAAAATCTTTCTAAAGAATAACAATAAAAAGTGTGCACTTCTCTGGCCTTTAAATGCATTTTCTTCTGTTGATTTCCAACCATTTTTGCATAATCCTTTGAAAACGGCCCCCATTAATGGCGCAATACAAAACCAAGCTGTACTCCCAGGTACATGAGAACTTGACGTGACAACTCCTGATCTGCATTGACAGATAAGAATTACAGAGCCTAAACATTGTGTTAAAAAAAGAGCCACAATCTGTCGCAGTGATCTAAGCGGCACGTTGAGCGACGCCTTGTGAGGTTGAGGAACACGTAAAAGATTGTCCTTCTTCTATAGACACCCTCCATGCAACCGTATGCCGACATTTCATCCAGAAACTGAAACCGAAATAGTTCTTGTGATAAAAAATGAAAATAAAAACACCCTCTGGTCATCATGACGTCCCAGTGGAAAAAGTAAACATGCAGTTTTAGAGTGGCAGCTGTTTGCCACAGAGCGAAAGCGTGGGCAAGGACGCGGTGACATAAGACGTGAGGTTATTGCACAGGTAGAGATTTCTCCCGCTAATCAGACATCACCCGCAACAATACGCCTTCCACTCCCGGCACAGCTCAGGTATCGAGGTGACCTTTCCGCATGCTGGAGGTGACGTCAGACGCCGGCCATCGCGGGAGCTCCTTTGGGAATGACGACTGACAATTCACAATCGGTATCCTCTCATCGATCCGTGCACAGCGGCCTTCTCGGCAGGGCGAGCTAGTGCGGCAGAGCTGATAAGGTTGGGGTTACTTTGAGGAGGGAAATCACAATCAGGCCACTCGTTAGTTAGGGAGCAAACGGAGGGTCACCGTAGTGAAGTAAACAGAGCCAAGTAGGAAAAGCGACATATGATCATCACACTCATGACCTTACTTTAAATACGCACGGTGCCTTCAAATATTCCCATATGATGCTATTATGGTTTATGTGTGTGGTCAGTGGTGACTGGAAGGGATCCTCGTTTACGTCATTTCCTTGACTTTGACCCCAGGCCGGAGGCCGCAGCCGCAGTCCACGCAGGAGTGAGACGCTGTGACAGTTTCAGGGCACTATCAGCGGACACAAGTTGCGGTGTAAATGCAGATGTTGTCGCGCACGGTTTCCGAGGTGTCGACTCAACGGAGCTCTGCAAAACCTTTTTGTTTTTTTTTGTTTTGACGTGAGCGCAAAAACGCACAAATAAAAAAGGACACCTACCCCGCTCTTCTGCGGCTTTGTTTTCCTCTTCATCCCGGCTGACTTGGGTGATTATTGAGGACGGACTGTCCATCACATCCAGGTCTGGTTCAGAAGTGCTGATCTCACACTTTTAAGTTACGGATAGTTCGCTGACTCGGTGCATTAAAACCAACTCAACATGTACGAAAACGAAGCCGAAGCACCCCAGAGAACATCGCAACAAGTCGGCCTACTGCACGGCCATTTCGCCTCGGGTGTTGTGGTCCGCTCGGGACACCGACACAACAACAACAAAAACGTGTGAAACTCAAATGAAAACGCATCTGCCGAGGAGGTAGAAACTTTGATTCAACATGGAGCTCAACTTCGCTCGCAACTTCAAGATACAAACACGGAGGTTTCAAGGCTCCCCATTTCCCTTAAAGTGGCGCACTAGGGGAAAGGCCGTGTGCAACGTCGCGCCCTCCTCCGGCGCCGACGCGTTTGACGACAGTCCCTTGTAGTAGCACGAGCGAAAGTTGTTCAAAACTTAGCTAGTTAGCTAAACTAGCCGGATAGCTTATGGACATGTTACTAGTCCAATTTAACGACTGACAGACACAAATGTACACATTTACACGGATATCGTTGGATATTTTGGTCCACAAAATGTTAAAAAATAACATTACAATACTATCCTAATGTTAAACGATTAAATACACGATGTTATTTACGAACAGGCTACATGTAGCAACATCAACTAACTTTAGCTGACGGTTACTCCTGCGGTACCACTCGGAAAGCGATACCATGGCAACGCTTACACCGTATTTGCAACATCTGGACATGTATGTAGATTTGTGTCTGTACTACTGTATTTGTTGTGTATCGGCCATTATTATTGAAAAGTTGCCCAACATAAAACTTTTTAAGTAGAAGTAGCCGTAGCGAAACGCCCAGTTCGGGTCCCCTTGAAACCGCCTTGATCCAGGGACCGTCGATAAAGTGCCTCCTCTGTCTCCAGTGGGTTTTCATTTCTCCCTCGAAATACAGTAGCGGGGTTAACAGTCTGACCGTTTCAGAACACCCTCATGTTCTAGTGCAGTTTGGATCTAAATCGTTTGTAAAATAAAGATGTTTTGTATAAATATGTTCCTGTATTTGTCATATTTTGTCATAGATGTGCGTTTTCCTTCCCTTGCTATTATTGGTTATTGTTTGGTGCAGGGAGGATAAACACATTTATTTGGGTGATTGAATCATGTACTTTAATTATCTATACAAAGAAGGCAATAATTTTTTCTTTCAATAACGGTACTGCTGCCTCATCTGCCTCTGTCAGTGTGCCTGCCTGTAAACATGACCGGGAGCCAGCATAAACTGACACTAATATTCCATTATTTATGCTCTTATTGGGCAGAACACTTTGCAGTGTGTATTTTTATAGCAGCAAACACCTTTAAAGTAAAAGAAAAGCACTGAATGATTTATTATTACCCATGACCAAAACTGCATTCCACAAAGCATCTAACTTTTCCCAATTGTATCAATGGTTTATTACATAGCTTCTCATAAAAACGTCTTCAACTTTTTCCCCACATACAAACACAGCAAATTGGTACATTTATAAATCTTCAAACGTTCAAATTGATACAAAAAGGAACACTGTGATAGAACAACACACGACACGTTTTATTATTACAAGACCGCGTGTACTGTAAGGATCTAAATGAGTCTGTTGGAGTCGAACATTTCTCATTCCATTGTGAATCATTACTACCAGAGACACATTTACAACAAGAACTTTGGATATAAATCCGATTTAGGCACTGACTGGGTGATCATGATCTAAACAACCCAACCAACCGACGGGCAATGCTGAGAAAGCACAGCAATTAACCAGTGGATGACTTGTCCGTGTAAAATGTAAAATCCACATTACAGACTGCTTTTCATAGTTCATTACAACCACCGAACGAGAAAATTTACCAAACATTCCTAGCGCTCCCTAAAATAGTTAGTTTTATTCACAATCACAAAGACACTCCTTATTTTTATCTTCTTTTTTTCAGCTCGATCTGAATTTTAAAAAGTGATTTAAAAATGATCCCGCACACAAACAAACCCACTCACACATGCAAATAAATTAACATGTAAAAAGTAAACAATTTCAAGAAAAATAATTATATTTTTGGTTTTAAAATGTGTAATTAAATGCAAAAATAAATTAGCAGCATAAACCATGGTACATGAGTTGTTTACTAATAAATTCGGTGACACAAACAAGGCAGAATAAAAGCTAATGAAACAGATGTTCCCGGGCTGATCGTGCAGAGTGGAACACGATGTTTTTCTAAACTGAATATTAATGTGCACTTTCAGAAATCACTAGGGGCCAACCGGGGTATTGTGCGATCAAAGAACCCCCGTGTCCTCGCAAGGATGAACAACCCGAGCAGGTTCCTCAATTCAACGCGTCTCCTCCTCCTGCTTCGTTTCATCTCAGGGCCCTTTCGGCGTTGGATTCTCCAACAACACATGGATGTTCAACCCCCTCCGAACCCCACCCGGTGCCAGGCGGACATTTTTCCCTAGAGGGGCATCGCTGCGTTTTTTTCCAACCCACCGCCGCCTCATTTGGGTCCGGGGACGTGCGGCGCGCCCCCGGTGCTCCGGTGGGTGCGCAGCGGCATCCTGTGCTCGGTGGCTTCCTCTGTGCGCCTCCGCTGCCGCTCCACCAGGAACTCTTTGAGTCGGGCGGAGGTGAAGGTGAGAGTCTGCCTCCTCAGCTTCATCAGGTACGAGTCCTGCAACCAGGCTTGGGTGAAGCAGTCTCGCGTAGTAGGACGCGCCCTGGGGGAGGGGTAATTTTTCATTACACAATGTAGATAATCATATTATATATATATTTTGTTGACTCTCACCATGGGTAACTGCTCAACGTCTTCTTGAGAAAGGCGGAGGCACTTTGGGACACATTCTGGTAAAGTTTAGAGGGGTCAAACTTTGCCATCAGGATCTTGGATTCCACTTGTAGGGGGTCCTTATCTTCAAAGGGCAGTCGACCACTGAGCCTGATCACAATCACAGGAAACACTAAGTTGAGCAGGATCAGTCCATAATGTGACAAATTAATTTGTTAAATGTGGTGCCTACTTTACGTTATGATGTTGAGTTAGTGATTAAAACACACAATTCTCGACGCTGTGTTTTACTGTTATTTGTTAGTCCTGTGAAATCACATTAAATGAATTCCAAAGAGACGTCTCACACGTACATGATGTAGGTGACAACGCCAACAGTCCAAATATCGGCAGGAGGACCAACCACTTCCCCTTTAACCATCTCAGGAGCTTTAGAGGAGGAGATTTAGAGATGATAAGATTGCCGTTGTCAAAATGTGTCTTTTTGCTTCGATCGTTCTAGTCAGAGACGACCCTCACCCATGTAGTCCAGCGTTCCCGCTGCCGAGTCCCGCGCTCTGAGGCTGAGGGGGTTGAAGCTCTGAGCGCTTCCAAAGTCTACAATCTTGACGGCGTTGAGGTTGGTCACCATGATGTTATCGGGCTTGAGGTCCAGGTGGAGGACGCGCCGGTTGTGGAGGTACTCCACCCCCTGGAGGATCTGGACCAGGTACGCCACCACGTCGTCCTCGGAGTAGCGGAACCTGTCCACAGCAAATGGAGGTTACTCGCTGGTGAATTTTCCTGCTGTGTGGTTCTGTCTGAGTTTGTGTCTGTGGGTGCGAGGGGACGCCCCCGCCCTCCTACCTGTCGATGAGGCTGTGCAGCAGCTCTTTGCCGGTGCAGTACTCCGCCACCAGCACCAAGCAGTGCGGCGTGACGTAGGCCTCGTGTAGAGCCATGACCTTTTCGCTGTGAAGGGATTTCAAGATCTCGTACTCCTTCAGGACGTCCTGCTTGTTCTCCTGGTTGTAGGGAATTATCTTCGCCATGTAGATTTTGCCTGTCGCGTTCTCGCGGCACTCTCTGACGACCCCAAAGCGACCCCTGGCAAAAAAACAAATAAAAAAACACAAGAGAACGAGAGTTCTTTATACACCCAGTCTGTGAGTCTAAATGAGGGATGTTTGTAGAGATATTTATCAAACATATCATGAGATTTAGATCTTTTAGTTTTAGATTATTTTTCAGTATTATGTATGATATAATGAGACTTTTATCCCACCACTTCGATTTATGGTAAAATTATTTTAACTGAAGGCCCTGAAAGCCAAACATTTGTCCTGCATTTAAGTTAAATTAAAAATTTGTAAGTAACACGAAAACCCCTCAGGATCATTTCTGCATGGTGGAATGTCTGAAAGTGCATAGCGGCCATAAAGCAGAGCATAAAAAGGATTAATCAACTCAGCTCAGTGCGCCTTCATAGACTGGCAACATCTTATCTGGTGAGTAAAAGCTTCCCGCAGTGTCAATATAAAACAACCAATAATCCAGAAGAAGGAACCTACAATGGCCTCCGTCATTTTCAACATTTGAAAAAGCCTAAAACACGCGCCTAACCACGGCCTTCCGCCTCACCTGGCTTTCTCCTCCAGGAAAGTGTACGGCTTCTGTGGAACCCCCTGGCGCAGAGCAGCGGAGGGCGTCGCGCGTCCTGATGGGGTGCTTCTGGTGGGGGTGCTGACCCCGTCACCAAAGGGGCTCATGCTGGAGGACTGGAGCACTGGTGGCGAGAAGGAGACGGGAGTCGGGGTCACACGGGCGGCGGGGGCGTATGTGGGCACGGAGGCCACTGCTGGTTTGACTGGCGTTGTCGATGGCGGCAATGCTGTTGCATTCTGGGTCATAGGCGACACCACGTTGACTGGACTCTGGGGCTTGGGGAGGACGAAGGGTGGAGGTGCTTTGACTGGGGCTGAAGGGGGGTGAGAGGAACCGGTTTTCGGGCCGTCTTGGAGGGCCGCAGGCGGCAGTTGGGCGTCAGAAGGCAGAGAGGGTGGAGTTTTAAGGGGCGGAGGTAAAGCAGCAGAGGAGGCGGCGGTGGAGACGGACGCGCTGGGAGCAATGCTCTGGACCGGCTTTACTGGAGGCACGGCCGCGGGTTCGGGCGGTGCCGGGACCGTCTTTACGACGGCCGTGGGGGGCGAAGCCACTGTGAGATAATGAAATACAACCTTTAGTCACCGCCGTTACCCAGCATGTTGTGATGGAGGCTTCCCGTGTGTGAAGTACCTGTCGAGTCCAGGCTGACTGGAGCAGAGGAGCCGCTGTACGGCCCCTGACCGGCCTTGTTGTTGCAGGAGACTCTGAACCTGAAAGCGCCCCCTGCTGGCAGGTCGGTGACATTGTAGTAGCAGTCCACAACTCCAGTGGCTACGGTCAGCCAGTTAGAATCGCCTGCAGCACAGAGAGAGGAGGGAGAAGTGATCTTCATGGATAAAGAACAGTGGTTTGAATGAGGCATCCTTTTTACATATTTAGGTATTCATATTGGATATAAATATGTTTGATTAATGGAATTACGAAGAGAAGAAAGACAAGTCTTATGAGTAAAATGTTGAACAGGTAAAAAGGAGAAAATAATCTTGTTTTGTTCTCTGGGAGGAGAAGGACTTCTGTTTGATCACATATTGACCGCCAGATGGCAGAGTTGTCAAAGTGGCTGACGTGAAATCTCATTTCTTACGTTTGCACGGTGAAAGAGAACCGAAATAAAATGTAAATTAGAGCGCGCACAGGGCAGATCCCGGGTATTAAAACGTGTTACAAAGCCAAACCTCATTGAAGCTTTTCAAACACTGCTACCACCAAAGTACTGTCAATAATACGGAAAAGGAATGTAGTTTCAAAACCAGCGAAACCACCTTCAGACCAATTCATAGTAATGCATTTCACAACCTGCTCTGAGCTAAACTGATGAAAGAATAAAAAAGTGACGGGACTCACCTTCGGTTTTTCTTTCAAGGGTGTAGCTGCATGGAGACTTGGTGTCTGCTGGCTTCCACAGCACCAGGGCGGTGTTGTTGTAAGTCTGAGGGACTTCAGGGGTTCCGGGCCGTTTCGGGACACCTTAGAAAGAGTGAAAAAGAACAAATTAGAGACATGAGTTACATAGTACATTGCAACGGATAGAGCAATCACTGGTTCACTATATTAAAATGTCACGTTAAGATAGCAAGGAAGAAAAGACAAGATGTTATTCAGGATATAAAAACCCGGTCCATATGATGGTGTGGGATTTGTAGTCACAACCAAACCAAGCCTGACACAAACAGCGTGGTTCCTTAATTTGTGGATGCATTTCCCTTTCAGCCTGTGCACCGGCTGCACCGGTGGAGCCCATACATCAGGCGAGATTAGCTGTCAGGTGTTTTTTTACGCGCAGCACAGAATTATCGGAGGGGAAAAAAATGACCTCAGTGTTTGACATTAGAAGGACTACGTGTCCCCGAGCACGACAAATAAAGTTCCAGTGAAAATCTGAGAAATGTATTCAGCAATGGAACCTGAAAAGTCTCATCCCAGTGGTCCTAAATCCCCGGAAGCATCATATGTTCCCATTACATGAATACGAGAGAAAAAAATCCATTAAGCCAATCTACAGTAAAAGTTAATCTCTTGACATTAATATTCATTTCAACTGCTCCAATATTCATTCTACTCTTCCTGCAATTAAAGTTAAGCGGTGTAAAATACATCACATCATGCGGGTAATCAGTGCATGTCCATGAAAGGCAAAGGAGCAGCTGTGCCTCTAGGAGACCCCGCTCTGCGTTAATGAACCTTTCCCCATCCATCCGCTACAGCAACAACGTTTAGTTAGATAACTACGGGCCGAATGAGCCACTCACAGGCTATGGTCAACGTGCAGGAGGTGGTGATGGTAGCGATGGGGTTGGTCGCTATGCACTCATAAACTCCGGCGTCCCTCCGGCTGGACTTCCTGATCATAAGAAGCTGCCTGCCGTCTGGATGAGACATCAGGTCGATCCGCTCGTCCAACTCCAGCGGCTTACGGTCTGCAACGCACAGCAAATACAGGGAGCTGAGCGGCGCTTCGTTGATAAAACCACCAGGCGAAAGGCCGAAGCGGCGTACCCATGGTCCACGTGATGTCTGGGTGTGGACTCCCGGCGGGGAGGCAGCTGAGAGTGACCGGCTCCCCCTCCAGCAGGACGTGGTCTCTCAGCTTGATGTGGAACACGGGGGCGAAATCCGAAGGCGAGCGGATGAACTGCTGGCTTGTGGAGAGACCCTCCTCTTTGGGGACGGACGCAGGCAGGTCAGACCGAGACGGGGTTTTGTCCCTCTTGCCCCTCGTCAAGCCCCACCTGTCCCACCGGGAACGCCTGTCGGACTCTGAGGCTTTTCCGGATTGGGCACTGCAAGCGGATTCGATGGATTCCTTGGACGCGGCGCCGCCGCCGCTCTGTTTGGCCAGCTGGTTCTCGGGGATGCCCATCCCTTTGAGCCCCAGCCCCTCGGACTGGGAATGGCGGTGGCGGGTAAACAGAGGCGTCCTCGTTCCCTCCTCACCCTCCTTTCTCTCCTCGGACTGACTGCGGATCTTCGAGGTAATCCCCGCCACTTTCTTCTCAAACTTGTGCCGCATCGCCAGCACCGGGGAATCTGTGACTTTCATCAACTCCTTCTTCACCAGCTCCGTCTGACTCCCCCCGGCGCCTCGGCCCTTCCTGTCCTCTGACTGCGTCCTCATTTTGGCAGAGATTCCTGCCACTTTGGACTCAAACTTCCGCCTCATTGCAGAAACCGATGACTCGTCAGCTTTTCTTTGTTCCCTCTCATCCCAGCTGCCTCTGCTCCGCTGCGCTGCTCAGCTCCTTTGTATCCAGGGACTTACTGCGCCCGATGGCCCATGAAACCCTTTTGTTCACAGCGGTTTCCTGCACCTCCTGGGGCGTTTCCTCCTTCGCTTTCTCCCCCTTCTTATCACTGGATGTGGACCTCTTGGCCCGCAAGGAAAACCTCCCGATCAGACTGAGGCCGGTCTCTCTCTCTTCTTCCCTTAAATCTTGGACAGACTTGGATTTCGCCAGTAGTCCTTTGGGAAGCATCTCGAGGGGCGCCCCCCTCGGCCCCGGCCTGTACACCTCCTCCCCGCCCTCGCCCGCCTTCCGGCTCAGCGCAGGGGATTTCTCCTCCGATTTGTTTCTGGTCAGTATGCGGAGGCCGCGGGTCAAAGACGACTCCCGCTTCTTGAACCTGGCTTGGAAGACCTCCTCTGAGTCGATGTCTTTGATGTCCGTTCTGAGCACGGGCTGGCGGGCGGGGCCAGCGAGGTCGGGGTTTGAAGACGTGGAAGCAGAGGAAGGAGGCCGATCGGCGGTCGCCACTTTGGCAAACACTGCTGGGTGTTCGGGCAGCGGGGGGGTTTCTGTGGACCGGGTGTCATCCGTTGTGGTGGAAACGGCTTGAAGGACACTTGCGTAAGCAGAGGAGGGTTTACTAGTGTGCGCTTTCTCTTCATTCATGTCCTTTTCATTTACATGCAACTCTTGATTTTCTTTCTTCTCTTCTTCCGCATCATCCTCCTCCTCTATTACAATTATAGGAGTAATAACAGAGGGGGATGTGGAGTCACATTCTTCTCCATCTGGCTTCTCTAACTGGGCGCTGGTCTTTTTCTGTGTTATAACGTCCGTGTTCTTCTCATTCATGCTTTGCATTTCACGTTCTTTCACATTGTTCTGTTTTTGATGTTGGTCCAACCTCGCTGGCGCTGGGAGTACAAAGGAAGTCTTCTTTGAAGGAGAGACGGACTCGGGTGCTTGTTCCGTGATGGCGGACATCGAGCTCTCCTTCTGGAGCTTTTCCCCTTCTGCGTCGCCATTGCGCCCCGAAGGGATCTCTAAGGGGGCTCCGAACCTGCGGTGTAGGGGCATGGGCTCGGAATCCCCCTGAGTGAACGAGGCGCTTTTACAAAAAACTCTGGTCGTCGGCGTGTCCTTCACGGTGCTCTCCGAAGACGCCGCTCTGGCGAGCGTCGGCGGCGCCGCTCTGGATCTCCTCAGGTTCCGATCGAGGGACGCGGTCCGCCTCTCGTCGTCCATGCCGAGTGTCTCAAACAGGGGCCCTCGCAGGCCGCTCATCTTTTTGTCTATGTTTCCTCCCCTGAGCAGCCGCTGTCTCATCAGCTCCAGTTTGAGGGCGTAATCCTCCTGGCTCAACTTGGCCGCCCCGGGACTCGGGCTGCGATTGGGTAGCTCCATGGAAACAGCCTTCTTCAGGCTCCTGGAAAGGTCTTGTGGATCCTTGTTTGCGGTTCCCTCCTCTGGGTTGATGAGCAGAAGCAGCGCTGAATCAGCAGAGCTGCCTCTTCTCATCGTCGACCTCCTGGATTTCGGCTGCGTTCCGTCTACCTCCACACTTGTTCCTTTTTCAAGAGGAACCAGTTTTGTCTTTTCCATTTCCTCCTCAACTGGGGTTTCCTCTTCATTCTTCAGAGCTTCATCAGCCCTTCCTCTCTTACCTGCCGTCCCCACCGTGTCCTTTTTCCTCGTCCCCTCAGCAGCAACACTTGTCCATGCAGCGACGTCTTCTTCCCCCGGGATCTCGTTAAGGGAGACCCTGGAACCGGAAAAGGCCATGGACAGCGGCATGGGAATGAAGGGCAGTTCATCTACATCCGCGTCGGAGTCAGAGGAAGAGGAGGGGGGTGGGGAGCCTTCTTTTAAATGCCGGGCCACAGCGATGGAGACGTGGTTGGACGACTCATTCAAAAGCTCTGGGATCGACCGCATGACCATCTTTGATTTGTAGCTGATTAGGGAACGCTGGAAAAAGTACAGAAAAAGGGAGGACAAGGTGAGTTTGTTTCATTCACTACTTTATCTCCAATGAAAGTAAAGTTATAAGGGGCCCCCCTTTAGGGCAGCGGTTCCCAAACTCATGAATGCTGCGGCCCAATTTGAAATCTGAAAATATTTTGCGGCCCACCCAAACCTTTAATCACAACTCTGAACTCTTTGTATACCATTTTCTCCGGAGCTCATGTGCCGTGTTTTCCGCACAATAAGGCGCACCTTCAATGAATGACCTATTTTAGAACATTTTTCATATATAGCGCGCATCGGATTATAATGCGCATAAGATACTGCAGTCAAACGTTTGACGTCGGGGCGGGTGGATGAGGGGATGTGGGGAGGTGGAGACGGTGCTTTCAGGGTCCGATCGACGGCCCACCTGCAGTACCTTCGCGGCCCACACTTTGGGAATCCCTGCTTTAGGGGATTCATTTAGGCCGATGGATTTAACATTTGGTTCACGGGGCATGCCGGACTATTCCATGAGAATTATTTAGCACCTGAGACATTCATTTGCGCATAATAAATGAATCTACCGATGCTTACCTGCCATCGTCTTCTAGACAGAACTTGCTTCAGCAAAGCTGTGCTGATGCTCTTGTTGGTTGGCGACTGCAAGACAAAATGGGCGGAGTCAGCATAAACTAAAACTTTAGTTTCATTCCTGTCTTTATTCAGAAGGATTCTACAGAGGGCATTTATAGCTTGATTCAACATTGAATTCCTGACACATAGTGAAAGACATTTTCAGACAGTTTCTAATGGCTGGTGTGATTAAAACCCTTTTGACTATAAAATGCCAACAAAATGAAACGCATATTTTGGACCTGGCTTCATCCAATGTTTAGGTCTCTGTTTTGGAATTGTGTGCAAATTAGCACATATTACAAATGCTTAATTTGCATATAAAAAAAGCTAATTTCATCTTCAGTTTTGGGGTGATCTTTAAGCTAAATACAATGTCACTATAATCACCTGTGAATATGTTGAGGTTGGGACATGTCTTTTCTAAAATAACTCACCTTGAACCAAGAATGGCGAAGGCACTCGATGGCGCTTGGTCTCCTAGGAGATGAAAAAAAAAGAGGGCGGAGCATGCTACTGCTTAGACAATGGCAACGCAACAGTTACACATATTTATGGTAGAAGTCATTAAGCTGCTTACAGTCTGTCCGCCACCAAAAGCTTGATGACGAATCCCTTGGCTTCTCTGCAGAGGTCGGCGAACATGCTCTCCTCAAACGCCACGTTGTAGTTACGGATGTTTAAGGCTGTCGCTCGGTCATTCTCACCAGCAAAGGGAGACACTCCAGTCAGGCTAAAAAAGAAATTAAATAAAGATATCTGTGCCTGTTGTACTGCACTGAAACTATGCAAACTAGAAACAATGATAACAAACATACCAGAGGTACGTGATGACACCAGCAGGCCTGTGGGAAAGCAGGACAGATGATTGACATGGGGATTTTTGTTTTTGGGGAACAATATCTGTTGCCAATAACAATGTAGCGCAGTGTGGAGTCAGACTGGAGAGCAGGTGGCTCACCATATGTCCGTTGCCGTGGAGACGGGAGTTTGGTTAACAATCTCCGGTGCGACATATTCTGGCGTGCCGTATCTGCAGTAGTGCTCCTCAGAAGTCTCCAGTTTCACGGCGTTACCAAAGTCACATATGCGGATCAGGTCACTCCCAGGACTTGCCATTAAAATGTTTTCCGGCTGAAAGCGGGTACCACGAAACACACCGTTAGGTTCTTCTGAGAGAATGTGGTGAAATGAATGAGATGCAGGGATTCAGAACTAGGGTGGACGGATACCTTCACATCTAGGTGGGCGATGTTTTTTTGGTGAAGATAACGAAGACCTTCTAAAAGCTGCTGGACGCTCCAGCGGATCTGCAGCGAAAACACAGGAGGAATGAAATCAACACTCATGTTACGTAATGAAAGCGCAGTGCAGGCAGGACACACACACACACACACACACACACACACCTCCAGTTCCTTCACTGTTGTTTTTTTGGCCAGTCTTTCCAGCAGCTCCTCGTGACATCTTAACACAACGGATGAGGAAAAAACAAAACGGAGCTGTGGCTTGACTGCACAGTCCAAGTGGTGGGTGCACAAGCAATGAATTATAAATGAGAAACTCCCACGCGTCCCATCGCTGGCTAATTCCACTGTTCGGTAAAGAGTCAGGGAGAAAAAGCTGTGGTGCGCTTCATTCATCCCTCCAGGGGAGCGCGGGAGACATTAGGATTAATGCTTTGGATCTTTCATGTCCTTGAGATGCGTTTAAGAGCAATGAAGCAGAGTGAATTTGAAACAACGCTGCAGGAAAAGATATGACCATTGTGAGATGCATGTACTGGTAAAATATATTATAACATTGCTTGTGCTAAAGCCGTGTCTCAAGTGTCCTGTATTTGACCCTGATGTGCAAAGAGCAGCATGATACAAAATATTAGTTTGCAGCTGTGTCCTGAGAAGGGAGGACGGTTGACTCGATCTCATAGACGCTTCAAAACAAAGGACTTCTGTTCATAGCCTTGGTTCATATCTTATTCGGTACGAAAGTTCCGGATCCACGTTTTACTCTATGTCAATTAATTATGATTTGCACCGGCCACTGAGGAGGATCTTGTGTGTGTGTGTGTGTGTGTGTGTGTGTGTGTGTGTGTGTGGTCTACCCTCAGCTTCACCTGGGTTTTTATCTCAACCTGCTTTGTAGCTTCTCGTAACTGGCACGGAGAATGTCCTTCACATGTGTATAAAAACTCAGCGTTTTCACTGCTCGGAGACGTCATTACGCCGAGCACTGAGATACGTGCTGGTGTGTTGGACCTCCTGCTTGCAAGCAATAGTTAGAGCCAGATATCTGCGGAGAATTGCTCATGTAATCTTTTTCTCTTCTAAATAAATGTTAACTTTTTGACTTTAATTGATCAATGTGCTGCGATTCTTCTCATCAACCAACTCGGGGGGATCGGAGATCCTGACACCATCTAAGCAACCAGAGATGAAAAACACATATTTTCTCTGCTTGGACAACACAGATCAGATATATTAAAGAATATCTTTTATCACAGATGATAAAATGACTGAAAGGATACAGTTCGGTGATGAGGACCACCACACACTTCTTCTCGAAGGCGTCTTGGAAATAGACGATCCTCTCGTTGTCCAGCTCGGACAGCAGGTCCATCTCTTTGAGGGCCATGGTTTTCCTCTTACCGCTCGCAGAAATGAACTTAGCAGCGAACTCGGCCTTTCCCTTCTTCTGAACCACCCTCTTCACATAGGAGAAGGCCCCCCTGCATCCAACAATGGAAACATTTCTGCTTTAATACATAGCAGATGACTAGTCTAGGTTAAATTTAAAGTAAGGAAAAAAAATCATGTCGAATCCTTTAGTTTCCCATCAGACGAGATATAAAAGTTACGTGAGCTGGAGCAGCCTCGTTGCAGATTAAATTATAGCTACAAGCTTGGAAGTCCATTCTTGACCTTTTTGAACAGTAGGTCTGACATAATGATATCCGCTTAGATATAAACTGAAGGCTTTTAGGAGCTTTACATGTAGAGAATAAAAGGTCTCTAAAGGGAGGTAATGTAAAACCGATGCTGTGGATTGGACACAAAATTCCCTGAGAAAGATTTAAGGAGCGAATCACTGACAGTGTTGACCTTTTCCACCATTTAAATAATTGATTCTCCTTGGCGAGTCAGCACTCCCTCAGGAGAATGGAGGAACGGGGAGGAAGGCACGGCCATTGCATGATTGACTGCTTTCTAGTGTTGTTTGGGAAAACAAATCAGAATTCCATCCGTTTATGCTGCTCCGTTTAACAACCCAAACACGTCGTCCGCATGTTCCGATCTACAACTCAGAACAAAACAAATCATCTGTCGGCGGATGCAATCGCTCCTCTTCGGCGGCCGGTGACTCACTCTCCCGTTGCCGTCAACTCTTGTTCACCAGGTGAGACTCCGCCCCCTCCCGCGGCCCGACCTCGAACAGACATTACAGCATATGTAGTCGCCGCGTTTGAAGAGGAGTCAGTGACACACACACACACGCACTCACCTCCCAAGCTCCTTGTGGACATCATAGTAATCAGTCAACCGCCTCATCTTCCTCAGAATGGTTCCTTCGTCTTCCATTGGCTCGGCTGCTTGCTTTCGCTCTGCAGGGAACGACAACAGAGTGTGTATGTGTTTGTTTGTGTGCATGCATGGCTTTACATGTGTGCCAGCGTAGCGACAGATGGTTTCACATTGTGGTTCTTTCTCATTCGTGGTAGATTTAGAGATTCAACAACAACCAGTGTAGTGCTGCATCAGGAGATAGTTAAAATCGAAAATAAATGGTGAAGATCAAAAGCAAATAGAGGAAAAGCCTGTTAAATCAATATCAGGCCTTTAATTCTCCAACAAAACCGTATTTATCATTCAAAAATGCTACCTCATCGTATCTTTACATCCCACAGGATTATAATAATGCTTACTAGGAGAAATTTCTTTGTTCAGACAGTACTTTCTACGTTTTGTGGGACTGCCGACCTTTATGAACTGTGAGCTCAGCTTTGCAGGAGTTGGAGCCGGCCAGGTTCTTGGCAGTGGAGGTGTACACTCCGGAGTGTTCGGGGCGGGCGTTGAGGACAACGAGGGAGTACTCGGGGTCATCGTACACAAATGTGAAGTGGTTGCTCTCAGAGAGGAGGACATCGTCCTGCGACAGACCAATCCAATATGGTCAACATGCTGCGCCGTTGCACAACAATTCTGCTGATTTCAATATCATGCTTCTTCAGGCTTTTGTGCAGCATCACTTTCACCTCTTTAGCTGATACCAGGTAACCTTAAAATTATTTTACCTTGAACCACAGGATATCTGGGTCTGGTTTTCCTTCAACCACCACAAGCAGACTGGACGTCTCCCCAATGTGAACATCCACATCCTCCATGATGGTTTCAAACTTGGGAGCCACTAAGGAAGAAAAAGTAAAAAAGTAATTAGAAAGTAAATGCCCTATTCTCTTCTTTTTCAAAGACAATTACACATAGGTCTTCTTTGCTGGCGCTAACCGCTGCCAAGAGAAAGTAGTAAGTCCTTTGGATTCAAGGTAAATTTATCTCCAGGTGTTCTGCCTCAATGAAACTGACCCGCCATCGCCAGCTGAAGCGTGCAGAGGTCGCTGCCAAACTGGTTGCTGGCCGTGACCACAAGCTGACCGATGTCTGAGCTCCTGACCCTCTGGAGCTTCAGGGTGTGTTGATCGTCGTCTGGCATGCTCATCTCATGCATCCCCGGTCGATTGACCAACACCACCCCCCTCCTGGGGAAGACGGGGGCAACATATTAAAGCTGTGGTACTTTTTCAGCAGTGCGCACCACACACCCTGCAGAGGACGAAGCCTTTACAGAGCTCCTGGGAGAACGTGTGCCTGAACAGGAGATGTTAAATTCAAACGGAGCAAACCACTGCACAGTGGTGCTCCTCGGTGCTGGTCCACTTCATCTGCTCCTGCTATTCTACTTGTGATCAGTAGCGAATAACATGAGGCTGTTCACAATGTGTTCCATCTCAACGGATCAAACGATATTTAATGAGAAGAGAAATAGGACGAAAACCAGCATCCTGAGTGATTTCTTCTGTTCTTTGGTTTGTGTTTGAAACGAGTGTATCACCGCTTGTAGAATTGAAGAGGTTGAACTGACCTTTTCCAGGTGACAACTGCATGCACGTGGTTCAGCGTGATGGTGATGCTCGCAGGTTGGTTTTCAACGACATATACGATGTCAGGTTTGTCCAAAATGACCGGCGCTTTCCTTAAATAGGGTCCTACCGGAGTAACAAATACCACATCAACTCAATATTATCCCTTCATAAAAAATAAAAAAAACACATCAAAGCCTACCTCGGCTTCGTTACCTCTGTCCAGCAGCTGGACCAGGTCAGTCGAGGGCGATGGTTTACTCAGCGTCTTCCCGGTGGACGTCAGGATTCTGAAAGCGTAGCGGACTCCTTTGGACAGGGAGGTGGCGGTGTAGTTGGTCTCCCTCAGGTTGGACGCAACGACGGACCACTGGATTGAGCCCAGAGGCTGCTGCTGGACCACATATAGCAAGGAGCTGCCATCTGCACGCACACACACACACGCGCACGCACCCACACACAGTTTTATATTACTCGCCCTGGATTACACATAGTGAGGTGAGATTCAGAGACAAAATGATTGTGTTTTGGTTTATAATCTGTGCTGATGATTTAAGAAATCCAAAGGGGTTTGAGATAAACTCAGAATAAAACCAAAAACAGATGAACATCAACTAGACTAGTTTCTTGGCAATTTTTTCCTGTAGGTTTTATTTGAACTGAAATCGTTAAAGAATTTTCTCCAGATAGAAACTTAACGAACCTACCGAAAGTGTCAAGCCTCTTTGGTGGCTTCCACCTGAGGGTTATAGTTTTCCCTGTGATGGCTTCTATCACTGGAGGACCATCAGGGGGGTCAGGAACAATATCTGTTTCCAAATAAATACACAACTTTATAACATCGATGGACAAGATTGCATCTCTCCGCTATGGCGTCAGACATAAAGCCTTCATCTGTACCTGTGACGTATAGATGTGCATAGCAGGCTGCTTTGCCCAGTTTGTTGGAGATGACGGCCTTGTAGACGCCCCCGTGAGCGGGACAAGCACTCCGAATGAGCATACTATGGACGTCCCTCTCTGAAGAACAAACAACAACTTTGTTATTTAGCGCCATTCGCTCCAAACCGCCTTGTCTGTGGTCTGGTTCTCTACTTACGCTGCGTCATTTTGCGCTCCTCGCTGCTCTCGATGCGCTTGCCGTTGTGATACCAGGCGATGGTCGGGTAGGGCAGGCCCGCCACTTTGCATTTCAGCAGCGCCTCTTTGCCGTCGATCACCTCCGCGTCAGCTAGAGGCTTGACAAAGTCCGGCATGGTCCTCTTCTCCACCTCGCTGTCCAGCACTTCGGGCTCCTCAGGGATGGATGGCATCTTCTCCAGCTTGGCCCTGAAGGAAGGGACGAGAGGTAGAGTTTAAAATCTGAGCATGTTTACTGGCGATGGCCTTATTTAACGTTTGTGATGTGCCTTTACTCGTTGAGAAAGAGTTCTTGCCTCTTTGACCTTGAAAACAAAAATGTCTACTCTTACGCCCCCCCCGCCACCACCTCCACAAAAGCATTTAAGGTGACAAAATGAATGTGGATTAATTTACTTCCCTTACAGTGAGAGGAGATGGCAGCTCGAGGCTCTTGCACATAGAGCTCAGCGGTGCATTCAGACTTTCCATGAATGTTTTGAGCGACTGCTGTGTAGAAGCCTTCCGTGTCGGCGCTAACGTGGGCGATGACGAGTGAGTGACGACCCCCCTCTTGAAGGATGCGAACGTCATCACTCTCCTCTACTCTCGTCTCTGGGAGAACATCAGCGTGAAATACAAATCAGACGGGGAATTCTCTCTGAAGTGCACAGAACAAAACATTTATTAAATGTCAGACACACCACTGGGGATTCTTACCGAAATGCGTCCACGTGACCCGGGGAGCGGGTGATCCGCTCACCTTGCAGTCGAAGCGGCCCGTGCGACCTTCGATGACCTCCAGGATGTCCAGCTTACGGGTGAAGAGAGGCTCCTTGGATGGGGCGACACTCAGGTTTGCGCTTGAGGTCAACTCCTCTGTCGGTGCAATGACGTTCTTTAGCAACAACATTTTCTGAGGCTCGTTTGGAACTTTACTAATGTGTCTCTCTGATTTTGCTTTCATTATTCAGACCTATTGAATTTTATTTTAAAGAAAACTGCAAATTACAAAGCATCACAACAAGGAAACACAACAATGACCTTTTTACTTCTCTTTAATAACAGTGTATGTGGCTCACCTTTGGCAGTGCTAAGCTTGCAAGTGTACGCCCCACTGTCGTCCTCGTGAACCGAATTAAGTAGCAGACGGCACCTGAGAGACAATACAAGACCGCTGCTAATGAAGTAAAACAGAAAGGACTGAAACACACAAACACCACCAGAAGACGTAATCCCACCTCTTGCCATCAAAGTGCATTTTGCAGTTGAGCAGCGCTGGCTGGATGAGCTTCCCATTTGAGAGCCAATCCACATCGACGTCTGGAGGTCCCGCCATGTGACACTCGAACATGGCCGACTCTCCGGCCTTAACCGCCACATCCCGGACCTCCCGGGTGATTTTCAGAGGCGATCGTGTTGCAGACGCTGATTAAAAAAGAAGACAGAAATATTACGCGATACTTCTCTAGTCATGATTAAACTAGACAGATTCTTCATCACTCACCGTTGACCTCCAGTCTGCACTCGGCTTGCTTGGATCCATACTCATTGATGATCTTGCAGACGTAAAGCCCCGCATCGGTGCTCCGAGCAGAGGCGATCCTCATTTCACTGGCGTCGTCTTCCGTCTCTCTCACAGAGAAGCGCCCTGCCGTCTTCACCGGCAGTCTGTCCTTTGACCTGGGCCGACACACGGTGGCTGTCACGGGTGATTGGACTTGGGTGTTTAATAGAGGGCAGCGTGTGTGTGTGTGTGTGTGTGTGTGTGTGTGACGGCTTCACGTGTCTGTCTGCCGTGAAGCTTTGAGGGAAGGTCTCTTACCAGTGAACCATGGGTTTGGGCTGTCCCGCCACCTTTGCGGAGATGACGACATCTTGACCTTGAGTCACCTCCTGGTCACATGGCAACACCTTTTAGAAAGGTAAATGACAACATAGTTAATGTTTCAAGCAATTGCACCAGTTTCTGCTTTTGTTCAGAAATATATATTTAAATGTAATATCTTTGGGTTAAGATTGACGGTCACACAAAACTATTCAACTGATGAGATCCCTTAAACAATGTTGCATCCGAGACTCTCCTACCTGAAATGAAGGAGTTTCTTTGAAGTGGACTCTTTTACTCTGAGTGGTTGAGTGCCGGAGCTCCATCGCCTCCTCCTGAGGACTCAGATCCTTCTCGTCGGGCTGCGCTGAACTTCGGACTTCCAAGACCTCGACTTGTTCTCCACATTGCACGTGGGTTGGCTCTGCAAGAACAGGAGAGTGAGGTTGGATTTACACAGAACAGACATCGCCTACATCCCAATCGCCTCCACTGGGGTCCCTGGATAACTCGACTTAATGTGTGCGATTAACATGGCAACATGTGGACTCTTTAAACCTTTAAATAGTAATCTGTCGGGGCTCTGATGTTCCCAGTCCTTGCTAGCTTTTCTGGAGATGATGTTCTTTGCCAAGATGACAGTTGGCAACATAGAGTGCAGCTAAAGACGAGTGGGGCATGTGCGCCTACGTCTGTGCACAGAGAGCATAGGGACGGGACTGAAGTGACCGTAACTGGACAGATAATGGATTAAGCCCTTAATCTCTGGCACAATCATTTCGCTTACTCCCATGAAGCTTCCGAGCAGACGCTGTGTCTGGACTCCTGGCTGCAGAGAAATTTAAAATCACCACCACCACCCAACAGTCGTCTTGGACCCCTCGGCTCCTTCCCTTTCTGTCCCGCCGCTTTCTTTTTCTCGGTTAAACCCAGACTTCCGGCATTAGCAGGTAACATTGACAACAAAGAATGAATAACATGATAACCGAAAGAAAATTAAGTCCTGTCCTCACTAAATGAGAAAAAAATAGCAAAGCAGATGGATGAAAAAGCAAAAGTACCGTTATTAAAGTAAATCAACAGTCTAAAGAAACGTGCAGGGAAAGTAGACTGTGTTTGTCCACATGCGCAGCTAAAACATACACGTAAACCGCAAAACACGAAATGATGTCGGATTATCTGTCTACGGTATGAAGGTATTCTGATTAATTGTCATCACCGTGGTATTAAAAAGGAAAAAATGACAAAATAACCTACCTAGACTCACATCTCTGAGCGGCGTCTGTACACCAGAGGATAAATCCTGGGAGTATTTACACAGACCAACTGCTGCTGCACAGTCCAAGTCGACTGCCCTTCCTCTTAGTCTCATCCTCTATTCTCTCTCTGCCTCCCGTCACATTCATGTCAGTAGTCTCCAGCATTCCTGACATCCCGGAGATCACACAACAGCATTTGAGTAGCTGAATGTTGTATAGGCTTATTCAAGTTTTGTTTGCTTTTCAACCCGGAATCCAGAGGATGATGATACTGTGAAAAGAACTGATAATCTCTTCCACCATATTGAGGTCTGACACCCTTCAGTCACTCTGCCAAAGAACCGCTCTGTTCCCAGCTTAGCTGAAGTGACGGAATAATCTCCCAGCACATTGTGACCCACAATCCAGAGCGATGAAAAACTCTGTGATTAATCTCACGATGGGACACAAAGCAGACTGCAATTACCCGAGAGAACAAGAGGGTGGCTAAAAATACTCCCGCAAGCTAAGACTCCCCTGGCCTAATATGGAAACACAGGCCCCCGTGCTGCTGCTGAGACAGAGCAGCAGCGTACGCTCACTTTTGTTGACTAAACTGGGGAAGTGCAGGTTGCATTTACACGAGTTGATTTAACACTCTGGGAGCGGTACAAGCTTTTCAATATTAAACACATGTCTGGTAACACAACCTCGTTCCAAGGGGAATCTCGACTCTGTTTACTCCTCCTTGTGAATGCCATGCCCGCCTTTCGGACTCGGGAGACCTTTGTGCGACGGGGCCGGTATGCATTTGGAATCCGCGCCGAAGGGGAGCACGGTGCCTTTCAAGAACCAATGGGTTGCCATGGCAACTAGCGCCACGAGGCGCACCGGTCGGGATGCTGAGCTCCAGCAGGCCTTTCCAGTCATTAAGACAGAATGTCAGGCGGAGGAGGGCTGGCAGGGGATTGAGGCATTGAGTCAACATGTATTTCAAACAGAGCATCGTTTTAATATGCCTCAATATGTCGGCCTCCATTTAAAATTTGTACTGCGTACTCATTATCAACAGCGAATCCTTCCATCTCTGTCCTGGTCTCACCTGAGCAGATGTAGAGCGTGGCACTGCACAAAGCTCTGCCCGCCGCATTGACAGCCGTGACGCAGTACGACCCGGCGTTGTTCGCCCTCATCTGCTTTATCACCAGACTGTGCTCCTCCCCGTCAGCCTTCACCACGTGGAACGCGTCGCTTCGAATCTCCACCATATTCTTCCTCCATGTGACTGAGGAAGCAGAGAGAAACACACTCACACAGAGGACAAACACAATGAAAGCTCTCCAAAAAGTGGATAGCACTTAATTACAATATTACAATATACAATGATAAGTTTTTACTAAAGATTTTATGCTAGATTTCTAGTAATTTCAGTCAATAAAGAAAACATACAATCATGTTGTCCGTTGTACCTGTGGGGGGCGGACTCCCGGTGACGACACATGTCAACGTGACCTCCGAGCTGCTGGAGGCCCTGGTGTCCACCAGAGTCCTCTCAAACCTCGGGGCTCCAGCAGGCCCCTCGTCATCAGACGAGGTCCCTGGAAACAACAGGTCCGGTTTATGTGTCAAGAATTAACCCAGACCCTAACAAACCCAAAATGTGCATTTAGTATAAAACAAAACGTGCGTTTCCTTGTTCCTAATTATTTAAATATCTCATAACCCCTCAAATGAATCCCGTAGGTCAGGAACCAGTCTCTTAGGCCAAGAGAGTTGCAGTGCGACTTTACACATGAAGGCGCATATGTTGTGTTCACATAACCTTGGAGGAGGGGTACGGCCCCACAAAGTGCATTTCTGCAGGGTTACTTTTGTTTTTTTTTACAAAAGTAGCCTCATACAATATGTAGTACCTTCTTCTGGAGACCGGGGTTGAACAGAACCACCTTTATTGCGGACCCGCCTCTCTTTCCTTCTGGTCTTGCTTGTCGCGTTGCTCCTGTTTGCAACACATTCCGTCTCCATAGGCTCCTCCTCCACCAGGATGATGGGGATGTTCACTCTCGTGGATGGAGACGTTCGGCCCGCCTCTGCCTTCCTCCTTTTCACGAGAGGGCTGACGGAGGGAGTGGGCGATGGAGCGAGCCGGGGGGGCTTGGGTGGGTACTGGGAGCCCGGTTCCCTCACAGTTAGTGGTGACGTTCCCTTCCTAGTCGGGCTCGGTGGTCTGGAGTCCGCTTTGTTGTCCACCTTGGTCTCCCTCTTCAACGATTCAACGAGTGCGTCTTTGTCAGCTCCCGCAGATTTTTGTAGAGTTTCCCTGTATGTGAGAAAACTGTCATGCAATACTGAAGTATAAATTAGGATATTTTTTTCACACAAATTCGTCAATAACGACTTCAAAGAACTTCATCCAAACCTGGTGAGGCTTTTCCTTGTGGCTGTTGGCAATGGTTGCCCTGGTAACTGGTGAACTGGTGCCGTCTCTATGGTAACAGAGTTTTTTTCTGTGTTCCCCTGCGATGAGCCCTCCACTGGTCTCCCCTGTGAATTTGGCTGTGTCATCTTAGTCTTTTTGGTGCTGCTCTTTTTGTTCTCCAGCCCTCTGCTGTGCCCCTGGGGAGAAATCTGCAATCTGCCGTCCCCAGCCTGTCTGTCCTCCAGGGCTCGCTCCTTTGCCTCCAACTTTTTAACCACTTGGGGAGGAATGGGCTCTAGTTTCCCTGTGGTGAGCTTCTCCTTCGGAGACAGCTGCTCGGAGGAATAAGCCTTCTTCATGCTTGGTTTCACCACAAGCTTCTTGATCCTCTGGAGCTCCTCGGTAAACTTGCTCTGGACCCTCTGGGAGTAGCTCATCTTGTCCTCTAAAGAAGACGCCCGTTGCTTGAACGCAGCTCGCTTCTGAAGGACTCGCTCGTCCCCTTTGCCGGGGCCCCCCGTCTTCTTTCCGCTGTCGTCCAAGTCGCAGGAAGCTGCTCGTCCAAATCGAGAAGCCGATACAGATCTGACTCCTCCCGGCAGATCGACACTAGCCCTTCGTTCCTCAAAAGCCAGGACCTTGTCGAAGATCTTGGGCCCTGCACGAGCCAGTTTGGGCGTCATGGCAACACTGGCAACACTTGACGCCTGCTCTGTCTGAGAAGATGGGGGACGTGAAAGACCGATTTTACGCGGGTCTTGGTCTGGGCTGTTGCTGCTGTTTTTGTGCGTACTGGGAGGTGGCTGGGGAGAAGACAGGGGGACACGGGAGGAGCGCCCCACTGAGCCTTCAGCAGTTTGAGTCCTAGAGGGGTGAGGATTGAGGGGAAATGGAGGGGTGAAGTTAGAGCTCTGGTGCAGCTGCTGTAGGCATTGGGAGAGTAATAAAGAAGCAGACGTCCCTTCGTCTCATTTCCCCTTGTGTTTTTAGATTCGCCACTGAGTTCCTTGTGTTTTGTCAGTGCTCTGACAGTGTAAAATGAATTGGCACAAATTAACCAACAAAACAATGCCTACATGTAAGATTTCAAATGTTCGTCAGAACGTAAGCTCATAAGACACCAGAAGACGGTAATAGTTGGAAATTGTAGGCAATGCTGCAACAACAACAATGCAGAGTCACAACATAAAAAAGCGTGCTGCTTCAACTTTCAATACAAAAACATGCCTGAAAAGAACCTGCGAGTCCCACATGTGTGAGAACATTCATGCTAGTATTAGCTTGGATCAAAACCAGCATCCCATGCATGCCACAGCAAACCTATAAAGACATGGTGTTATTCCAAGTGAGGGGCCGCTGTAGAAAACATGCAGTGGCTAAAAAGAGTAATCACAGTTTTCAGAAGTGCCGAATAATACATATTAGCAGATTGTTCCATCGTGCCCTCTCTATTGGCTATAAGACCTGTAACCATCGTTGTGTATAAAACCACACCACACTCACAGCAACAGAGTCAAAGGAAAGTGTGACATCAAAAAATAAAAATGGGAAGTAACAAAGTTATATGAAAAGAAGTCTGAATATAGGAAATAAGAGTAAAAAAACGTAATTATATAACTTATGCGTAAGGGGAACATTTTTGCAAGTTGGGACCATGTGGGATGCAATGTCTGTGTCTTATGTGTCCGTTTTCCTTTTGGCAATTTGTGGCCAGTCTTTTTTGTTTTTTAGTGGAATCTTAAAAACAAAATGCCATGTGCTATAACGGCATAGAAAATGTCCTCCCTCGGTACAAGCTGAACATGCTCCCGTAGTAGTCGCTGCCTACAGAAACACTTTCCTCTGAGCCCTGGACAGGACGTGCCAGGTTAGCGTGAGACGCCCGGATCAGCGGTTCCACACCCAGGTGACGGACAGGTGGGGCCCCCTCAGAGGGAGCCCCACCGAGGGCTTGCCTGGCTGCGTTTGAGGGGTCCAAGTGGAGCCCCGGGGGGCGGGAGCCCAGAGCACGGAGCTCTCGCTCCACCACAGGGTCGTAGACACCAGGGAGGGTGGCCCTGCGATCCGAGGGGTCTGTGTTATAGTCCATCATCCCGCCTCCCTCATCTGGAGGAAGAAGAGGGAGAGAGAGAGAGAGAGAGAGAGAGAGAGAGAGAGAAAGAGAGGTCCCAGAACATAAATGTGTGTGCGTGTGGGTTTGCGCGTTTTAACTGCAGCAGGACGGTGCTACTAGTGTAGCAGGATCTGAATTAAATTTCACCCATACACTCTGGTGGTAGCAGAAAAAAGAAATTAAGCATAAATTGTATGAGAAATGAAGGACATGTGGGGCAAATGTCTGTATTATATATATTACGCCATACTGTGTACCACAAAGAAGGTAATTTATCAACTCTGCAATAAGAAGAGCAAGAATCCTGAGCTGGTAAGAAATGATAGTGAATCCGAGTCTAGGAACATGCACTAAGAATGAAGAGGAGAAGGAGGAAGAGTCCATGATCGCATGGAAACAGAAATGCACCGGGGCTGCGCTGTGGAGCGTGCGCCACTGAAAGACGTCCTCCCCCCCATCGCAAATCGCTGGTAATGATTGACATTTTAATGATGAGCAATGGAGACAGAAATGCTTTGGCGGGGGAAAGAAAACAGAGCGGTCAGCATCTTCAGTAAACGAGGGAAACCTTGAAACAGCACCGGCGATGTAAAAAGACAGACTGCATCCACAAATGAAAGGGACTCAGCGCCACATTCAAGTGACTACGTACGGCTCCTCTAAAAGCAAAACACTAAATAAAGAACATTTTCAGAGGGGCTCCTGAAGAATACAATTACACCCTTGACGGCCATGAGGTATTGAGCTCCAAAATCTCTGCAGAAGCTTTAATGTTCACAGAAGAGAGAAGAAGCCTTTAGTGCTGCGTCTTGAAACTGAGGAATGAATCATTTTCACAAGCAACACGGGTCTGTCACTCGTCCACCGGATACAAACCACGGCCTGAGCTGAGGCAACAAGAATCATTGTCTATAGGAGATAGCAATGATGCATCACCTCATCCCTCCCCTCATTTGATATTCTCTTTCTATTGTTCTTTTTCGCTGCCGGTGGTGAGGGCGTCGTCAGCCCGCCAACACTGAAGCTTGGAAACACAGGGCACAAGCGAGGGAAGCATCTAAAACGTCTTCCCGGTCTTGGGGAAGGGTGTCAATATGTCCAATCTATATTCAAACATCCTGTTGCCTGGCATACGGGTTCTGCGCCGCCGCTCCGGGCTGACGGGAAAAGACTCGGTGGGTCGCGACCGGGAAATGTCTGCCACTCACATTTTAATTCAGAGATCACGTGTAAGCGAATCAATATTTCTTTGGCCCGTTGTAAAAAAATGAAATGAGGTTGTTAGGCTCAATCTGATTTGGCTCAAGTGTCCTCTTAGACCAGAAGGGTTGATGGGACACCGCAATAAACAGTGGCTCCCCCATTGTTACTTACCAGATACATCAGCAACAACTCTGACTTGAAGATCTGCAGAAGTCATCTTAACTCACAAGTCCTTTATAATATTAAAGCCACATGGAGGTTAAAAGGTGAACACTGAAAGACCTGTGGTACAATGACCAACCCCTTAAACTGCAATTAGACATGTCATAAAATATGGGGAAAACAAAAGCGCTAAATAATCCAGACGTATACCCAGAAAAACAAAAGCACACAAGATTGCAAAAGCATTGTTTTCCGTGAACTTCAGCCTCAGAAGTTGTGTTTATTTGCCAGTGATGTGGAATCATTTTGACCATCACCTCGTAAATAAGGTTTGAAGAGACACTGAATATGTGCACACGGCATCTTTTGCAGGTATTGCTTACCTGAAGGGCCCCTCCGATCAGCCTTGTCTTGGTGCCTACCGGCCCCTTCTTTGGTTTCCATCTGAGGATCTGTGGTCTCATCCTCTGTGTTTTCAGAGTCTGAAATCAGGTAGAACACAATGATGAGTCAAGATAGAGGAAAGAAGATGCAAATTCAGGAATGAGAGACAAAGGTGGAGGAGAGGAGGAGGTCGAGGTCGCTGAAAACAACATCTCGGGTAGCGGTACAGGGTGTGATTGGTGATTGGCGGGGGGGCCCTCACAGTAAAATGAAATCGCTTGAAGATGTAGCGTGACATGAATCGAGCTGTGGCTTACAAAAATACATGGCTAATACATGGGATGGGTATGTGCAGATTCTCTTTCATCAGGTCAGGGGGTGTTTGACTTTAACACAGGGGTCATTTTTCAGGCCAATGCCCCCAAACTGATGGCGAGATGGAGCAGGGACCCCCTATTCTACGGAGTTTGGTCTGCCATCATTTTTGAGCTTGGCACTCTTTAGACTCATCTTTATGTGATGGTCTAGTGCCTGTGCTGTCGTATTTGCATGAAAGGTAGTGTGAGTGAACCAGTGCTCAGCTTAGGAGCTGCTGTGGAAAGCTGGATGTGTGTGTGAGATAGAAGATAGAACCTCCCTAAGAACCTCTTCTCCATCAATTTATACGTTCGCTACAATATGTTGGATTCATGTATTGAAACACAATAAATACAATTCTGATTCTGAAGACATTTAAATTTGTGGAAAAAGAATTGGTTGAAAAAGAAAATTGTCTTATCAACCAAAAATGTCGTGACCCCCCTGCAGTACCTCCATTGACCCCCTGGGGATTGCGGACCCCCTGTTGAAGACCCCTGACTTAACAAAACAGCAGGCTGAGCTTAGCGGTCTTCCATTAAACCCAATGCTCTGTTCCTCTTACTTCTATTTAGCGGTTTCTCAGTACTAAGCAGATTGAAGCCCAAGAAAATAATGACAGAAAAGCAGGCATTAAAAATGATCTTTTTGCATCATAACTCCAAACCAGACTAAAATGTGACTCAACCTTCCGTATAAGTGGAACAACATGAAGTGATGTTTCTGTGCAGCAGTGAAGAAAATGTCTATTCATTAAGAAAATGGTGCAAAAGATCAATGGAGCGATGGAAATAAACAAAAATACGGACAGCGACAACGTTGATTGTGGTGTCGATAAAATGAGGAACATTGAAAAGAAAACAGATGAAGACAAACACAGATAGAGGCAAATAAAGGATTGTGGAGCACTGATCTCTCGAGGGAGTTTACACAATGAGGAGAAGTGGACTGAGAGACCCCAGATATCAGTGAACGGATGTGAAGAGAAAACATTTAAAAAGAAGATTAATCAAGACAGGCAGGTTTACCATAGCTTTGCTTTCGGCAGGAGCGGAAAACTTCACTTCCATAGTGGCAGCAAGAGAGGGCAGACGGGAGAGCACCGTTACTATGGAAACCAGCATCTCGCTCACCCACACGACCAATCCTCTTCGTACCCATTAGAGTCTAAAAAATCACCAGCCAAACCGCTGGGTGGCTGACAGATATGTTTACTGGTTAGAGAGCTTGAGAAGGAGCACCGCGACAACCACTAAATAGTTGGCACCGCATCGCGCCTCGCGTCCAGTCAGAACCTGATTAGATAATTCCAGAAGGTTCCGCCTGATGACGAGAGAGCCAATGTAACAAGAACAATCACCAGCAACTCAGTGCATTGCCACAGCAGCAGTGGCCCGTGTGCCCCTTCCTTTGTTCGGGGATGTAGATCCACCCATCTGAGTCAAATTGCGTGGAAAATTATGGGGGAATATATTTTGCCCTGTATCGTTTTTACCGATATGTAAATAGGTTTTGGAGAAGAATACAGCGAGCCTCTGGTTTGGCTTCATCATGTACTGCACACATATACCATAAATCACCGAGGCCACATATTATTCACTAGAGCATTTTATGCACAGAGGCAAAATAAATTGCTTTGTCTGGGCGGATGCACAACAAAACCCACCTCTGTTGTAAGCAGTAAAAACAATAGGGAAATATACAATAACAGCAACTATCATACATAAAGTCATTAGAGGAGAAAAGGAGAAGAAAGAACATGCTGCCGAAGACTAAAAACCAGAGAAAATGATCTTCAGATTTCTAACAGAATAAAACCTGGCGTAAAGCTTATAGTGACAACACACCATGGGTGAACCGGCCAAATGTCCGTGTGGAATGCCCAGTTCTCTGAAACAAAGATACAAAAGCACATTGTATTATTCAGCAGCAAATACAGCCAACGATTCAATTAAACACTAAACACTGGAGTGAACAACTTCAAGGCTCCCTTTTGCGCAAAAGCACCGATGCGGTCACACCAAGTAAAAAGAACGTGTGAATACTAAATGACATGAAATGTAATGTAACATGGGGGATTTGTAGTAGAATTTGTGGACAGAGAAATGTTATCCAAAAGGTGTAGAAATCAGCTGCACAAAGATGGCCCTCACAAAGTCCACTCTTTAAATGTCTAGTTTTGTGTTTTAGTGTGACGGAAAAGCAGCAAATGAAAATCTAAAAGAAGAAAGCTGCTAATAAATTTGGTTGGTTTAGATAAAGGGCGACATTTTGGCACTTGAGCATCACATCATTCAAGAATATTTCACCACCTGAATTTCCTTGTTTTTCTAAATCTCATTTTGCACAAATCTAGACAAGACTTCTGAGAAAATACAGGGTGAGACGATCTTGTTGATTTAATGGAGAATATTGAACCGTTGCCCAGCCATACCTATATCAAAGATGAATGTCTAAAATGGTGAACATCTGTCTCTCAGGCCACGTTTCTGCGAGCGTCCATGCTGATAACGCAGCTGGGGAAAGTGCTTCTTGGACGGACTGTCCATCAGCGCGAGCGGCGCTCTCAGAGTGACTCACTGCAGCGAGCGCACGCAAAGCAGATAATGTGTGATAATGAAATGACTCATTTTTCACTCAAATCCCCCCACGTTTGCTGCGCACTCCTCAAACCGTTCCTCTATTCCGTGCCCGGCAATTTGATTAACTGTCGCCTGGTGGCAACTGCGGTTTGACTCCACTGGAAGCTCCCATTGTTGTCGTGATGTCCAATGTTACGGCTTCAAGGCGTCATCGTAATCAGCAAAAGCCAGACACAAACTGCATCCCTTCCAAAGGGCTGCGTTTGGCAAATACTTGATAAATATTCAATGGGTATAATCCAAACCCTACGCGCATTATTCTCAGAGACCGCTTGGCTGAAAGCTCAAGAACTAGTCTCACGGGTTTGATGCTGATGCAGAACGGAGGTGGAGGCAAAGCGCCATCAGAGATCTGCTTTCTCCTGAGCTTTGCTCCCTCTGTAGCCTTTTCTGACCGGCTGCCCCGATTCTCATGTCTCCACGGTGGGAAGCCTACTGACACACTTTTCCATCTGCTATCAGTTTGGGAAACCTGTTTGAACCATTACTTATTCATACGACAAAGCTGCGCCTGGTACATCTTTCAGCACATGATGGGGCACGGCAAAGGTCCTAAGTGGATTACGGTTGCCTTTGTTTCCGTGTGGCGGTCTGAGGAGGAGATTGTAAAAAGTGCATGAAAATTATAATCCATTTTTCTACCTGGCAACCAGACTTTTTCTGGGCTGACCTTTGTTACGCTGTCCTGATTTGCCCTTAATCTTTCTGACGGATAACAGACAAGAAAAAAAGGAAATAAAGAGGATATTTTTTCCCAGAATCAAAAGCTGCTTGGTTGTAATCAACATACCTAAAATGTTTATTGTACCACAATTATCTGTTACAAATGAATACATTTGCGCCTCCATCAGTTATAGGGTGTGGCATTACATCCTAATGTGTAAAAACGTACCACTTTTGATGAAAGCCAATCTGGAGCATTAAACAGAGAAAACTCACCTGAAATCTCTTCTTGGACCAGATTTTCTTCATCTCTCAACCGTGCAACATTACTTGTGGCATGAGCTCACAAAAATATCTCCACAACCCGGATAAGCCCAGGGTGTGGCATCATCAAATAGATAAACAAACAAACAAACAACGGACTGAAAGCTGGATTGAGCTGGCGTTTCCTCTCCGCTCTGCCAGCAAGACGGGGAGAAAGAGAGAAGCTGATGCCGGAGCCAGGTGTCTTTGTGTCGGTGTGTGTATCCGCTCATGTGAACAGCGTCCCTTTCTGACGTAGACGTTGCCTTCAGAGGGGCAGCTTTCAGCTGGCTTGACTTCCCCCCACACCCACCCGCCCCGTTCACACGCTCCGCCTCCAGCGAGAGCACACTCAGCGCGAGGGGAGGTGGGGGTTGTAAGTCTGTGCTGTTCCTGATTGCGGTGCTGAATAAGAGAAAGAGGTGGGACAAAAAAAAAAAAAGCGAGAAGAAAGAGAAGAGATGGAGCGGAGAGGGCTGGAGATGGAGGTTGGCGGGGGAAATATTCACGAGGGAGGAGGCGAAGCAGAGGAGGAAGAGGCATAATGACAGGAAAGAGGGATAAAAATGTCCACACATGAGAGATGGGGAGGAAGGGGGGTGAAATGCATCTCAATTTCGTTCTGAATACAAACAAAAGCAAACCCTTACATCCCCCATACAGCCTCCACCTCTCTGTCTATTCTCCTATATTCTTTGTTTCCCCTCCACAAAACCGATAAATGATGCATCCGCCGTGCATGTCTGTTAGCTGTAACCAGCGATGGGGTCAAGGTTACCGCAGATGCGAGCCCCCGACGGCTATTTAGAGCTGACACCTCCCCCAACTAGATTACAGCATGAGGCATGGTACTGATTCCAGGTACACAACCAGCAGCAACCATCCTTCTCACTGTGCAATCATCCTGTAGTGTATTGAATGAGGAAAAACATAAAGCAAAAACCCAACAAGCCCAGAACCCATGTCCACATTTCAGAACAGCTTTCCTTTTCCAGACTGCTGAGCGATGTGGATCACGGCGTCGTTAAGTGAGCCATGTTACGGTTTTATGGCCTGTAAAAATCAATCAATATGAGATTTACTCCTGCCATGAATCACAAGTTGCTCCGAGAATGATTTTATTCCTGCTCACTCTTTTTCTTCTTCCGATCCACCAGCAGTTGTGGGTATTTGTCCTTATCTTTAGGACACCCCCTACGCAGATTTAACTTCTACTAGTACACAAACATGGACATTTTTCACCCTCGACTGCCTCCTCCATCATTCGAGAGGCATTTGCTTTGGCACAAAGTGCAGCAATCGATAGCGGTGCTCTGTGCGCGATATGGGATTCACACCCCCAAGTAACTGTTAAAAAGCACCTGGATCAATAAGCTCATCAAACCACAAGATTACATGACTGTCACCAATGAGGGCACAGATACACGCGTCAGTGAAGACTCCATTTGCTTGGAAATACCCCTCATGGGGATGGTTTATGCTCACTATAATTATTCACATAGACTTCTGGCGGGAATATAAAACATCATCCATTAGGACAACAGCAAAACAACAAGAACATTTGTGTCGATACTTCACTGTTTGATGGTTATAATGTCTAGTGATTCTACACTTTCAGGCTATATTGCATTGCAAATGTTTCAATAGTCTTAGGCCTGTTTGTTGTCATACATCCTACCCTTTCCTCCTGTATACGGTGTGTCAATCCTGATATCAGCTGTTCTCATCAGCTGGTTGCACATTCCCCACCATCAGCTTTTAAATACAATTCTCTCTCTGCTTTTAGTATTGCATGCCCATGCACCCCACTACCCTGCGCCTGCCCATCACTGCCCAGTCCCAGCTGCATCATCGGCAATGTTGACAATTTCTGATTCGGAGCTGTGATCCAACTAGCACCACATTTAGCGGCCATTCATCAGAACAAAAGGAGAGAAAACTGTCATGTAGCTGATGCTTCTTCATCAGCCCCCACAAAGAAGGCAAATGTTGACAGTCACACTGCAACCCGATCCCACCACCTAATCCTCACAGGATCCCTCAGGGTTCCTGTGAATCACTGTGTACCAGCGGGATGGAACACAAACACACTTTTTGCCAGACCAAACAACGGGGAAACTACCGTCACTTATTGCCTCAGCTGCCCCATGAGAACAGAGAACCTAATTAATGGTAACGTATGCTTAATCCGCTTGATCAAAATATTTAGAGAATGTGAAATCATCAAACAGCTACGGATCGTTTCCGCTCTGGCAGGCCGATGGGAAACAGACTGGGTCAATAAAAAGTGGGGAGAGCAGGAATGCCGTGCTGCATGTGATCTATACCAGAAGTTGAGAATTAGTTCAACTTAAGCACATGGGTAGATACAAAACGTATCGCATTTATAGTTTAGTTATAAGCCGGTTTGTTGCTCTTTCGGAATTAGCCCAAATACATATGTTGCATACAACACATAGATTCTAGGCCTGTTTGAATTCAGTTAAACATCAAGCATCATCCTCGAGTAGCTGTAGACAAGGACAAGGCATAGAAGACACACGTACTGACTCCAATCAAGCGGCAGCCTCCAGTGTATGACCTGTATGTTTTCACCTCCATTACAGCTGTTCCAATTAGGTGAGTTTTATGAATCCATGTCTTACTGCTATCGTAGTACATATTTTGTAATGATGCTCGCTCCCACTCACCTCTCTTCTTCTTGCTCATCGGCCCACTCACACCGTCCCTGGCATTCCTCAAAGCTCTCCGTGCATCGAGCAGCTCCTTGCGATACATCGCTCTCGTCTTCCTCCCAACGTCCCTTCAACGGGCTACTACTGCCCCAAACATCTGCCCCGCTGTGTGCAAGTCTTCTCACAAGGCCTTTTATTGAGACACAGCACTTTTAACGGGGGAACTTTCTCAAAATTACTCCAGCAGGCCCAGTTTTCCCAGCGTCATCTTCTCTTAAGGTCGCCTCTTTTTTGCCCTCTTCCTGTCTTCCCCCAGTCCTCCCGAGCTTTGACTGCCAACTTCAGCAGTCTATTTCCAGTCTCGTATAGTACAACCCCTTCAGTTGTGGTGTACTTTCCCTTTGCACCCCCTTTCAGAGAGCCTGGCCCCCCCGTCAGAGCAGGAGATTAAAACCCACCGCTACACAGACAGCAGACGACCTTTGTCGTCCTCTGTGGGTCACTCTGCTTGGACCACAGGGAGTTTTGAATCTCGAGTACAACGCAGACTTCTCGTTATACACCATTAACGTACGGCTACAACTGCACATACATTATGGGACAATACGGGAGTTAAAACAGACATCAGTCAAAAGAGGAAGACTGCCAAGTGCTCATAAATCTCAAAGAGGGAGGTGAAAAAGAAAAAACACACTGTAGCGTAAAATTCATATCAATACTCTGAATCATTTATCTTTTATAGAATACTGAGAAGCTTTTGATGTTGACTGTCTCAAGTTGTATTTGAGCTGATTGCTGTTTTCAGGAGGCCAGAGCCCCAACCTTCATCCTTGCATCCTCAAGCCATCTGGGGCTAAAACTTCCACAACAACCCATCCATCCGTCGCCAATGTCCACTACCTGCCTAAAACAATACAACTCACGCTGTTGTGATGTCACTTACACTTATAATGCACATATGAGCCTAGACACATGGAATGATTTGGTTCCCTTGTGACTCCCTAAAACAAAAAGGATGCTCACATCTATGAGATTTTTTTCTGTTCTGCTTTAAAGTGCAACAAAGACACCCCCCTGCGTCACAATATGAGAATTATCTGCCATTTCAAAAGTAGCTTACACTACGCCTTACGTGGAGCTCGCATCGAGCCGTATTTATTCAAAAGCTATCCGCCAGAGGGTGACGTCAGTCGAGGGGTCGAGACACAGCACTTCTGTGGCTTCTGGGTGATATCTTAAAGCGGCAGACCTGAGGGTCTACCTATCAGGCGAACCAAGCAATGCTCAAAAGCTAACCGCCCAACAGGCCCCACCACAAATCCCCCCACACCCCCGGCCTCCCTTTCATCCCCCTGACGGTGATGGAGAGTGACAGCGCAGAGTCTTGACCGTGGAGACGCTATAATTATCTGTGATGTCTGCTGGTGCAATCGGAGAAGGGGCCGGCGGCGGCATCCACACATCACTCGAGCACGAGCCCTCTAGCCTGCACGGCACGTACCAGGTTATAAATAACCACGGGGGGAGGAGTGGGCTGGATCAAGCTTAACATACAACTCAGCACATAGAGGGAAAGAAACTACTACCAAAAAGGGGGTTGAGAACAAAAAACTTGAATAAAAGATGCACGCAATCTGTGCCGTCGTCTCATTGTAAGATAAATGATTCACAGAGAGAATAAAGAGGAGAGAATTAGTGATGAGATTAAGAGTAAGAAACAGAGAGCAGAAATAGGTGATGACGAACAAAGCGGTCAAAAAGTAGAAACTAGGCTGGACTGCAGGGAGTCGCTCAGAATAAGGGGAGCGAGTCAGAGAGGTGCCGAGTGACATGCCAGCTGAACCGCGTGTGCCAGCTCAGAAGTGTGAGAGCTGGTGACATGTTAGCCCAACTGTCAACTCCACAAGCCAAGACGACGACACCGCGATCGGATACAGCCCCAAACGGGCATGCTTCAATAGCTGAACCTGATCATTTTATCTAAAAGTTAAATAATACCCGGCATCAGCTTTGCCTTTACCATTCCCATATGGGTTATTCTCACCATAGAAGTAGAAGATTGTTCCTACCGATTATTCCTAAAAGAGTCCGATTCACTGCTGAGACGCTGACGTACTGAAACTATGACATACATGTGTCCATATATGTCACGTATGATTATGCTAGAGATAGTTACTGGGGCACAGAGAAGAGTCAAGCTTAAAAACAGGAAGCTTTTCTCTGCGGGGCGGAGGTGACGAGATAAACCGGGGACTAATGGACGATCCAATCAAATCCATCATGCCAGAGAGCAAAGACACTGGAGCACTTCCAGACGAGTTCATCATTCATAATCACACAGCTCTCTGCTAAAAACTCTGTTCTGTCCGACACTCCTAAAAAGTAGCAGTTCCTGGATGCAACTCCAGTTCTACGAGTGTGAGAAAAGCAAGGAGAGGAAGAAGGAGTGAGACTTGCTACGTGAGCAGATTGTTTAATGACGTACTTGATACAATACGGAGCGGAGGAGGCCCATTGAACTCGTTCATATGAGTCAGCTGTTACTCCATCGGGGTTAGTGGCCACTTCGGTCTGCAATGTGGCTGCTGCACTGAAAGTGAGTGAGACAGGATGAACGGGACATATGGAGCTGCTCCTACCAGATCATGTCATGTCTCGCGTGTTTTACTGTTTGAATTTACGCTGGGAGATCCGCCACCCTGATCTGACCAAAACACTACCTACTCTGAAGTAAAGGACCAAAAGCTAATAAAAAGCCAGTGCAGGCGACCATCCTCCCTTCCAGAGTCTCTACCTACATCCACAAGCTCCTTGTAAGCCTGTCCCAGTTTAAACAATTATATAAATAAAGCTTTAAGAGAGTGAAAGGAAAATGTCCCCCTGTTAAAAGAAAGTTTCATTACCTTCACCCAGGTCCATAACGGCCAAGACGGCGCTGCAACTCGCCTCTCCGAGCTCATTGGTCGCCACGCAAGTGTACAGGCCTGCGTCGCTAGTGCGGCAGTCCCGAATCCACAGCCCGCCGGAGTCCTGGGCTTCAGATGGGGGGAGCGGCTCGCCGTTGTGGTACCACGTCAGCAGAGGTTTGGGGAATCCTGCCACCGACAGCCGCAGTCGGATGTCGCAGCCCGTTCCTACCGCCGCCTTGCGGAGCTTTCGGGTGAAGGTGGGCGCCGCGGGTTCTTGCATTGCGACGTCGGCATCAGGATGAATCGGGTCCTTGGTGACTTTGGGCCTCTCGAAACTGGGACTGGATCCGGGAACTTCTGCCATCTTGATTTCTGTCAGACCTACACTGGGGACTGTAATGACCAGCGCACATCGCTTTCAACCACATCATAGTTATGTTCATGTAGCATCAAAGATCCTCACTGACATGTATTCCAAACGGCCTAAAACAACCCTAGAATAAAACTTCCTATCCATAAAAATTACAATATTGAAAAATATTTTCTGGGTTCAGCGAAGGATGCTCCATCCATTGCACAATGTGTCGTGCTGCTATTGAGACGATGTAGTCATAAGTGAAAAATGGGAAGTTCGATCCATACTGGGCTGAAAAAGTAAAGATGCATCTAACCCTTTTTTCCGTCTCCTGCAGGTGCAGTTGCTTGGAGAACTCTTACTATGTATTTTCTGTCATTTTGGTAACCAGGATGTGGGGAACAAGGCGTGTCCTGATACCTTACACTGTTATAACATGTGTTAAGACGCTACTAGTGAATGTTCTTTCATTGAAAATGAAAACCAGGGGCTCTACGAAGGTGATATTATAAGCCTCAGCAGTCTTAAGGAGGATTTGCCCTACAAAAGAGCATTGACGCCAAATGCCAGGATTTGCCTTTCATCTCCGACCCACAATTACCTTTGACAACTTTTTCTATCACGCTCTTCCTCCTGGTAACAAAGTATGTTACTACCTGTGTGTCTCTGGCCTGCTGATGGGAGCACAACATCAGAACCAAAAATCACAGGTTTCTCAGTTTGGTTGGCTTTAGTTTTTAGACCATTCTGCAATTTAAATAATTCTTTGACTAATAATTGGGAGAGGAGAACCTTAGTGGCAATATACAGAATTATTAAATTTTCTGATTAAAAATATGATCTTCCGTTAATTTATTGATCTAACCCCACATTAGAAAGAAATGCATCTCACCTCACTTTTGCCATTGAAGACAAAAGATCTCCTTCCGGACATCCCACAAAGTCCAAGTTAAGGTAACAAGATCCATGGAGCAAAATACTTCATCTCAAATCATTTGCTGAAGCCCGTGTCTCGTATGCGTGTCCTTCAGCGAGCCCGGGCTTTAGGTGTAAGTCCAGCCTAGATCATGTAGCATTAGCAGGCGCTGCCGTGGCCCCTTTCAACAGCTTCAGCGCCGCCGGTAACTGCTGAGCCACAGATTCCTTTTCCTAAATGTCAGCCACTCAGGCCCGCCGCTCTCGTGTCTTTTCAGTGACCACATCTGAGTACTTCCAAAAAAAAAAAACACATTCTGAAACTTTAGTGCTTTTTTCAGTACTTACAGCAGCTCATTTTCTCTCCCTTTCTCTTTCTCTCCCATCTCACTGGTTCAGCCCTCGACTCCCTCAGGTTGGGAATGACAGCTGCACCACTGTGGACAGGTCACATTTCTTAGGCTGCCATGTATGACCAACACCCCCTCTCCCCCAAACACATACAAGCTTCGTTGATAATGTTATCAACCAGTGTGTGTGTGTGTGTGTGAGAGGACATCACCCTGGGACATTCCTTCTGTTGTTTTTATCGTTCAGGTTTTGTTTAGGATGGTAATTTAGTTGTGATGGTTAAGATGTCAGGTTCAGGACTTTATTGTCTCAATGAGTGTCCTCACAAAGACAGAAGTACTGTGTTATGTTTGTGCGTGAGGGACAGGCAAACAGCGTGTGTGCGTGTGTGACAGTTGGAGTTGCTATAAAAAGAAGGTCTAAGAATAAAGACAGTGATTCACACAACTGTAGGGCAGTGATATAACATTACAATCCGATACAAGTGGTTGGAACATTTGCAGTAGTTACAGTAGAATACAATGTTTGATACATTTATTCAACGCAGGCATTTTGAGTTCATTTGTACCATTCTTTCCAATTAGTTTTGCATGTGTTATATTGATGTTTTGCCCCTGTCGACACATGCTACTATTAATTCATTTTTGATTATAATAACTGTGGATGAAGATATGCCCATATTTACAAAACATTGCTGTTCCTTAATTTCATCATCTTTCCTTTGGATTGTCAGGTAGCTAGCTCACTTTTTCACTCTGATCGATAGGCTTTCTTTATCTTTTTAACATCCTGGATATATCATTCTAACACATATTGTAGACCCTTCTGTCCACGTCTCTCTGGAATCCCTTTCCTTGTTCATCCACAAAATAGAGGACGTATAAAATAAGTGAGTGCAGTTAGTGTCAGTGTTGGCTCAATGGTAGCTCTGGCAGCTTGACGGAGTTGCAGCGAGGGACATGAGTTAGCGAAGAGTGTTATCGGTATTTGCTTACGCTTTTATTCACAGTTTCCCAAAGAAAAAATCTGTTCTAACTTGTCTTGAATGAGCTGTCGTCCCCTGAGAGGTTCCAACACTGAGATACACAGAACTTTATTGTATAGCCAATATGTAAAGCTGTTCAGCCCGATAATGATCACGAGTACCTCATTTTAGACGATGTTTGTTTTGGTTGCTAAGTGTGATGATAATAACATGTAGAGTTTTGCTAACAGTTGAGGCATTAACAGTGTTACATATAATTCCTAAAGGCTGTTTTCTCATCATCTTCATGTGCTGCTGTTGGTTTCATCCAAACGCATTGACAAAAACATTATTGGGACAAATGTTACTGTTGGAGTACAGTAGATATCAGTGGAGAAAGATGAAGATGAATTTACGTTGTTAAGTTGTGATGTTGTATTTTGTCGCCCTCTTTTGGTCGACACAATGAATTGTAAGATTAGGCTCGATTTTTTATAGTAAGTAAGTGTCTCAATGACGTATCGAGCTAACGTTACAGTAATGCTAATAACTATTAGCTCAAGTTAGCATAAATCAGATGGAAACCGGATAAATGTCCGTGTAAGCAATAGCTAATATGCTTTAGCTTTTAGCTAAAGTAAAGGAATTAACGTTAATAGTTGTTTGCAGAGCTAACTTGGTATGCAATTAAAGTGTGAAAGTGACTTAAAGTTGAATTAACGTTAGCTAACTTTGGTGGCTAACATGATAGCTAACATTAGCACAATTAAGATTTAACGTTAACCGCTAAGAGTTAGAAGTAAGAGTCACTTCTCTTGTGTTAACTTAAAAGTTCGTTTTCTGCATGTCACAAAAACACATTTCAGCTACACAAAAAGTAAAACCAGATGTATACAAAGCGTATATCTCACCCATGGATTTTTTTCTGTGCTTTTGTTCAGGTTAAGTCAGGCAGGTCAACGGCTGCTGTCGCTGCTAACGAAGTTAAGTTAACGTTAGTTATATTTAAGTTAATATATTATCCAAGTCGGCCATGAGTGTGAGCCAGTACGAACGATAGAAAACTGCTGAAACCGGAGACGCTAACCAGAATTGAGCTGTTATTATTGTCTTTATGTTTTATTTCAATTATTGACACCAGACGTAACATTACATTAGTGTTTTTCAGAAGTGACGTCAGAAGTGCCGTCATCCTACAGTTTGACCACAGTCTCACTTCAAGCATAAACAGTTGATTTCAATGACGAAATTATGGGAAATCGCTGCTTGTTCGCTCTTTGATGCTTTTTTATTTCGTAGCATCACTGATTCAGATTAGTAACAGTATAACATCTTAAAATGCTTATTTTTACTTTGTAAACACTGGGTTGGAGCTCCACCTTTAAGCCTTCAACCTAACCTCACAAACTGATGGCAAAGAAAGGTAATAAGGTCAAAGTTACAATAGCATCAAAGCATCAAAGGATTACTTATTTTTTTCTACATGAAAACAGTGCAAGCCTCCTAATGTTATACATTTTATGAAAGTTAAATGCAATTTGATGGTTAAAACCAAAAAATCGGTGAACATCTGGTCCTTGGCAAGTTAAATATCTGATTAAATATTCTTGTTCATAAACATACCATATGAAAAATATTTCTCTGAGACGTATTCAAGGCTGGGCTGCACGGTGGCGTGGCTGTCGCAAGAGGGTCCTGGGTTCGACTTCGCCCAGTGGCCTTTCTGTGTGGAGTCTGCCTGTTCTCCCCGTGTCTGCGTGGGTTCTCTCCGGGTTCTCCGGCTTCCTCCCAGAGTCCAAAGACATGCTCTGGGGATCAGGTCAATTGGGGACTTTAAATTGCCTGTAGGTGTATGAATGTGAGTGTGAATGGTTGTTTGTCTCTGTGTAGCCCTGCGATTGGCTGGAGACCAATCCAGGGTGAACCCCGTCTCTTGCCCCCCGCGACCCTGTGTGCAGGATGATAGATATGGCCGCTCTGCATCATTACAAATGATGTATTAAAGGTCACAAATTAATGTTTTCCAGCGTAACGAGAAGGTAAAACAGCGCGCACAAATATAATTTTATTATTGTGAAACCTACTACGAAAGCCGATAATACAAAACATGTGTTGTTGTATTTGACTCTGCAGGATAGAAAAGAAGACAACTAAACAAGCAGAGACATTCCCTCCATACTGTGAAACAGGCGTAGAAAAAGATAATGCGACATCACAGCCGTCAAGGCCATCCTCTGCTCTCTTCCTCATGTGTTGGAAACAAGGCGCTTTTGCTTGCACACGTCACATAGACTCAGAGAGCTGTAGACAACCGAGGGCTCTGTTTTCTGGAGCTTATTGGACCTCCATCTTTACAGAAAGGCTATGCAACGCCGGAAAATCGCCACACTTTTGCCGTGCACGTTTATGTTGTCACACCTGGGGGTTATTTTCGCAGTACAGCCATGGTGTCCTGTGCTCCCTTCATCCTGGGCCCTCTGTGGATCCATGCTCTGACGCAAGCCTGCATGGGAGAAGAGCTGTCCCGCGAAGCGGTGTTGTCCTGGTTTACAGGGCGGTTCCTGGAGGGCCTCGGGCTGGAGGAGGCCCCGTAGAGGTTCCTGATGGGCACACGGCACAGCCAGAAGCAAGGCCGGCACCCCCCCCAGGGCGGCGGGGGTCATCCATCCGACCGTGGAAACATCTGAAATCATTCTCTTCCCCAATTCTGGTGAGAAGTGCTTCTGCTATTTTGTCTTTTACCCACCAAAACAATCTTTTTTGCTTTACAAAATAATTATGAACAAAGCAAATAATGTTTTAGAAGATTTAGATGTTATAGAGATTGAAATTAAACATAGCCCTGATATAAATTACATTCCAACAGTGGCGCCAATTGATCAGATATTTCTCAACCAAAGTGCCTGTGATTTCTATTCCAGCTTTGAAACTACGCTACCTAAACTATATAGTCCATAAAGTCTTTAACTTAATCTGATCATTTGACGTGGCGGTAAACTGACTATATTCCCGCTATAAACACAAATAAAACAAATACATTTGAATAAGCTGGTGTTCATTCAGGCTGCTTTCAACTGCAAAGTTTGAAGTCTATTTTGTAGCCAAATTGTTCCCATTCATGTTTGTGAAAAGAAGTGTGTTGATCTGAAAGTCTGCAGCCTCCTCCACACAACAGAAAGGAAAATGAGGATGACGCCTCAACCAAGCAGCTGACTTCACTGACTGCTTTTATCTCCCTTTGGCAGACTCCCTCTGTGCCACAACCAACTCAGCTCCTGGAGAAACGGCCAGCAGCCACTGCACGTATCATGTCCAGCCCTCCGCCAGAAACCTGGAGATGCTGGTCACGTCTGCCCACTTCTGGTTCCATACAGGCGATGGAGCGAACTCCTCCGCCCAGCTGTTCATTCAAACCTCAGCGCAGGAGCGCCTTCGGCCGGCCGGGGCTCCCTCGGAGACGGGCTCGGACGGGTGGATCACCTACCACCTCGGACTAAACCAAGCCGGCCCCCCGGGGCAGAGGGCCCTTTTCTGCTCCAGGTCCGCTGTCCGGCCTGTCAGAACCACGCCAACAAATCAGACAAGACGCCCTTTCTTCACCTCCACGCTCGGCCTCGTGGTCCTGTCCTTCCGCCGCCGACCCTCTGAGTGACTGCCTGAGGGCAGAGATCAAAATCAGCTTTGAGAAGCTGGGCTGGGCCCACTGGATTGCCTATGCGAAGCTGCTGACTTTCCAGCACTGTCATGGGAACTGCGCAGCCTGGGATTGAACTCAGTGATGAGGTCACTGAGGGTCATCACGACATCTTACTGGGGGGGTTATCGTTCCAGTACGAGACCTTGCCCAACATTATACCTGAAGAGTGTATTTGTATCTGAGCCTGGAAGCTTAAAGGGCCAGTAAATCAGTAATCGTTTCTGATCCGTACACCAAGATTTGTTTAAAAAAAAAAAAAAAAAAAAAAACTGAGCAGGAAGTATTTTAGATGTCTCCAAGACTGCAGAAATGTGTGGTAATTTGGGGAAGCGGATAATTTAAAGATCTACATTCAACTTGTGTGACTAATAAGACTTAAAGTTTGTTACTTATAAACCAATAAATAAAAATGATCCAAGGACAGCATTGTATTACTTTGCATTGGTTGTTATTTCTGACCTGTAGAGGGCAGTCTTTGTCTACATCGCTTCATTTACCCATTAATAGCTTTAACATACAGTCGGACTTCTGTTAACCATGAGTTATATTAAATTGGATTTGAATAAACTCTGATGTGTTAAATATCACAGAAAAAAAAAAAAAGCAACTTCACAGAGTCGAGTCCAAAGTGTTACTTTAATATATTTATTTACTCTGAAGAAAAAAAAAAATGTCTACTGTTCCAAAAACATACAATAGAAAAACAAATGTATTAACCAACAAAATATAATCTTCAAAATGGAATGTTGTAGCAAAACTTGAAGTGAGATTACAAAAATACAGCATCAAACTGCTCTTTAGCAATGTAGGTTTATAATGTCAGCCTAAGCCCATCAACCAGATGAGGAAAGCGTGCAACCTCCGTATGAACAAAGCTATTGATCAAAAGCCTCGCCATGAATTAAAGATTATACATGTTTACATGGCTCAGCTTCAGCAGCCAACAGTCATCCTTTTTTCAGCTGGGTGGAGTTTTTATTCCAGGCTACATGAAAGCATCGATGTTTCCGAGTGGTGAACGTCACGTTTGGGAAGAAAACATCTCACCAAAGAAGAATGTAAATGTCAGAAAACAAGGAAGGAATTTGAATGTTGCCAGAAGGCAGATGTTTCCAGCCGGTTAGCAAAGAAAAAACACCCCCCAAAAAATGTGGAATTATTCTTTCAATTTCCACAAAGGTGAACATCGCGATACATTTTTAAATTGTACATTATTTAGAGATGAGATGTACCAACTGTTGCATTAGTAGTTTCAACACTTCCATCTAAACAAAAGAGTAAATATTCTGGAGCTTTGGGAGAAGAAACAGTCAAACAGCTACTGGTAAAATGCAACTAGTGCTTTAAATGAATGGAGTACAAAAAAAACAAACAAAAAAAAAAAAAAGATTCTTGGAAATTCTATGGAACATTTCCGGTCGATAAATTCAAGCATTTCCCAGGTAAACATTTTGGCCGAGTTGAGCAAATACACAGGCTTCCAAATGGTCAAATATTTCTGAAATGGTGTGGATAATAAACAATGACCTGACAGAATGCTGCTGCACGCGGCCCAGAAAAGACATTAGCAGATTCTGAGGCCGACAAGCCAAAGAGGCCTTTTAGACAGAGAAGAGTTTTAAAAACAGGTTTCGATAATCCTGACACAGTCTGAAATTGATGATCACTGAATGGCCACAACAACAGAGGGGGCGGGACAACAAGGTGCACACAAATGTGCGTTGGCAGAAGGCACAAGGTTTGGACGCGGCTCAGCGATTTTCTGACTCACCTCCAATACTGAAAAGTGCATCGCTAAAAACACACACAAACACATCCCTCCCCCCCAGTGGTCTGACTGCACTCCTATGCGCCCCCCCCCCGCATGTGTAAGGCCGGTAGGAATGGAAGAACAGACTGTTGGGGCAGGAGGCACGCTCAGGCTTGTGCTCCTAGGAGAAAGACACAAGAGACAAATATTCAGCATGTTTGTTCACTCACGATAAATCATATCCATGTTACAATAGAGCCCAGTGGATGGGGCAAACATTTTGGTAGATTTAACATGTTCCCAGTCTCAAAGCTACTTACAGAAAAGGCACTTTTAGAAATAGGGAGATATTCTTTGTCAAGACATTCTGCATTCTACATCAAATTGGTTGTTTTGTTGACACAAAAGGCATAAACAATTTTCTATTCTCAGTCCAATAAAAACACAGGGTAGTTAATTTTTAAAACCTCGGAGGTTTTGACACCCAACTAAGTTGAAATCCCTGCGAAAAGCTTGTTACCTTTCTCGCTCGCTTCCCCCTGCTTTTCCTGGGCGAAGTTGAGGCGGTTCTGCTCGGCGGCCATCTGCGCAGCCGCGTTGCCCTCCGGGCTGCTGCTCCGGGAAGGGCTTCCCTCATCGGCCTGGTAGGCCAGGTCCAGGTGCTGCTGCGCCAGCTTCAGGTGACCCCTCAACCGCTCCAGCTCCCTGGATGAGGGCAACTCGTCCCTGAAACTCTCCCGCCCAGAGTCCCCCATTGGGGAGTTCCTCGGCTCTCCCTTCAGTTTCTCCTTCTTCATGGTGGCGTGGTATCCCGGCGGAGCAGCGTGCCCGGGGCGAGAGGACGACGGAGGGGGGGTGCGAGAGCAGAGCGTGGCCCGCCTGCGGAAGGTGTCCTGGATGCCTCCGACCCCCAAGTGGATGATTTCAAAGACTGTGAGGAGCAGGCAGAGGAAAGACACAACGTACATCACCAGCAGGAAGATGGTCTTCTCGGTGGGGCGCGACACAAAGCAGTCCACAGTGTGCGGGCACGGCGAGCGAGTGCAGACGTAGGAGGCCATCACCTCAAAGCCGTAGAGGACATACTGGCCAAAGAGGAAGGCCACCTCGAAGGAGGTGCGCCAAAGCAGCTGGCACACATAGACTTTCATCAGGCCGTCGCGCATGATCCGCCGACGGCCGTCGTGCTTCTTCCCAGAGCCTTCAAGATAGAAACAAACAGTGGTTGGAATCTAAAGCCAAAACATTCTGGGCACAAAATTGGCACCCGCTTGTGGTGCAACATTGCTTCTGCCGTCGCCACAGTACTTTTTTCTGCCTTGTTGAGTTTCTCTAGTTCGACCTCTTCAGCGATCATGGGGTCCTCCTCGCCGTTGTTTTCGGCCTCCTCGTAGTCCCGAACTGCCCCCCGGCTCACGATGGGTATCCTCTTCTTCTGGGTCCGGGGGGGGCAGTACTCGCTGTCCTCCGTGCGGGCGATCTTGTGCATGGCAAAGCCCAGGTACATAATGGTGGGGGTGGTGATCAGAATCACCTGGACAAAAAGAAACAGGACAGTCTAAAACCACACCTGTAGATATCGGTTTCACAACTGACTGGTGTTCATCCACTGAAACGGGGCGCGCAGCTCACCTGAAAGATCCAGAATCGAACATGCGAGAGCGGCGCAAACGCGTCGTAGCACACGTTCTCGCAGCCGGGCTGCTGCGTGTTGCAGACAAATTTACTCTGCTCGTCGTAGTAGATGGATTCCCCGCCGACGGCAGTCAGCACGATGCGGAAGACGATGAGCATAGTCAGCCAGATCTTCCCCACAAAGGTGGAGTGGTTGGAGATCTCATCCAGCAGACGAGTGAGGAAGCTCCAACTCATGGTGCCGAGGTCACCGGGAAGCTAGAGGAGCCGTGGATCTAAAACAAGAGACAGGAAAAGTGTCCTGGATAAATAGAAAGTGTACACTTAAAGGTTTACACATCCACACAATGATTAAAGAATGCAAATGAAAATACTGCCATGCGGGGTAAACCTCATCCGCGGGCCCGAGAAATAAACACAGCCACATGCTTTGTTGTAATTAGACACAGAGCTCTTAGAAACGCAGGTATCCAAGCGGAAACAACACAACAGTCCGTTTGTCCTGCGAGCGGTTTGTTAAACCAACACTCTGCTGGCTGGTTAGTTGCGGCTAGCTGTGAGACCTGCTGTGGCATTGGGCCGCAGGAATTATGACACTCAAAGGCAGGGCGTGTGGTTACGAATGGATTCCTTTCCTGCAGCATTGCGAGAGGTTACCCATTAAAATGATTTTTAAAAGCCGCCAGTGACTATATTCAGTAAACAAACTCCTCCCGCCAACATTCTGCACTCGACTACAAAGAAACAGGGTGAAGTTCAGAAAATAAGCATTGGTCATGACTCATTTGGACAGGACGCGGCTGTGGCCACTCCAAGCATCTGTGGGCGCATCTGCACGATACTCAGGCCCTCACTTGCCGGGTTACTCATCCATTCCTACGCGAAACCTCTTTGCGTTGGCACCGTCAGACCGAAGCAGCCTGTAGAAGCCAGACTCGCCCGAGCCCGAAATTATAGGCCTTGAAACACGTCAGGTCTAAAAATAAGTCTGAACGGTTTCGACACATCATATTCAAAGCAGCTTGAGATGGCTGCAGCGACATCAAATCTGTAGCTCAGAAAACATCTCACGCGCCGGCACGGAACAGTCAACTCATGGAGGTGGGAACTGTTGATTGTTTGAGGAGGCAGACTTTGTGGCCCTGAAATAAAGTCAACATCTGCTGGGGAACAATAAGATAATAAGAAACCTTGACTCCCAAGGTGTCTCCGCATGGACCAACATGATGCCTGGGAAATACACACTGCGGTTCAGAGTTAGATAACTGAACACAAAAGTTTCTCACAGATGAATTGTGGCCCTCAATGAGGCAGATGGTCCCCTAAAAACAACATTGGTCCCAGTTACCACAGTGTTTGGTTTCCTCCTCGTGTTCCGATGCTCAGTCATCGCAATAATTGTCATTGTCATATCAGACGGCCGTGGATTCACCAGTAGGACCAAAACAAATGACAAAAAACAAACAGGAGGCCTACATTAGAATCTGACCTCTGGGGTTCTACCTCTGCTTGGGTCAACTTTATCAAACTGTAAACAAACTTATCTCCTCCCTTCAGTTTCCTAGAAAATCTACACTTGCTGGATAGGACTTGCCCTTGCAAACATTTGAGGTGAGAGATGCACGGTAAACTGGAAAAACGTTGACTTATTTTATGTTCCAAATACTCGAGGACAAAATCAATCTAGAAAAGGAGAACGAGCAAGTTGAATGTGTACACCGTGGACCGCCAGGAACACGGAAGTCAGAGGGGTCATTTCTTTAGGGTCCTTCTGTCAAGAACTAAAGGAGTGGTCTCCTGACTCTTGGCAGGAGAGACAAAAGGCTGCATGGGTATATGATTACAGCCATGGGCTTTGCACCAGGCCAAGGGCTCAGGAAAGGTTACAAAAAAGCTTTAGGACTTTTCAAACAGACTGAATGTCCTCAGGTGAGACTTTTACAGCCCCCCATAAAATGGCATCACTGCGGAGGGTGTCTGCCCCAAATAAAGACAAGGACAACAAAAGAAGATCTCACCAAACAATCTATTTGACTTGGACAAACTCAAGTAAACGCAAAACATCTCCCCTTACCCCAAAGCAAACCAAAGACTGCTTTCAAACAGTAGCTTATTTGCTCACATGGGCTGAACCCAGCTCAACTGATTTAATGGATTTTTTGCTCCGGGTGGAGAAGGGAGGGGGGGGGGGGGGGGGGCACTCCGGACAAAGCAAAGGCGAGCAGACATTCCTGCCTAACCAAAAGCAGAGAGCTGGATTTTTAGGGTTAGGGGAGCGGACTTTGAAAGACATCCAAAACAGTTCTCCTTTCGGTCAGGAACACGCTGTTAGAAGGAAATGACAGTAAAAAAGCGCAGTTTGAAAAGCCCGTGCCGAGTCGTTTTTGGAAAGCGCGGCGTCCCTGGAGGTGAATTAGAGGATGGATCCATCATCAAGAGTCCCACACACGATGAGTTTGGAAAGTTTAAACCACTCGGCCATTAGAATTACTCATAAAAACATAACAAAAACGAACAGGAAAATCACTAATGCTTTGGGTCTGCGGTGCGCGTCCATTTAAACATCCAGATGTGGCAGCCGGTCGTCTCCTCTGGTTTAACAAAAACCTTTTCAGGGGTTTTATCAAACTGTGTGCCGTTATAAACAGCCACTCGTGCTTAGGTTTGAAGGGTTATTTGTTCTCATTTCAGTATGAAAAGCTAAGCGGGACTGCGCAGGGACTCACCGCACTGTGGCACGCGTAACCCCAAATCTCACACTGCTCGTGAAAAACACAAAGTGAACAACTCAAATGAGAATCGGCGGAGCGGTAGAAAGAATCCTAAAGCTGTTTTAACAAACTTTGTCCTGCCGCAAAACACCAACCTTCTGCGTCCTGATCCGCGTGGCTTCGCGCGCTTAATTGCTCCACCAGCTTTTCCTAATTAGCGCGCGCTCTCATTGGCTTGTGCGTGCGTTCGCGTCAGTCCTCTTAGTGGGAGCCCGCACAGCCCGCATTGACCCGCATGTGTCGGGGTCCCGAACAACAGGTCAACAGAAAGATCTCTAATTCCCGCAGGCTCCGGTTCTCCTTCTCCTTCTCCTCCTCCTCCTCCTTCTTCTGCACCACCTCCACGTAACGCAGCCCCAGAGGAGGAGGAAGGTGGAGGAAGGAGGAGGAGGAGGCCCCTCGCCTGAAACCTGAGATCCACGACTACCGTCCGCCACATACTCATGATACCCAAAAGGACTAAAGGGCCTTGGTCTGATTTGGATTTCTGTTTATTTTATGGAAATATGGACACACTTCAATAAGACATCTCCATATGCACCCAATTCACAATTCATTATATGAAGGTTCTATGTGTGAAGTAATTAAGTATTTACAGGCTGCAAAAAGTGACTATTTACCCTCTCATATTACTTGCATCCTCCCAAATGCTCATGCATTGATGCACACGTGTGGAATTGCACCATTAAACACCAAAGATCCCAGTTGTTGGAACACTTGCATGTCTTGTAAGTGAAATCCACACCCTGTGTCAGCGCTGCGTGACTGGTTGCTTGCAGACCACCAGGCCCACCGTCCAACTATTTCCTCGGCTCGGGCGTTCAGCAAAACAACGGATCTCTTGCTGTCATGCACGCTGCAGTGCTCCTGATTTACCAGATAGACCTGGAAAAGTTTTGAAGGAGGCTGTGTGAAGTCGAATCCGACCAAATGTCTGCCAAGTCTCCCCAGCTGGAGCCCAGCTCCTCCAAATGCCTCAAATCTGATCCAAAACGAGACACGAACTCTTGCACCTGCATCCTTTTATCCTCACTTATTGACGGACAAACATAATTAATGTCCTGTAATCTCGCAGGAGTCTCCGTTTTGAACCCATGGGTTGTTCGTCTGAGACTGATTATATCGGCACCCTGGTAAGCTGTATTAAATACCACTGAGTTATGGCCGTTGAGGCGTGAATGGTGTGACAATTAGGGCTCCTGAGCTGAAAAAAATCACAGTGGGATCATGGGGCTGAAAATTCCTTTCTCCACCCATGGATTGCATATATTAGCTGCTTGAATGAGGCCAGGCCACACTGGTACGTTCAGGCCCACTTGCACGGCCCGAAGCCTTTTCTCACCAAACGTCGTGGTCGCGTTTTAGCATCACTCTCGATTGCCTTCTCCCTCCCCAAACATAAAACATTGACAGCCACGGCGCGCAGTCCTTCTGACTCACGGAGGTTTTAAAGAGTTTCTGGGCTCACTCATTTAAACTTGAGCAAAAAAACAAAAAGGTATCCTGGCAACATGAAGCAGACTCTTGAAAGATTTATGGAAAATTAAATCGATACACGGAGAATAGTGGGAAAAAAAAGAGAAGGAATAGAAATGCACGAGAGTGAGAAACAAATAGTCCTAGACAGCGTGGAGTTAATTCACCCTTTACTGCACTCTTTCCTTTCATGTAAACTATACACTCCAGCACTTATTTAACCCCAAGCTTGAAGCTCAAATAACAAGACCTAAGACGTCCTAATTTGTAAAAAGCTTTTATAGACTTAGCAACTCAAACAAATAAAAGCACCATGCACGTGTTGAGCACTCTGCTGGTGCACTGATGTCCACTTAATATTTAACTTAACACTGCTGATTTATGCTCTAAATGGTATCCTAAAACCCCAACAAGTAGTGCACCAGCTGTGGGGCAAGAGTTCTTAACATGAAAGATTGGTGAATCTCCTCTGCACAGATTCTATAATTCCTTTTGAATTTGTTCACCGTGAGAAGGACGCCGTGTATCGACAGAAGCCGCGCCCGCACCACTTGCGTCTTTCTGCCGCAAGCATCCTCACCAGAGTGTCTTCATCCACATCGGCACGGAGGGTGCTATTCTCCTCCTGACCTTTGACCGCCTTTGCAGGGACAAGAAATTGGAAGTAGGAGCGTCATTGTAGTGTAAGCAAAAGACCACAAGTTTGATCAAGTAATCAAACATCCTGGACTTTATTTCTGCATTCCTTCACTGATGCCAGAAATCATGGAGTGATTAAGCAGAGCCAGCGAAGTAGAAGAGGATGGTGAAGACAGCAGCTATTATTTAGTAACAAAGAAGGACCTCAACTGCAGCATTGAACTGCGGGAGAAGCTAACATGAGTCATTCACAAGTTTCCATATTCAACACGCACAATGGCATAAGCCGCCCGGCTTTTTGTGACAGTGTTTGCAGTGCTTTGGTTCAGTGAAGTTTAAAAGTGACTTTTATTTCCCTCTATAAAAATAAATGCATAGCTAGTCAAGATTCTGACAAAGAAACCACACAAAGAAACACTTTACTTTTATATTCACTAACACGTTACACACCATGGCTCATATAAAAATAAAAAGGATTTTTTTAGCATTAACCCATTTGAAAAAAAAGCTAACATAAATAAGTTACTGTTTAATCTGAATCTGTGCATGATATTATGTACAGACGGTGACATTCATAACCTTCTCTGCAGCAGAGGTTCTCCATTACATTACATCCACTGAACTTAGAGAACAATCACAGTGCTTAACCAACATTATTTCATACTTTGCCCACTTTCTAGCCATAACAACATTCTTCTGCTCGTTTGGACTTGTGGCATCCCTTTCAGGTCACATTCCACGGGGCTGCAGACGCATCGTAAGACCCTAATTGGGGCGTGAGGTGACCCTCTGTGACCCTGCCAGGAGCCGCACCTCAGCTTTGTGTTGATATGGCGACGCCACGATCACTGGATGCTTCAGTGACTGAAGAACTCGAATCTGTGAATGAAAGAAGGCACCCTCCATTTCAGCTGTAGAAAAGCGGGGCGTCATCTGGGCGGTTAAAGGATCACGCAACCAGTGCTTTTACCGGCCTGAGTGCCATGTGAATGTGCGCGATCATTCCCGAGTTGCTGGCCTGAGAGACGGCGAAAGGCGCCGAGCGCAATGGGACCGGAGTGCAGGCGGCGTGCGGGCGCAACAACGGAACGACTTGCTCACGCTCGATACACATTTCCCCGTACCGATTCATGTCCAGAAAACACACGGCAGTTGTTTTCATGCCCTCCCTCCCGGGTGCAAGCTTGTGTGCAGTTTTACTCCGAACATCGCCTCCCACTGTGCTCTGACCCAAGCCAGCAGACCCTGGAGCAGCTCGGCGCTCTCGGAGCGCACGCACCACGTCTTCTCCTCCTTCAACGTCTGCAGGAGAGGGGGGGGGGGGGGGGGGGGGGAGGGAGGGGAGAAGGGATAACTGGAGTTCATCAATTGGCGAGCATCAAAAATGTTGTAATAATATTTCTCATGAATGAATCAGATGCAGGGTTGATCCAAGTAGTTTTAAATAAATAATCCTGGAGTTGTGCAAATACAAAAACAAACCATCTTTTCCTTATGAAACGCCCCAAAACTAACCTCATCGTACAGCTTGATATCCATCCTGCACTGGTGGGAAGGCCACAGGTGCACGGAGCTGACGCAGCTGATTGGGAGCGTTTCTAAAACGGAGACGCTGCCGCTGTTGGGATCCTGGCTTTCATTCCCCGTCAGGCTGCTTGAGCTTTTCCTCCACTGGTGATCCTCTCGCAGCAGGTACAGGGTCTCCCGGGTCGCCAGGACGGTGAGCGGCGTCCAGATATCCTCTGAGAGGGAAATTGGGGTAATCATTACGTCGACGGTGGAGGAAAAACCTCAGCCTTCATATTACCGTCGGTGACCTTTGACATTACACAGTTTGGAGTGCTCCTTTGGCCTCTGATTGAGTACCCCAAATAACAGCCATGGATCACAGACATCACATGCTCAACAAAGATCACTTTTGGTATCATATTTCATGTCAAAAAAGACGGCACGGGCAAGGAGGGGGCGGGCAGATCTAGGGACGCTAAAATGATAGCACTCGAAATTCCTCGGCCGTGCGGAGCTGCGTGTCGCCTGCAGCCGGCCTCGCGTTCTACGTAGAGGTCGCCCGTCACTCATTTTCGGTTAGGGATGTTAACACGGGTCTTTAACAGGCGCCTCATGTCGGCTGCTGCACACAAATCACATCCACCCTGGCAGAATTTACTCTTTTACTCTCCTACCATTTAGTATATATCTCCTGGCACATTTATTTCCATTTCTACGGTGGCAGGAGCATTATGGTTATGATTTTACTCGTGGCTTTCTTCCAGCTAGTTAAAATGGAATGTTTATGATCTACATTTTTCCCAGAAATAGCTTTAGTTGCCTTTCCCCGTACAGAGCACCACTATAAACCCAGAAAGACGGCGGCATTGAGAGTAATCAGCATGAAGCGCACTGATCTCTAAACCTTTGTTACCCATTACACACGACATGTTGAGCCTTTTCTTGGACATGCAAACAGGTAAACGAGGAGCGGTTTACGCAACACGATAAATATTATATTGTTTTTGCAGCATCCGCGGATTTGTCACCTTGCAGAACAAAAGCCAGAATGTAGAAAAACTGCAGCTGGCCCTCCTCCACATCTGCCTGGATGTCTTCACACACCAGAGGCCTGACGGATGAAAAGAAAGCAACAATATTACATCCTCGCATATATGCACTGCAGAGTTTAAAAGGACAGACACGGTGGGCCGATAGGCGCTCCCATGCGGCCTCGCCTGGAAGCACTTCTACATCACAGGCTGAATTTCACAGCGAAGCGGAGGGGATAATTGAGATAATAATAGCTGACAAAGGTTGGATTGGGGGAAAACCACCGAGTGTGTTCTTCTGGGAATGTTTGGAAGGCTTTGATTGAGCAGCTTAGTCTGTTGCCTGAGGACTAAGGACAAAATGACCGGTCTGAGGTGTGTAGGTGTGTGTGTGTATGTGTAGCTGAATATGCTGATCTGAGGCTGGTCTTTGTATACGTTACCAGACACTATTTTTCATTTCCTAATCCAAACTAAATAAAATCTGCTTTTTAATTAAGGTTTGAGCAGCTGGGGACTTTGAAACGATGCCTCCGATGTCTCATTTTGTCAGGTGTCTAACATCCTCTCGCATCACGGCTCTTTCACTTTATCCCCTGGTGGGAGACGAAAATGCGCGAGGAGGCGAGGAAAGGGAGTGAGGATGAAGAAGCGAGGAAATGTCTGCATAATAATAATTTAAATATTGGTTTATCCCACACGTTCTCCTCTAAAATAACATGTTAAAAATTTGAGAAAGTTACTATCTTCTGTTCGGGAGGTGCAGCAACAACAAATGGACGTTACAGCAAACTACAACACATGATTCAGGGTTCGTAGCGCCACACGTGTTACAAATTAAGATGTGGTTAAACAGTTAATTTAGCGGTGCAATTTTACAAAATAGGGCTGATTGTAATCAACTAAAGATGTGCCAGATATGCGCAGAGCCGGAACTCCCTTTAACTCGCACCTCCCAACCACATACAAATGTGCAAAACACTATTCTGACCACATCTTCCAGCGTGTAAACAAATTTAGTCAAAGACGGCGGCCATGTTTTTCCTGCATCTGGACTGCAGCGTACCAGAGGTGGTGCAGAGGGCCGAGTCTGGTGGTGGAGATGGACATCAGCTTGCTGTCCGATTTGTGAGCCATCTCACGCACAACTCCTGAGGAAATAAGGACAGAATTATAGATGGTGGAAATATTAAGTTCTTCTTGGATTTAAAGTCACAGGGAGATTCACAAGAAACGTTCGTCCACGTGGCAATTCAAGTATTAAAAGCATCTTGTAAAGGGCACAGAAAAGGTGGAGTTCATCCTAAAAACGTCCCGCCCAAATATTCACGGACTACAAAACACAAAAGCCGAGCTAGATGTGAGACGACTTTGGCTATTGGAACCACGGTGACAAAGCCAAGGGTCTCTTGTTGCAGGTATAAGATTTCATCCTCCATAGAATCAGTGGGTGAGAAAGTGTTGGGGACACAATGTGCTGGGTCACGCTCACATTCACCGATTGTAGCGAGTCATTGGGCGTGACAGCAATACGGGGCGGAGAGGATATCAGCGGTGTGGCTCCACAGCAAAGTTTGAATAGACGGAAAAAAAGGTCCTGTGGTGGAAGACGTCTGCCTCATCATCAACACCCTGCTCATTGAGATCCTTTTCTCACGTTTTACAAAAGCACTCTAAAATGTTAGTCAAATACAGTCGAAAACCATGTTAACAGAACAAGTTTGAGGAGAACATAGATACAGATTTACGTCCAAACGATCCGGGTGAGAATATTCTAAATACAGCTTTCACACTTAAACCTTTGGGTGTCTGAAATACGTTTTTTGTTTGGACATTGTGAGAGGACGGGCTTCGGCTGTTCGGCTCCGACAACAATGCCCCAGATGACCTGAAATCAAAAGCCACGACGCGGGTTGAGACGTGGGGCAGCGGGAAGAAAGCAGAGATCCCAACAATGGCTAAAAGGTTGCATCTCACCCTAAAAAAAAAACACGTCCTCTCGCTGAGAGACACCGAACCTTCGGGGCGAAGGGCTCACGGCTCTCGCCACGGCTCATATAACTCGGTCGGAGTAACACAATGAAAGATGACAAATCACTCTCCTGACTGAGGGAGGACAACAGAAGGCTGCAGAGACCAGACGCCTCGTGTTATCTCTCGTGTTTCAGTCAGAAGATTGAAAGGGACTTCAAGGATCGAATCCACGTTTTTGTGCATATCGCTTGTTATGCCGAAGTAAATCAAGTAAACTTTCTATTAGAGAGATGCTAGAGGATTACATGTAAATCAAGACGCTTCATGTACTTCGAATACTCTTCTTAGCTTGACTGTGTTTGAGTGACAGCTGGGCAGGAACACCATCAGAGAGGCAACGAGTTGTGGGGAAAAGTGGGACCGCTCCTCTAATCAGCACGTCCGCTGACCTCGGACAGGTTGTTGTTTTCGGCCTGCGTTCAGTATCTCAGCACCCTGAAGTTGGTAACATGCAACACAATGTGACAGAATACGTCACATTAGCTGCAAAAAATCTCCCAAAATATGAAATGATGTGTACTAGAACTGAGCAGCACTGCGTTTCAGAGGCGGTCAAATTCATTTTCCATATTTTTCCCCAGACATTCCTGACCTGAGCAGGAGCCCCTGTCTAATAAAAGTCCTCTCTTACGGGAAGGTTGGTCTGGGCAGGAAGTGTTCAGTCTGAACCCAACACGGGTGGGGCGTCACGCAGCTCACATGTGGTTTAGTATTGGTTTGTTAGAGGAACATGGTGTTCCAATGCCCCTCTCAGGGATTCAAAAAGTAAAATATAAAATAAAATAAATATGTCACTCCACAGACCACCTGGGGGAAAGTGCTTAAAACCAGCAAGTTCAGAAGGAGCAGGATCGGCGAGTTTCTCTGTCTGATCGTAGTCAGAAACCTTCTTTTATAAGTTTTCCCATACATTAAAACGGAGAGATGTTTCCGAGTTTTTTTTGTGTCTGTGTCTGAGTTTCCGCTTACCGGTCAGCAGGCCAAAAAAGCGTTTGCAGCGTACACTGTCCCTCACGAGGAGGGTGTAGGCCACTCCCACAAACTCCATGTGGATGCTCTGAGAGGCCAGTCCCACTTCGAGGTAGCTGAGCTCCATGATCGGGTGGCTGTCCCGCTTCTGCAGCCAATCAGAGAGCTGGCCTCTGCTGGGAGGAAAACAACACTTTAATGCGTTTGTGAGGCCAAATTGACGACAACAATTCACGTAGATATAATAAAGATAAAAGAAAAAAGATTAAGATATTGGTTTGAACAAGTGGAATTGCAGTAACTCAGCAGTAAACAAGTTGAATTTGAGAGAATGAGAGGGGAGAAAAGACTCCACGCTCTGCAGACACCGCGAGGTCAATGTGTTCTCAAGATGTGACCCAGAAACCTGTGCAGGTTGTGCAATATAATCCGCATACTTAACGGCAAGGGTGTGGAATTACACAGCAGCATCAAACGTGGACAGCAGAGCGGCGCCCTCCGGCGGGGTTGGATTCATTTAGATTTCATGTGTGTGCCGACATGCCGCTGACCTCAAACATCCAAGATGTCTTTATGAATTCCACTTAATCGTGGATTACTTTGTCCAACATACAATACATCCACAGTTAACGCCGAACAACTGCAGTGTAAGCATGTTCAAGCACAGAGGAAGTACATTCTTCATGGTGAAAAAAGGTGCTCTACTCACTGGGTTTCTGCCATAATTTCCAAAAAGTAGATCCGCTGGTTTGAGACCACCAGCAGAGAGGGAACCTGCCCCGGCTCTCCGAATTTGACAGTCGACATCTGAAGGCACAGAGAAACAGACACATGACACGAAGCAGCTAGACGCTTGTTGTCTGCTAAGGACCCCGGAGCTGCGCGGTCACGAGCATCATGAGGCTTTGGACTCAGTCAAGCCCCGTCAGTGGTTTAAACTCCCGCTTAATGTCCTAAGCTTAATGTCCTCTAAAGAACAGACGTAAAAGCACGTGTGAAACAGCCAGCCGTCGCTGGGTAAGCGTGCGTAACTGAGGAGGATGCAGCGGCACCTCCTGCTCCCAGCTGTGGTTTGCTCCCTCCTGTTCGGCCAATAGCCTGCTGTATCAAAGAGCTCCCAGAAATTCATCAGAGGAGATTCACTGACGATGAAACCGCAGCAGAGTGGTTGTAAGTCTTGAACCTGTCCCCAAGCACTAAGCTGGAATCTTCTCGGCCATCAGAGAGATACGCAAGAGGACGTTATAAAACAGCGCCCATAAAAGAAGCGATAATAGCGAGATAAAACCGTTATGCTGCTAAATTTGGGCCAGTGGCCTTCCTCACTGGCTGTACAGAAAGTGAGAGCCAATAATACTGTTTAGTGGCTTAATGTTAGCTGCAGTGGAGCTCTGAAGGCCCCGATTATCTGCTCCTTAATTGCAAACAAAAGAGCCCTGCACAAAAATGGATTACATTGCCGGTCAGTCAAATGCAATCCAACCACAGAGTGATTAGGGGTTAACTAAAAAAAAAAATGTTGTTTTGTGTTTGTGACATTTTGGCCAAAAACACTTTCAACAGAGGTTTCGATGGGGGGAATCTACTCCACTCTCAAATATAAATTTACAGCCAACAGCGAGCATAAAGACGAGAAGCCATAGGCGTCTATTAAGGGAACGTTCTCATCTCTTATTTTAAATGGTTAATATACAATGTTGTTTGTTTATTTAAGTGAGTATTTGACGTCAGTGTGTGCATGGCTCGCTCACTCATGCATACCTTGAGGAAAAAGTGAAGCTCTTCTTCCTCCTCAAAGACCTCCACATCCAGGAAAAGCTGCAGCCGATGGTCCACCGCCTCACAGTCCTCCGCCAGCAGGTCCAAATCATCTGCAGATGAACAGTTGGTAAGCCTCACGATGTTCAATATTCTCAGTACGTCTTTTATTTCTTTCCTCAAATCATATGAGGCATTAAAAGTGAAGTCCCTGGCAGCACTGTGTAGACTCGCATATTTCTTGGCTTCTATGAAACCTTCAGCAGATTTTATTTTACTGCAGCAGCCTGCAGCTTCAGCCAACAGCTCGCAGGCAGAAAATACATTTAAGAGCAATAAATCCACCAAAGAACAGCGCTGGAGTTTTTTGTTAAAATTGATGAATGGTTGCAGCTAATGAAGGAGGACAAGGCGCTGACCTGCAGAGGCCAAAACAAACTCAACGCCTTCCATTTGGAGGGATCAGATTAAAAAGCCTTTTGAACCTTCAGAAAGAGTCCTTCGTGTGGGGTGAAGGGTTCACACACATGTTGATTTATCTCGAGAGACAAAATACTTTTTCCAGCAAGAAGAAAATTAGGACCTCTGCCTGATTACAATGGGTGCAGTGTGCCGGCAAATGATACTCTAATGAGCTTCCGTCAGTGTTTTAGGATAAGTCGTGTGAGACTGTGGTTTAGAGGACGGATGAGATGCCACAGCAGTGCAGGAAGGTACGACTACGGCCGTCCCTACGTGCCACACAATATCCGTGGGATTCAAATACTTCCCCTCGCTGTTCACTTTCAGTTAGGAGTTAAATATATCTGAAGGCAGAAGCAACGGAGCCGGCGTGAACAGTTTACACCGCACCCGATTTGAAGTACTATTGAAATCAAGTAATAAAACCGAATTAATTTTTTTGTTTGGACTTTCCTCCAATAAGCAGTCCCGTCCTCTTTTGGAATTTTTGGAATTCTGCGTTTGACAAACCACCACGATAAGTTTCATTTTTTTAAAGGCTTTAGAAGACCCACCGGTCGGGGTGGTCCTTCCTGCAGGCGGGCCTCGGACCTCCGGCGGTGTTCCCGTAGGGGTGTACCGGTAGCTACCGGCCAGATCGTCCTTACTCTGGGACTTGCAGAAGGAGATGCCGGAGGAGTCGCCCCCGTCCTTCCCGATGAAGAAGGAGCTTCCCCGAGCAGAGACGAAGGTGGTGTCCCCCGAGGCTGCGACAGCTTCCGGGAGCGGGCTACTCCCTGCGCTGCCGTCTGTGTGCTCATCCTGCAGTGATGAAACATAGAAATTATGAGATTCTGGTTTAATCCCTTTGAGAATACTTAACAGGGGATGATGCTCAGGAAATGCCTTATTTGTGCGTGGAGTGCTGTGGTACACATCGAGGTGGTCGTGCTCTCTCTCCGGCGTTAGCGGGCGCTTGATGGGCGTGCTGGAGTAGGGAGCGGATTGGCCAGCCAGCTGCACCACATGATTGCTACCACATTCTGGACAAATGTGACCGTCTCCTGAAAGAGAGACCCGGAAGAAAATTGGTTTTATATATATATATAATTATTATTATTATTAATCCTGTTGCCCTGACTCTACCGAAGGTAAAACGCTGGCTATGGAGTCACCTGCAAGTCTTTAAAGAAGTAAAACCTTAAACCTTTTACTTGTGAAAAGAATCCAAATATCATCTGTGTCCATTTCTACTCGAGAACACAACTTTAGTGCAAGAAAACCGGTGAAAACAAATTCCTTCAACGTTTCATAGTGAGGGACCTTTGTTTGAATCTGCAGATCACCCAAAGCCACAAGCAAACAACCGCCTCAGTTCAGACGCGTGGAAATGAAAAGGGTATTTATTGCCTGCAACACTAACAAAACGCCCGAGCCGAGTAATCCCCGAAAACATCTGCTGAACAAAGCATGCGCGCCGTCTGTGCATGCCGGAGCAGGTCCTAATGTTGGATTGGCTTCAGGCGCATGCAGGTGGCTGCTGGAGCCAAAGGTGCTACTAACTATAGAGCAGGGAACTCAGCGGAGCAGCCTGCTTGGCAATGAAAGGCGAGAGAGAACTGGCGGGGTGCTTCACTCGGGCCCTCTGGAGCCCCGAGCTTGTTTTGGGAAAAGAATGCAACCCAGAGCAGATCTCCAAAGAGAGCCTGATAGTCGAGGAGTCGTCATGAAGAGCTTTGACATCAAATGATTTAAGTTTTTTTTAGATGGAGTAGATGGACTAGGTTCCTCAGATTCCACGCTGTGGGGTGTGTGTGGAGACTCAAGCAGAGCACCATGTTGCTGGGGCAGGTGGGGCATTCTTTACCGGCAAATATTTATCTTCCTATCTTTTTTTTCCATTCTAATTGATCTGGCTTGTATTCAGTGGCCACAGGCCAGAGACATCAGCTCAAAAGCTCCCCGTTGTCTTTGTGCGCGAGTATCGTCTTGTATTTGCTGTTTCGTCTTGTAAAGGCCTTTAACAGTGTGCCGAGGTTTACGGATGATTGGGCAAATTGAGTGTTTCAGCTGATCAACAGGCACCGCCAAATAAACACACCAAACAAAGAAAAGAATGTTTTAAACGCAGCCAGATTTCACAAATTCAATGTAAACTGAAGTAAAGGAGAAAACAGAGCGACATTTGCTCAGGCAGTGCGCGATGGCTTCCGTAAACGCAGATTCAGCCTCACCTTTGGTGTCGTCATAGAACTTAGTCAGCTCATTGTGAAGCTCTTCCGAACCTCCTGGTAGCGAGGCGGCCCCCCTCCTCATCCTCCCCCCCGCCTCCTCCTCGTCGTCCACCTCCTCCCGTTTGTCTCCCTTAAGCGTGAACTCTGACCTGCAGCGAAGGCACTGCAGGCGGACGCAGCTGGGACGGCGCTCAGAGCGGCGCTGCTGGTTTTCCTCCGCCACATGAGTCAGCACGTCAGTCAGAGCCTAGTCAGCAAAAAAGGTTTTGGGAATAGTTTGTTACACCTTATGAAACAGAGCAGAGCGCACTAAACGGGTCTGGTAAGGCGCAGACAGCTTTCTGCAGCTTAAAAAGCTGTAGGATCTTCAGTTAGATGGAACCTTGAGGCCATAACGAGCAGCTACGGGCAGATTGAAGGAGTTTTATTCTTCTCACTTAAGCCATGCGAGTCCCTGAATGCTGAAGACATATTGGAATTTGTATCGGCTTTCTGTGTTAAAACTATATCTGGCACAGATTTTAGAACACAAGTGGGAGGTCGTGAAGGTACACAGGGTGCTGACGCAACTAAAAGGTAACAGAGTTTCAGCAAAGGCAGCCTCAAGCGTGACCAGACTCGTACCGGATGCAGTGGGTGGGTGTTTCTCTCATAAAAGGTGAACGTACCTTGTATGTGCTGCAAATCATGCATGGGGGAGTAGATGAACATCTCTGGCTTAATGGGCTCAACTCTTGTGTGTGTGTGTGTGTGATTAACCTGCCGGGCCTGTTGTGGGTCGTCGTCTAGCAGGACGTAGAGTCTCCTCCTTTTCTCCCTGCTGATGTAGTCAAAGTGAAGCTCCACAGCTGGGAGTATCTCTTCTGTCTCCTAAAAGAGGGAAAGAAAATAAATACCTTTGAAATGAATACCCGAAAAAACTATGTTGATTTAGCAGAGTTAAGCTTGTAACCTAAGCAATAGGCAATACGTTTTTCTGTGCAACCGGCCCCAGAAAGTTATTACCATCCTTGCACCTCCCCCGTCTCCCTCTCACCCCTCGCGTCCACGCAGCCTCTGTGCTCTCCACCCGGACCAGGCTGCTCAGCTCCAGACGGCATCTCTCCCGGCCGCACTGCATGTCCACTTCCAGAAGCAGGCGCTGTTTGATGCGCAGGAACACCTCGCTTCTCCTCTTACCGCTCTCCCCCGGCCCCTCGACTTCTCCTTCCTCTTTGTTAGAGAGCACACCCACAAGTAGGGGGCGACATAGATCCACTAACAACAAAAAGAGGAGAAGCGTAAGATCCTTTCTGTGCTTTTGGTTTTTGTATTTTGTGTTAAATCAGCCTACCTCCCAGATGATCCTCCTCCTCCTCCTCCTCCTCCTCCTCCTCGGCAACTCTGCTCTCGCCACCTGCCGACCTTTGGGACTCTGAACTCGGCGCAGGTGAGCTCACCACTCCCTGACTCAGCACCAGGCCATCCACCGCGCTGTCCTCCAAGGTGGACCGCGAGTTCGGACCAGGCTCCTGAAGGGTAGAGTCGGTTTCCTGGTCTCCATCCGCGGAGGCCTCCAGCCTCAACTCCGATGAGAGCAGTGGAGGCGGGAGGACCTCCGGGGCTTTGCGGGGCCATGGAGACGGCGGATGCCCGGGGCTGTCGGACAGACACGTGGTGTTGTTGCGGAGGGGTTGACCTTGAGGAGGGGGCTGGTTCGTGTTGATGGTGACGTTGGACGATCCATCGAGTTGATGTTGGTACCTCAGCCAATCCTCTCCCAGCTGGTCTCTGAAGCTGGACATGCGCTCAATCTCCTGCTGGTGGGGGAGGACAATGCCTAGTGGAGGAAGAACATTTCTAAATGCATCTTTTAAATATCTATGTAAATGGTTGAATATGCTTTAATCTTGATCACCAAGATCACATGCAGCTCGTTCAAACTACACAAAGAAAACATCCATGGGCGGAAATGCTTGTAAACCTACTCTGTGAGGAGGAACGCAGCCTGGAACTGTAGTCTGTGTCACTGGGCTCGGATATACTGGCCCGCCGCACTCTCACCTTACTCTGGAACCCCAAATGATTTGAGAAAAGAAAATAGGGTCACAGCATGCGGTTCGTCAGTATTTACGGGTCTTGATAGATCAGCACAGAGTTCAATTCAAGATAATTGACCACATTACCTTGGATTTCTTCTTCCGGATGCGAGAGACTCCCACGTCTCCAAAGGACATGCTGTCAGTCAGCTCCCCGGCACCGCTGGACACATCCACAGACGCTTCTGCAGCCATGGCAACCGGAGGTGAAGGCTGGACCTGGACGATCCGCTGGCCTTGTTTTGTCAAAACCTGCAGAAGAGATCATTTAGGCTTACAATTCACACATGCATTTATTATTTATTATGATTACTTATATTTACCCTGAAATATCTGATTCAGGTTCAAATACAGCATAAAAAGAACAATTCGCTAGACTGGGATTAACATTGCATGACAAACTTACTGATAACTCAGATGAGGACAACAAGGAGGCGTCAAGTTTGAGCTGGAAAGAAAGAAAATAAAAATCAAGTTATCTTTAGTTGACCAAGATAAAGATAATACCTAATCCCACTATGCAGCCTCTCAAATGGGGAGATTTCAGTTTTATTTCATATTAAAATGAATATCAGTGGATTTTCGACAAACGAGACATTTAGCGACATCCCCTTTAAATTTGAGAACTCAGGATGGAGTTTCTCTATTTTGTGACATTTTCTAGCACAAAGTAGAATGGATGAATCAAGAAAGTAATCTCCATTGCAAACAAAAAAATATTACATTCTTGTTATCTTTTGTGCTTCAGCATTCTTCATGTTTTAAAAACTCACTCTGAGGTTTGCAGCTTTTGGGGACAGATGTCGGACGGTGGAGGTACGGTGGGTCTTCTGGAAGTACAGCGGGTTCCCTTCCAGGTTAAGCTAAAAGAAGATACATTATTACATCCTACACCATCAAAATATAACTCCTAACAAACCGAACAAGATCGGAGCCCATTACTAAGACCATTGTACACTGGTGAATGAATTTTGAGGCCCAATTTCTCAAGAACTGAAGAGTATCTTTGCGTTCCGGGTTAAGAGAGGCCTTCCCTTAAAAAGGAGCCAACTCTAAACAACTTCAAATTTAAACTACGAGACAAATTGTAATTATTGGCTGCTTTGATTTACCGGATGGAGAAGAAGCTACACACTGCCACGTTGTGGTGCAAGGAGCTATTTAGGACAATTCTGTTTAAAACAAAAGCTGCATGTGTGTGCATGTGCTTCCATACCGTGTTGAGGCAGTGCAGCAGGGAGAGCGGAGCCAGCTGGGAGTGCTCCAACAGCAGGTTGTATGCCAGATCCAAGTGCTGGAGAGAAGACAACTGCTCCACACCTGTTCAATCAGGGGGCAAAGCAACACACCAACAGACTGTCAGGGACAGAAGTATTAGGTCTGCAGCAACATCAGAGGAACCCGCAGCTCAAAGTCTACTTTAAATCGCTGCTCTATTCTCCCCGCCAATGCAAACGGATCAAATAATCTGATACATCCCGGTGTGATGAGTAATACCAATCCAAGACAAACAAAAGGACAACCAAAACAGCTGGAGGTGGGGGAGGGGGTCGGGGATCACTGCACAGTGATATGCTTCCTGTTTTCTCAGGTTTTCTTTGGCTCACTCCTCTCTCTGTGCGTTTAACCTTCTCTGTCTGATCTGAGCAGCGACTGACTGACTGTTTGAGAAACAGGAAGAGAAGGTTCTCATCGGTCTACTTTACCGTTAATGGTCTCCAGTTCATTGTTTCTGAGGACGAGTGAGAGGAGTTTGGCCCTGGCACTGAGGCCCAGCGTTGGCGCCACCTGCAGGCAGTTGTAGCCCAGGTTCAAGTGTTGCAGTTCACTCAGGGGCTGAGAAAAAGGAATGAGGAAATAAGACAACAAGATGTCCCCACACACAGGAAATACATATGAAGTTGAATTATAGTTGTGGAAACCTTTAGAAATTCCGCACACTCCTGAATCTTGTTATGGCTTACATCCAAGGACTTCAGGACGTTCAGTAAACTCTGAAAAACCGAGTCGGTTGAGGTTAGGTGAGGACAAAATCCGCCAATAAGTCGTTAACAATGCATCTGTGTGTATTTGTCTCACTAGTGACTGGTCAAGGCAGACAATGGAATTGTAGCTGAAGTTGAGCGTGTGCAGTTCCAGCCAAGGCAGTGCTGAGCTCAGGTCCCCTCCACACAGAGAAAGCAGTTCCTAAAAAAGACAGACACCCATTTGCCATTTTGCAGCTGACTTTTTTACAGCCAGACATTGCATAGATACACTGATACTGCACATTAACTCTACCTCCAGAGAGTCAAGGCTCTTTGAACAAGTAAAAACCTCCAACTGGGAGTAAACTCCTCTGAGTCCTTCTAGACAGTGTGGAGGCACTCGCTTCAGCTGGGCAGGGAGGTGAACAACAAGGACAGATAGAGACATTCAGTGATGGAAGCTGAGGAGGGGACAGACGCTGATGAAAAAAAATGAGGATAATAATGCAGATATGGTTCATACTCTACCTCCAAATATTTTAAAGACTTGAATGGGAAGATTTTCACCACAGACTGAAGTCTCGTCGCCGGCGGGTTGATGAGCTGCGTTTAAAGATCAAGGCACCCAACATATCATTCATGAAAACTCCGGCAGGACTGCAAGTAGGTAGATATGTAAGCAGCCATCCCTAACAATGGGGCTCACATTTCTGTACTAACATTTAATTGTCCGTGCAAGTTTTTTCACAATAGAACCAACATGGACACTAGAAACATTTTAATGGTTAGCTCCCATGTAGACCGCCAGCTCACCTTGAGCGAGATGGTCTTCTGCAGGACGTCAAACAGGAACTGCAGTTGTAGCAGGGAGGCAGTGTCGGCGGGGTGGGAGGGCAACGCAAGGAACCCGTGCTGCTGGCTCCTGGACAGCAAATACTGTTCGAACAGCCTGGTGAGCTGCTGCAAGCTGCCCGCCGGCAAGGTCAGAGTGCTGGTGCCGTCCAGCACCACGTCGCCTGGGGGGAAGCAGGGTTGAGGCGGACTCATACAGTGTTGTCTAATACGTAGCAGGTGGACGGTGGACGCATCCACTAATGCATGTATACTGCTGACTGGGCAAAATACCCTTTTCATATCCAGTTAGTTATCACAAGGTAACAGTGCTCACAATGTTACACCTAATGACCTCAATGTCTGCTTGAATACACCTGCTGTGTCCTGGTAGAGTTATGCAAAGGGCCATGCAGCTCTAATATTCACAACACGAGCCTTTTTGTCATCGAACTTAACGAACAGTTAGCTTTGAGGTAAAGTAAGAAACACCTAACTTAGTAACTGGAACTTACCATCATTTCTGAGGAGAGTTGCCAAGCTGTGTACAAGGGAGGACTGGCCACTGCGAGGGACAGCCATCCTGAAACATTTCAAACACCATATCAACACAAGAACACACAATCTCGCCTCTTAAGCAGCATAAACACAACCGTTATACGACACGTTTCAACCGCTTTTATTGGCAACGTTAGTGAGCTCTAGAATTGAAAACATCGCAATTGTCGCAGCTAACGTTAGCTAGGCTAACGCAAACTAGCTAGCAGACTTTCTGGTAGAGAAGCTTAAAAGTACAGCATACCTGTGTAATGACAGCCAAATAACAGAGAGCTGACAGCTGACACAAGAGTTAATTGGATAAGGCAGCACTAAAACTTGCTCATTTTTGTATGTGAAGAAGAACAACGTCTATTACGTGGAAATTGGTTGGTTTTGTTGTGCGGTGATGTTGACATTTACGTCACATGACGACTCGCCTGAAGCAACTACGGTGGCCCGGACTCACCAAAAATGCAAAGTCGCTCAAAATGAGTTGTAAAAAATCTCCCCTCTCGATAATCTAAACTGTAAAATACATATATCCAAACATTACAGTGTTTGGTTTGTTTACTGGATGCCCCCAGTTAGAGCTCCATCACATACTGCTTGAACTTGTGAAAGAGAAGAAACTAAGCTAGTCACCTTAAAACCAAACCATCGGTGTATCTTTCCTCCGGACTCAACAAAACTGCTTCAAAAATGCTAGATAGCTACATTTGTATGGAAGTTCAACTGTACATATTTAACTAATCGAAAAGGCCACACTAAATAAGTTGATTTTTTGATACCTTTTAAGTAAGCTAAATTACTGTAGATGGCCACTAGGTGACGCACTTTAGCAAGAATCCCAGACTTCCTACTCCAGACATGAGGTAGTGCGCATGAAAAAAGTCCAATGGAGTTCTTCCTTCGACCAGCAAATCCATCCAACCATATTATTTTATTAAACTGAGCGTCTGCGACAGGTGTAAAAGGTTCACATAACAGCGTTTTGCTCTTTCATGCAGCCTGAAGCTAATTTGGATTTTGGATTCAACCTGCAAGCCAAACACAGCAAATTAAATGTTGAATATAGGGAATCAACAGGGGCACATCTTTATAGCCACACCGCTTTAAAGACCCAAGCAGGAAAGTGCGGGCTTCGTGGTTTTAATAAATACCAGCAGTCAAAATAGACCAAACTGAGCTAGTACCACACCTGCCTGTTGGTCAAACCATATCCGAGTCGTGGCACCAACAAAGAACAGAGCTGAGTAGCTGGTCGGCCGAGCAGACTGAGTGTAATTATTGCTATGTTTGCATGGCTAAAGAAAGTGCAAAAGCAAATTAAACCAAGTCTAAAATGTCTTCTTTGTATTTTGTGTGTATCGAGTAGAATGACTATACATGCCTATTTGATGCCATAGCTTGGAAGGTAGCAACTTTGTTACCAGAAAAAACTCTAATGTCTGTAAATAGTGTAGGGTAATGTCTGTAAATGATGACATCAGCTTTTAAGCAGGCTCAGCGCTTCAACTTCTGGACCCTAAACCCACACATTAACTTGACACATTAGGAGAGCAGCGTTTCATTTGGGGATATGTAACGCCGTGGCTCCACAACAGATCCTTCAACAAAGATCTGCATGAGCAAATAAAGCAAGAACTTTCCTAGTTTGAACATGCATCCCTTGTTGCTAGGCGGCAAACAAACACACGTGCACTTGGGGCCTCACACACACACATACACACACATAAGCATTTTTCCATTTGGGACTTGTGATGCGAATATTTCCATGTAAGGATTTATGTACTGAAATTCGGTAAACATTTCCATTCGGTGAGATGTTGCACGTTGCACCAGTAATTAAAAGCTAGTTTGGCAGTTTTCTTACCCATGTGAGCTCTTGCAGTTGGCCTGTTGCGGTCAAATGAAAAAAAAGTATAAAACATTTTCTTTGAGGATAAAAACACATAATGGATATTTGGTAGTTTAGACTGTAAGTTTGACTTCATTGCATGAAGGCTTACTAATCAGATGATGAATTACTTCTCAACCCCTCTACATTTTGCCTCGAGTTATCTAATCACCAGTCCAAGCAAAGGGAGCCTCAATTAAGTATAATCAAAGCCAAACACTATGGAGTGCACCCATTCATCATCACAGCCGGAAAAATGAACACCCGGATGTCTTTGGGGACCTGTTTGGGTAGATCAGAACCCAGTAGAGCCAAAATTAAACAAATGCTACGCTTAGTTGTATTTGTTTAAGGAACATGCATTTGGGATTTAGACCCAGGTGTGAAATTATGGGCTCAAGCTTTGCAACACAAGTTAAATAGTTTTTCGGACACTTTGCAGCCTTCTTACTTTTAAACTTTCTGTCGCCATTGTTGCAGCCGTTTCAAAAAGTCCAAAATGTGATTTGGTTAAAAGGCCCGGCAGAGTTTTGCGGACTTGCTGTCGTCTCATTAAGAAGATGACTTCTGGCTGACAAACCGCTCTCTGTAGACTTGCTGCACAGTTAGTGTGTCCTCAGCGCATCAGTGATGCATTACCTTCCTCTATCAATGTGGAGTTTATCCAGAGTTTGTTTTTACAGTTCCATGGGGAGGAATTTAAGTAGCTGATCTTGGTGGGGATTACTTTGCACACATGGACAGATACTGCGGCCTGTCGGGCCTATTAGCTAGTGGCCGTCCCGTTGCTTTTCCACCCACGGTTTCATAAAATGACGTGTGAGGTTCTGTGTGCAAACAGCCCTCTGGGCATCCCCCTGACCCGCACCCTGAGATACAAGACTGCTTCCAATGTGCACCGCTCTCCCTCCTCACGCTCCCAAGGTGAGCTCGGATACCGGCCGCGAATTGGGCCAAGTTGCATTAAATCAAGGGGCACCCGCAAAACGAAATAATCTGCATTTAAATCTGCGGAGTAAGATTGCATGCCACTTCTATTTCTGGGCGTTTGGATAAACAGCGATTAGTCCACCGCTCTGGGCAGGGTACAAAGGAGCCTGTTCGGTGGGCGAGCGCGACACCTCAAGGCTTGGCCTTGCCGATCGATAGGAAACATTGCTGAATACGTGCACAGTAGCATTACTGTAGCATTACTGTGCGCAGGCATATAAGTTGGTAGCAGCTGGCAAGGTTTAATTGAGTGTCAATGGGCATGTCTGCCGCGGTGAGGAGGTCTTTCCATGTAAGGAATGCTCAGCACATAGTCCTTTTGTTTGTTTGTTTATTCATTTATGCATTCTGGCACTCGGGGTGGACTGCGCTGATTGAAACAAACACGCCACAGTACATGAGGCAACGCAGAGTCTTCCAGCCGGGGAGCTGTGATTTACTGACTTGTTTTTGATACCGGAGCTCAAGCTCACGTTTCACCTCGACTTTCTAACTCTAATTCTGTTTCTTTTAGAATTGCCATCGGGGAAGCTCTATTCCCCTTGACCACAAAGAGGTCAGGGGTCACGGGCGGCTTGAGAAAACAACGACGACGCGCTTTGATTCAAGATATGTAAAACGTGTGTGAGTTTTTTGTGTGCGCAAACACGCGCATAAATATCTGTATATTTGCAGTCATGCATTTGGTCAAAAGGAGGAGTGTTGAGTGGCAGTACTTGTTTCAGCTGCAGAAAGTGAAAAGCTATTTGCAGCTGATCCGACCCAAGGACTCTGGCTCAAGCTGGAGGGTCACTTCCTCCATTCAGACTCCAAATGCTGGGACACATATTAAAGTAGTTTACCTCCAACCTTTCAGCAGAGCTGAAAAAATGACGATGGAATTAACCCCCCCCCACAGTCTTCCCACATTAGCACCCACATCTGGCCCCAAGAGCAAACCTGGGAATTTGTAGGACCCAGCAGACCTCCCGGCCGCCGGCTTCACCTGTTCGCCTGCACTCTTCTTCCCCTTTTCCTCCACTTGGGATTGCCTTCTCTCGCCCCACGACAAGGAGCCAAAACCTCACGCACCTCAACAATGTACGCGTGCAACTTGCTGATCCTCTCCGCGTCTCTAGCCGGCGCCTCCCTGGCCGACATGGTGTTCCGCTGCCCCGGCTGCACCGCGGAGCGCCAGGCGCTGTGCCCAAGGCTCACCGAGACCTGCGCGGAGATAGTGCGCGAACCCGGCTGCGGGTGCTGCCCCGTGTGCGCGCGGCAAGAGGGCGAGATGTGCGGCGTGTACTCCCCGAGGTGCACCACCGGTCTGCGATGCTACCCGACGCCCGACTCGGAGCTTCCGCTGGAGCAGCTGGTGCAGGGCCAGGGGCAATGCCGGCGCAAAGTGGACACCGAGACGGCCACGTTGAGCCAGGAGCACCGGGAGCAAACCAGCGGTCAGTCTGTTCAACGGAAACCTGATTTCCCTCCATTCATTTTTAATGACGCTGTCTAGACTGCAGCCCCGAGGGATGGTGTGTAGACATTTCGCTTTGTCATGAAGCCTGAGTCCGAGTATGTGTCACTATTGTGCGCCAAGTGGATAAGATGGGTTTATGTTATATCATGCGTTCTATGTATTGCGTCTGCGGCGCGTCGTATGAAGTACGCGCCCCTTGAGAGCCCCTTTATGCCCTTTGCGGTGAGGATTTGTTTGCTGCACGTCCCTCGTAGTGTGCATTTGAGGTGAGCTGTTTGTGAACTTCTTTAAAGTCCGTGTTGCCGTTACATGTTTATAGTGTCGTGAATGTGCACAAGGGGAGAGAAACCAAACGAACAGCCACTCTGCCCGGGTAAACTTCCAGCTGTGCTCCAAACAGCTGGAACCTCCAGTCCCTCCCAGTATCTCTCTAAAGCACTGTGACGGAGAACAAGGAGAACAAGGTGGTGTCCTGCAGGATTCCCAGAAGTGACTTCGTGGGATCGGTGCAGAAAACATTATAGAATCGATGTTGACATTTCCCCAGCGGAGCGAAGGGAGTCAGCGGGAGGAATGCAGCATTGATTGGAAAAGTGGACTTTACGCTTTGGCCAGAAAGAGCTGTAAGGTGTTGTTGACAGTGAGTGCATTAACTGGGCAGTCTACCTGGAAAAGCAGCTGGATGCGGGTGCAGCCGGGATCACAACGGAGCTCCGGGGAGGCCTGCAGCCAGCGACCTTCACGTGGCCTGCGTTTGAAATCGGGACGGGTCGCAGGGAAGAAGAAACAAAGTCAACAGCCGCGTTATTGGGCTGATTTGGAAGCCGCACACACACACACACACACACACACACACACACACACACACACGGTGGACCAGTGTGCAGTGAAGCCAGCGCTCTGTGATTTCTGCTCATTTCCAAATCCGGGCTTTGTCAGAGTTTACCTCCAGACTGACACGTGTTGGTTTTGGCAGCAAACTCGGCAGAGAAACGACCAGAGAGCAACTCTGTAAGGACTCTCCAGCACGCTGACATAAAGGGAGGGAAAAAAAAGAAGCTCTGCAACACATTTTCCACATGCACACGAGCAATGAGACGGGCATGAGGCGTGAGGGCCAAACAAGGGGACGCAATGCACGACCGTCGTGCAAAGGCCCGCTCGCAGAGACAGCTTTTTCACTGGCGTCACTGATGTTTCTTCTTCATCATCCTCAGGTTTGCCTCAGGCCGCGCTCCAGGTAAAAAGATCCGAAGATTCCTCTGTGACTTTCGTCTCCTTGGGACATGAATTCAGTTTCAGCTTCAAAATAAAGTCCCCATCCACACGTCACTGTTTGTGAATTAACAGAACACATCTGTCAGTCGTCCTGCTTCCCCCTTTGGCCCAGTTTAGGACACCACAGATTTCCTGTCATAAATTCTTCTCAGGAACAAAAAGAGGAAGTAAATGAAACCCTCGACAGAGCAAAGATGGAGAGCAAACTTCTGTCTGCGACCCGTTGCAAACCCTTTGCTTCCTGTAATGAATATGTACATGACGGAAACGAAAGGTAGAGGTTACATTCATAGAGGTGTTACGACATTTCATGCATTTTAAGAGTAGATATGATGGCCTTGTGCGTTGAATCTTGCAATAACAGCAGCACAATCCTTGTGAGCTCAAAAGGTCAAAGGCAATATTAGCTTGCACCTGGAATGGTTACGTAAGAGAAAAGACAGTGAGAGAGGTGTAAATCTGTCGAAGGCGGAACATGTAGGAGAGTGAAAGGGGGATTACAAATGCACAAAGCATTTATTCCATTTATTCAACACAGCTGATGGACAAGGAAAGTCTTCCAACAAGATATGATACCAAATATTGATCCCTAAACTCATAAGTGAGACTTAAAGTGGAAAATTAGACCTATTTAGTTTTTCATTGAGTAAAAGTGAGGACATCTTTCCCCCTGAGCCCGCTCTGCTCCGTTAGAATGTTTGCACACGTTGCTCATGCAGCTTAATATCTTGAGTTGTCACAATATCTCAGCGCGATATTCAAATCACCAGGATTCCTCTGGGGTTTGGGGAAAAAGGAGAGATAAACGAGATACTCTCTCAGACCCGAGAACTGATTTGAACTGAATTGGAATATTTTAAGTATATTTGTATTTCAATTTCAGACTTATACTACTAACACAAATATTCCAGGTTCCAGGATGTGTTGAGCTGAAATGCCTCCCTATTCCAAACTAACACCCACGACTTTCCCACCAGCCTCTCGGTCTGTGCACGGTATCGCTTGATATTCTATTCCTGAGGAAACGCGGATCCAAATAGTGCCTTTAGTTGTTATGACTGGGATCATACCACATGTGACCTCGGCGCGGAACGAGTCGATTCACAAAGTGCGAACAAATTCCGTGTTAGCTTTGCCCAAACGTCGTGGAGAGGAGAAGCGAGTTGGGAGGACACGTGGAAAACTCCTGTGCCATCTGGTCGCTGAGATCCTATTGTTAGCTAACAGGGGGCATTCCTGTGTACCTGCGGGGGCACACAGACTGAAATAGCTCCCACGTAATCCCAGGCTTCTCCCAAAAACAGGGGCGCTTGTGCCACCCCCCCTCCCTCCCCCCTGCCAGGCGTCGACTGTGCGTGTAGTCGTGCCAAGAATCTCCTCTGCACTACTCTGCGGTGACGGACTGCAGGTATGCTTCAGCAACGCTTTCATCAGGTTGCACGTTACATAATTCACACCTCGGAGCCGCCTCGAAAGCCACATTGAGAAAGAAGACTTTTTAAAAACTGATCTCTATAGTCCAACATTTAAAAGGGTAGGTTGTTTTTTTTTTTAAACTGAGTCAGGTGTCTTTTTGCACTCTTCTGCTTATGGATTCAAGTAGCGGCTCAACAACAACTTGAAAAACGAAGTCTGTTCCAACTGAAACACAAGCGGGAAGTTATTATAGTTAAACGTATCCCTGCCTGTTGAGTTCTGCCTTCTGCTCAGTTGACCAGAATCTGGACAATCAGACACTTCTCGTGGTCTACGTGCCATCTGGGAATTCGACATGGGTGAGATGCAGAAAGAAGGCCTCTGGAGCCATTGTGTGAGGATTAACTCAAGCAGCAGACTGGACAGAAGGCCTGCCGCTCTGTTGATACTGCTGATCCAGAGCCCACCGCTGTGGAACGGCTCGGACCGCAAAGGGCGTAGCGCCGGCCACCCCCACCTGACCCGGTGGGTTTGTGTGTGTGCACATTCGAGAGGGAGATCGCGGGATATTTTATGCTTGTGCGTCCACGTCTATGCGCGGCTCGGCGTTTCCCAGGAGAGGGAGCGACGCCGTCGCGCTTGCATATGTAATGTCGTCGGGATTATGTAACGCGGCAAAACAAAAAGCACCCCAGCCGCTCATATTTGGTGCGTCGGGTGTTTATCCGCGCCGCTTGCGATCACACACCTGATTCCAGTTGACTTTTGACCCTTTTTTGGAACCAAACCCGGCCTTCAAAGCAAAGCCGAGAGAGAGAGAGAGAGAGAGAGAGAGAGAGCGCGTCATGAGGGGAATGAAGTCCAACAAGGCCAGATCTATCTGATGGCATAAAGACGCCAGCCACCTTGTTGTTGCTCCGTTTGGAATTTCCTTTCTCCCGCTCTCTCTCTTTTGGGCCTTTGGTGATCATATCAACTTGACCTCTTGCAGAGCGCAGAGAATGCCCCTCCAGTCCACCGGCAGCGGCAGTAGCGCACACTCGCTTTCATTGTCTTTCCCGCGAGCGTCTTTTCCACGGGTCGGCCGTTGCATAACTGCGCGCCGTGCACTCTGTGGCGCACTGTTGGACCTTCTGTTACCGTCTGTGCTTATTTCCCCTTCTTTCCTTCAGGCGCCAACTGAATTCCTGCACAGATGAAATGTATATAAGCTGGTCTGAAAATCAGGGAAAACCAACACTCTTCTGAAGTATATTCTGAGATCAGGGCATTTTTTCTTCTAAAATCAGCTGCTCCGGAGTAAGGCTCCTTTTCCACTCCCTCCACGGCGAACCCCTCGACCCCGAAGTGTGCTCTGTTGTCAGAAACAACATGTTCTATTGAACCTGACGGCCTCTCACATTGTTTGCTCCATCTGTTTGAAGACGGGTTTTTTTAGGTTGAACAAGGCTCCAAGGAGAGCGGAGACGGTCAAACGCAGACTGGAGGAATCACAAGAAGGCCGCAGGAAATCTGCTCTTCCACAAACATAGCTTTAGGGACGGAATCAGGACAGGCGTTTGCTGCCGGTTTAGTTGAAAGAAAGGCAGCTCATTTTCGTACATATGAGTCACCATGTGCTCAGAGGTGAAAGCTTGAGCCCCACTCGGATGAATCAAATCGAAACCCCATAAAAGTCTCTGTTGACCTCACTGTGAGATCTCTCAAAGTGTAAATGTATGATTGTTTTGTTCATTAATCACCACTTTTAACATCTGCTCATGAAATTAAGTCAGAGCAGTAACGGGGGAAAAAAAACGCCGCCATGGAAACCCGACTGACCGAAGCTCAGTGGAGGCCAACTTTTCTGAGCCCACACGCTGGCTAAGAGAGCTGCATGTGGTTGCTTTGCTCTGGGAGAAGAGGAGAGGATTTCAGGGACTCAAAATGCAAAGTTGAAGGAAATCTTTAGCTTCTCCGTGAGGAAGACGGTCCCAAAAAGTCACGGGTTTTAAGCAGCCGGCGTGTCCCGTCGGAGTGTCCTTGCGTCGTCAATGTATCCCGGCCCGGAGACGCTGTGGATCCTCGCGTTGACAATCTGACCCATTTGGTGTGCGGTGTGTCCACAGGGGAGGCCGTGGAGCCGCTGCCTGAACAGGGCGTGAGCGAGATCCCGGCCGTGCGGAAGCCCAGCAAAGAGACCGCCTGGCTGGGACACAAGGAGAGCGCGGTGCGCCAGCACAGACAGGAGATGAAGACCAAGATGAAGACCAACAACGGGGAGGAGGTGAAACTTGCGCGGCCCAAACAGGTGAGTCACCAGGCGGTGTCCGTTCCACAGGAGGAAAAGCTTGGGATCCGGCTCCTGAGATCATGCAGTTAAATTCCCTTTTTTATTTGTATTTTTCACATTTTAGTGGTTGACGCATATTAACAATAAACATTGATTACAAAATTGGGTTTGTCAGACAGTAAAGTGAATAAAATTTCATTTGTTTCCAGAAATTTGTAACTTGTTAAAAACACTCACACAGTAAAATAAAAGCAGCAAAGGCTTTTCTGTTGACTTGTCACTGTGAAGGCATCGCAGCGGTTTTCCAACCTCTCTCTGAAACCGGTCGACCTCATCGGATCTGCAATACATGGCACAACAATGGCAGTCCGCTTCTGCTAAACGTCTGCAGTGTAAGACTTCCCTGCGCTGCAGAGGGAAGAAAAGAGGAGGTCAGCGTCGCCTCCCTCTGGTGCAGCCGTGGATCTTTGGATATAAGTGTTTTTTATCATTCAACGGCCTTTTACTGCTTCAACCTGAGAGTACATAGTTGAATCAAGAAGTAATCTGGGCACCTAATAATAACTTCACGTCATGGCACAAAGAAAATGCTTTTTTTATCCCTAGTTTCTTTCGCCAACCACTTAAACCAAAAGGACGTGAATCAAATATGCCGCAAAACACGCTCTGTAATGCTGTAAAATCGGTTGTTGTTGTTTTTTTGGCTGTGTGGTGTTGTAAGGTAAATCTGAGGTCACGGGAGAGTTGTTGTTCATTACGGGCAAGAAAACGTGATTCATATGCTCATTACAAAAAGCCCCCTGGGCTTTATTGTGTGTGCGTTTGTGTGCCTTTTTATGTGAGATTTTATGTAGCATATCAAAAAATGTGCTGAGGCCTTGCAATCCCACCTTGGTGTTGGTGTTGCATTTCTTCTGTGTTAAATCTGTGAGGTTTTGTCTTTTGATGTGTAAAAAACCCAAAACCAAAAGCGATGTAAAACATCTGATCTCTCATTTTCCAAAAGAAAACAGTAATTAAGACAAACTCAAATCTCCATGAGCACAGAGGCCGTCCATATAGCATAACCTTGGTTTTTGTTTTTAAGACTCAGTGTCAGCAGGAGCTGGACCAGATCCTGGAGAGGATATCCAAGATGCCCTTCAGAGATAACCGAGGTCCCCTGGAAGACCTGTACGCCCTGCACATCCCCAACTGTGACAAGAGGGGGCAGTATAATCTCAAACAGGTGACTCCAGGCATTGTGGGAAATGGGTGGTGAGCAGAGAGGGTGTGATATTATGCCGGCATCTTATTTCAAATGTATTTATTTAAATACAATGACAAATAAGGGGATCTGCATGAGACACGTGCCAAACTGATATTACAAATAAATGCATATTTGTGTTGCCATCTAAAAATAGCCTGAAAACACGCAGAAATGAACCCAGTTTATTCGTTTCAGTGCAAGATGTCTTTTCACGGCCTGAGGGGCGAGTGCTGGTGCGTCAACCCCCACACAGGCCGACCTCTCCCATCAGCCCCCATTGTGAGGGGCGACCCCAACTGCAGCCAGTACCTCATGGAGCTGGAGCCTGAGCTCCCCGACACGGACCAGATATAAAGTGACAAAAAAAACAAAGAAACTGTAAAGTACTTGGGAACAAAAGAGCATCTGAGTAAGCTATGTATTCTCTTTCATTGTGTAGGTGTCTCTAGCTCATTTGATGACAGTGGAAGTGGAAATCTGAACCACCTAAAGATGGATTGAACAATAGGATCCAGTTTGCTGCGTAGAATGATTTGCTCAGATTAGCTGCGTTATCAGTGTTTTCGGTTGAAAAGTAAAAAGTCTTCCACACGTTTGAGTTTCCGGTGTGTTCGTTGTCGTGGCCTGCAGTTTGTGACGCCTCATTAAAGGATGACGCTATTAAAATGATAATAAATTCAGTGATGTGTTTCAGCACGATGCAAAATTGGGTTTTGGCACTTCAGCAGACATTGGAAACACAATATTATGATTTATGATCCAGGCTCACTTGATATTTTTCACTGTTACTAAATCTCAAGATTTGTCAGTTGGGACTTGAACTACAGTCAGTAGGAAACATCATCTGGTGAACATGAATGGTGCAATGCTGATCCCTTCAATACTTGAACTGACCCGAGACGCCCCATAGTCATGTAGTATGTTACATTATTTATAATGACAGTGTACGCGGAGCAGACCTTCCGGAACACTCCTCTCACCTTCGGACACTCCCCGGCCAGGAATATCTCCGCGGGCAGTTCTGCTTTTGGCGGCAGATGTCAAGGTCAAAGATGTCAGCCCAGAAAAAAAACGGGACTCAACTGAGTTCAAACTATGGGGCAGTAATGCCTTTTTTTGTGAGTACATGAATTTTATTTAAATAGTGATTTTTCATAACAAAAAGGAAAACGAGTACATCAATTACACGCCTGATAAATATTTCACCATAGTGTTCACATTAATCTCTTTTCTTAAAAGGAGAATGCTCAAAGTGTCACCGTGTCGTGTTCACATGTGTGCTGGAATGAAGGGCGAGGCGTCTCAGTGGGAGGAGCTGGCGGCTCCCGATAGGAACGTTACGATAACAACGAATTTGGGGGCATAATTGGATTCACAGAACGAAAAATGTCACCCACCATGCCGATAGACCGAGCGACCTTTGTCGGCAACAACAATCGAAAAACAACAATCACCCAAGAGGCCGATGGGCCCACATGCAAATGGACATTCAAACTGGCGTGCAGCAGAAGGCACTTTGATTTACATAGAAACTCAGCGACCTCGCTCTCCGCGGGACACGGGACACGATAAAACCTGAGAGCAAGGCGCCCGCCGGCCGACGGATTTGCCTGCGCGGCGGCAGCAAGGCCCCTTCGGGTGGAAACACAAACAGCGCAGGGCCCTTTGCATGCGATTTGTGTGCCAAAGAAAGGAGACGCGCCAAATTTGTGCAGCAGCAGCTGGAGTCGGCCGGCCTTCTGGGGAATTTATAATAGAGCTTGTTGTAGTTGAGAACTGTTAGGCCACATACAATACACAGTATGCACACATACACACACACACACACTGTACATACATTTACAAACGGAGGACGCATTTGTCTGGACTTGAAAAAGGAGTCAAATATGTAACCTTTGACAGCATAATAAAGTGTGCTGGTTATGAGGCCTGATGGTGTTGTCACGTTGCGATTTGAGAACAACCATTGAATAATTCATACACATTCTGACGCTCATTCTCCAAAACTGTAAATGGAATTTTTATGATTCTCTTCTTGAGTTTTAAGCAGAAGCGTGACGGAGAGTGCCATCATCTCACTTGTTATGAATAAAAGTTCCTTTAACGTGTGTAGACTTCTGTTATCTGCAGGTCTGCAGACTTTGGTAGATTTGGCTCCACTAGTGAAAACAGACTAAATGCTTTTCTGGCTCTGTGCTGAACACACAAGTATCTAGTTATCGTGCTGATGGCGTGACGTGAAAGTGTGAAGTGTGAAATGTGCCATGACATTTGGTCGGAGGCAGGATTGTTGAAAACTATTGTTTGTTGTGTGAAAAGATGCCACTCACATCCGTATGAAATTCACATGATTAACAATGAATTAAACTTAAGAGAAAGTGTTGATTTGTTTAGCCTCATAGAAAATATGTCTCGAGCAACCAATCAATGAACAACATATTATCATACATATATATATTTATATATATATATAATCCTCTGATCTATGGATATAGAGAGGTGAGCCCAGGGAGCCCCATCAGACCAACGTGTGAGAGCCTTTTAGTTCAGCTCCGCTTTTAAAGAAACGACAACAAAAAGAGACACAGTCCGTCACACCCGACCATGTATAGAAGAACCTGTGCTATAGTTTCCTGATTGGCAGTCATGAAGTGTGCTGGCTTGATTGGCAGGCGTCCCCTCTCACTGGTTGCTGCTGCTGCTGCTGCTGCTCTCGACCTCTTTGCACTGCAGGTCTACGCCAGCGTCGTTGATGCCGGGGATCTTCGTGCCGAACCTGTCCACGCACCAGCAGATCCCCCTCCTCCGACCGCGGGACGGCTTACACTGCAATCACAGGGTTACCAGATAGGGGTCAGGCCCCTGTGGTACTTCTGCTCCGCGGGTCACGTTTCGCCCCCGAAAGCCGAGCTGCTGTCGCTGCAGTGAGGCGGAGCTCTGCGTACCTGTTTGCGCTTGAAGAAGCCCTTCTTGTCACAGTTGGGGATGTACAGAGAGAGAGCCAAGACCCTGGAGGTGTCCCTCATGCTGTGCATGAGATTATCCAGTCTTCTCCCACACGGGCCCTGCACACACACACACACACACACACACACACACACACACACACACACACACACACACACACACACACACACACAGAGTTTGCATGGTCAATATGTGTTGAAAATGGCAGAGAAAGAAAAAAAAAGGTGGCAAATACCTACACTAATGAGTGCTTGAGTAATTTGTTCACACCTTTTTGGCGCATGTGAAAGAGGCGCTGCGGGGCATCGCGGCTGATTTATCAGAACTAGTTTCTTTGTAATGATTCCCCTCAGCGCTTTTAATCTCTACTTGACTTACGAACTCAAGCTCCAGTTTATCCGGGCTGAGCGGGGAGAAGTTCAGGGTGCTGGAGGGTCCCAGCCGGGACAGCTGCATTGTGCGCTCTTTGGCCTGCTTCATGGCTTGGGCCTTCCGCAGCTGGTTCTTCCCATACAACGGCGCCTTGGTTTGGGCCGGCGCGGACTCGGGGACGGGTAGCACGCCATCATGGTGGGACTCTCCGTCTAAAGGGAAAGCAAAGACATGTCTCACCCTGGCACCCAGACCCGTGAAAACACGCTTTTGCACTTGTCATGTGGCAAGCCACCATGAGGCAGCCCATCTTTCATCCGTGCACAACCACGCCTCTTTGCTACATTTCAGGGCTGGCCCACCCTCCCCCGTCCCACCCTCTGTTCACACGGCCACAAGGGTCAGAATAGATGGCTGTGGCCCAAAAACTGATATTCCACTTAATTCCTAGCTGTAGATGTGCATTGGCCTCGTTTGTGTCCTGGGCCACAGCTGGCCCATTTCCACTGCGATGTCACGCACTCGTTTCCGTTTCATTATGGAAGATTGCAGATTCTGCTCGTAAACCTTTCCGTTTCTCTCCTAGCGTGATCGCTAAGCTACTAAGCCATCTTGGCAGTGACACAAGGTCGTGTTGCAAGTGACGGTTAAAACCGTTAAAACCTGCCGAGCCCCTCGAATCCCCCCGCCCCTCCCACCCCAAAGAGGATGATGAAGATGATGTCATCCATCCACATAATGACGGGTTCTTAGAAAAAGAACCAGTTTCCTGCTGGAGGAGGATGGGGAATGCACTGCTGTTTTTTCCTGCAGAGAAAACTGAGGCAGATCAGCGAATCAAGTCTTCACTTGCTAATCCTCGACTTTGTCTAATCTGACCTGTGCCGACTGATCACATCTTTCGCTTCTTCAAGTTTGAACTGCGAGACATGGGGACTCATGCAGAGCCAAATCCTCGCAGGTGTAAGTGACAAGAACCTCCTTGTCAAGGACTTTTTCTTCCTCACTTCGTCTGGGAAACTCACATAAAATCTGTCTGGAAAAGGTTGCAACTTGAGTGCATGCATTTGCAAACATGCCAAAAAGGCCTGTACTGTTTTTTGCATCTTTTATCATGGTTTGAATGAAAACTTGTGTCACTGCATTACAATTGTGCAAAATGCACACATGCATAGTGATGCGTTGACGCAACGGTGTGCTAATACACTGTTTAACTCATTTTGAGAACCGACAGCACATTTTAGGAATGCGCAGTGTGCAATCACGTTTGTCGATCTTTTCCACTGTATTCACCAGCGTCCACATGGGTTTGGTTTTAATTTCGGTGTTGAGAAAGGAGATGCAGAGTTAATGGAGAAGCTGGCCCACGGGCGGACAGATGGGGGATCAGTAACCCACCCTCAGCCTGCGTTCTGCTGAATCACTGCACAGCCTGGGCCCGGCCTGCAGCGGCCGGGATGCAGAGAGTGAGCGGGGTAGGGGGGAGAGGGGGAGGCAGACAGATGAAGGGACCACGGTGGGACTAACAAAGCGGGGTGGGAGAGAGCAGAGGAGTGTGTGGGAAAGGGGCAGATTAATAAAAGATAATAATTGCTCAGATGCAGAGCTGTTGTGAATTAATTTACTCTGATGGTGAATGCAGCCAAATACTTTAAAGACGGACTAAAATACATTTCTGTGTTTCTTTTTTTATGTCTATTGTTATTGAACTTTGCGCTAAGCAACACAAAAAACTGTGCTTCCTTGTCTGACGCAGCCAGCGGGGTTATTTAGGTTTCCAGCTTTGCTCCTCAACCAAAACTCCAATCTGAACAAACACTGCACAGGTGAAACTGGGAGTGGGGGTGGGAGGGAGAAGAAGGATAATGGAGTGTAAACGATGAAGAGGGACAGTAGCCAGGCAGGGAAAGAGGAGAAGAGCCAGTTTGGTGGGAGAGAATAGAGAGACGGAGACAAAAAGGTGGGTTAGGTGTGGGAAAGAAAAACAAACAGGTGGTGAATGTAGAAAACTAGAGATGTGCAGAGGAACGGACAAAAAAAAGGCTATAAGACAAAAAAAGGAAAAAAGAAAGTAAGAAAAGAGGAAAAAAATTGTTTTTCACACATTGAGGAGAGTTAAACGTTTCCCACAAAGCGCAGACACAGCGACTGTCCCTGACCCGCCATTTAAAGAGGAGCCAAAAGGAGTCTTGCAGAGCTCCACCTGTAATCTTCTCTCTTGTTTTATGTCGTCTGGGGGCCCCGAGGCGACGGGCCTCTCACACAAAACCTACTCATTTACAGCTCATAGCCCCGATGTCTATTCAAACCCAGATGACAGGTTGATGGAAGCTCTGCACTAATTGTTGAGAGAGGTCACAGGGTCAAGGCGCACAGGGCCTTTTGAGTTGTGTGCCCCGGTAAATGACAGGTGTCAGCCCGTCTCAAAGAGGGCACCGAGTTCACTTCCGTCAGCCTCTCAGGCTCCCAAAGAGCCCGAGCAGGGGGACCCGAACTAATGCCCCAACTCTTGAAGACATGGATGTTAGAGTAATATAGAAAGCTCTATTTCTTTTAGATCGGTCGCGGATGACCCACGTTCTGCAATGCAAATGCAATGGAAACACAAGCAGAGTGGATGAGGAGGAGGTTTACAGTGACTGTGGGGATTCAAACGTGCACGGTTCCGTTAGTGACCCGCTTAATTACAGCGCCTGTGATCCGAACCCGCCGCCTCTCCGCCGGCCTACCTTTGGACGTACGCAGCAGTTTGTACAACTTCTCGTTCCTGCACACGCCACGGCCGTGCAGGAGCGCGTGCAGCGGCTTCTCCTCGCCGTTCTTGGGCAGGCAACGAAGCCCGCGCGTGCACGGCCCGGTGTACACGCCGCACGGCTGGCCCTCTTCCAGCGCGCACGTCAGGCAGCAGCCGCAGCCGGGCTCCTTCACCAGCTGACAGCCGACCGGCACCGGCGGACACATGGACTGGGCTTTCTGGTCGCACGGCTGGCACGGCACGTAGGACGAGCCGCAGCCGGTGATGCTGAGCAGGGGGACCACCAGGAGGGAGACGCCGAGCAGCATGGCGCGCTTCTTGTTTGAACAGCAGGCTAAACTCTTATCTTGTGCTGAATCCCTTCTTTGCAAAACCAAAACAAAAAAGAAGAAAAAAAGACTGAAGTCTGAACGTTCAGGGGAGACGCGGTGGGGGTGGCGTTGCATGCACAGGTGCGTTGCGCGCTAAAGTCCCCAAATGTCAGTCCATCCGCAAACCGCTAAACCTGTTACTGCGGCTTTCCCTGTCCTGTTGCTAAAAATCATAAAAATCAAAAAAAGGAAACAAAATATCCAGACTCCACGGTTCTCCTCCTTCAGCGAGGTCCCGGTGCCGTTGTTTTACGCACGAGTTGATCGTCTCCAAATGAGACGAAACGCCCGATTCCCGGTATCACTCCCTCTGTTGGTTATCTCACCAGCACGGTTAGAGAGCAAAATGTATAGTCGGAGGCTTTGGGCTTGCCTTTAAAAAAAAACATTCAGAAGGCGAAGCATACAACGATGGGTATGTCAAACAACGTTTGGAGGGGGAGGCGCACTTGTCAGCTCCGTGCGCTGCGATGCGGATTTCACAGGGCGGGTGCCGGCATGCCTCCAGATCTGCCAGATACGATGCGATGCTGCTGAAGGCGACCGAATACCAAGCAGTGGCCAATTGGAGGAAGACGTAAAGTTGTTTCTTCCCAGGTCACTAAACAAGAATTCGATTTAAATCGCTGATGATGAGGTCGTTTGAATTACAGTCCCTAATCCATTTAGCCGGGTTTAAATGAGGAAAGAAAAGTTGTTTTAGTTTTTACAGTGTAAAACAATATCCTCTGCTAGAGGGGGAACAACTTTTTTGGGGGGGGGATTTAGAGATTGACATTAAATAGACTTCCTACTAGACTTTAATGGCGATCGTTTCCATTGAGAGGAAACATTAGTCAGCGTGTTACTGGTCCCTTCATGAGGTTAAGTCCTGGTGCTACACTTTTCCCCTCGTGTCATAGTTCAGATTTAGTTCGTTGGGATCGGAATACTTCTTAACTTAACCTCAATAACAGAATTCAGATATGTTCCAGTATTCACTTCTCCCATGTGCAGCTACCAGATTTTCTCTCCCGGTGTTTATTCCAGAAATAGTTAAACGGCTCCAAACAACATTTAAGACTTTCAAAGTCAAGAGTTGGTTCCAACTTGAGAAACCAGAAGGCTTTTATGATTCCCCTCAGATATCTTTGTGTTGCTCTCTCTTGCCAAAGTACTGTGGCTTTAAATATTTGTGCGATGCTGTCTTATCCATAACAAATGCAGTCTCCAATGATCTGCACAGGGACTGTAAAAAAAAAAAGGTCCAGATCGGTGCAAACTGCACTTGGGCCGACATTTTTTTATGACCCCGCGAGGTCAGTGTTCAGAGAGATAAGTGGTCAGCTCTCATGGACTGCAACAAAACGCTCATAACTCACTTGATGTTTTGGCAGATACTGTTATATATCTGAAGATTGTAGAAGATCTGCGTGTTGTGGTTTTAGTATACAAAGTCCAAGGGGAGTTGGTTTAGGCTCCAGTCATCTTCTTGGAAAAGCGCTGTGTATACTTCCCTGATTATTTGGTTTTATTTGCCTCTTTGTTTACATCCTGTTTTTCTTGATCTTGTTTTTTTTTTAGCCCTTTAATGAGGTAAATTCAACGTCCGTCATTACTGAAACTGACCTTGAAAGACCCACAGTGATCAAAGCTTCTATTTCTCTGCTGCGTTGGGTTTCACTTCCCCTCTCACCCTTCACCCCCATTCACAAAACTTAGTCAACAAACTCTTGACAGATCATTCGACCCGCGTTGGCCGTCGCCCTTGACCTTCGCGCCGCATCAGGTGTCAGTTGACGTCACAGGTGTCGAAAAGGTCGCCTCCTTTCATTTCCCTCGCCTACCTGTCCAGATCTGAAGAAAGAGCGCCATTGACATTGTAAATCTGTGTGACACATCTGTCTCTCTCGGGTTCCCAAGAAACACACACCCCCCCTCCTCCCTCCTCCCTCTCCAGCATCATCCTGAGATCCCTCTAAACATTTACAGTCCATAAACTGAGGATTTATTACCCAGTGGCATAGTTGCAATCCGAATATTTTTAAACTCGTTTTGTTTTTCGCAGATGTGAGACCGTGAGAAGTTTTGGTCCAAAGGCCGCTCGGCTTCATAAACCCAGACGCTGCGTCCTGCGAAGGTTGGGTTTCCTGTGTGGCTTGGGTCCAAATCGTTTGGTGCATATGGGCCAAATGGTGCACAGCTGGTGGATGTAGCTGCCCTCCACAGAGGGGAATGGTTCAGGATTTCCTCGGAAGTTCAGACTGGGGATAAATGGAAGGTGTTAACACTTTGGGAGTAAGAATAAGAATTCCTGTGAAGCTCTTTTTAGTGTCCGCTGCAAGTATTGTCGGCACGAGGTTGCGCCTGTTTTACCGCTCTCATCCCAGCGTTACTATGACACACAGAGTAAGAGCAGGTTTCAGGTCCCATTGTTCAGGTAAGACTATGCTACTGACCTTTGACCTCCCTGTTAAAACAAGTCAATGCAACAGCCCCTTTAGTCTCTGTTTCCTGAATACAAACCATGGTATTTGACTGCAAAAAGCGCACGCCAATCTTATTTAAAAAAACGTCTCAAACGGAACATTCAGAAAAGGTGACGCACATTTTGTTTTTGTATACTGATCTATTGTTTCCATTGAAAAACACTGAAGCTTCTACTGCAGTTGTTCTAGACGTGATAACGGAGCTGGAGTAAACTCAATGACATGATCAAAAGCAGAGAACAGGAGCAACCTCAGCATAAAAGGGTCCATAGCGCCGTTATAACGTTTATTGGTTTTGGGCATCATGGATGATTTTACTTCCCAAACTCTTTAAAGATCCTGAACACCATTTGGCACTTCTGGCTAAAAGTCTGCGCTCATATTTTACTGTAATTACTGACTGCAGGAGGAGAAGAAAGCACAAGATGAAGCATAGTGGATTGGTGCAACATCTGTTTCAATGCGATTTCAAAGTGATTTATATTTTACCCATCTAGAAAAGTCATTTACATTCCGTCTGTGTGAAGTTTAAACTAAATCTAATGCAATAACCCACAACTGATTTCTTTACTATGCATTAGCTTGGAGCTGCTGCTAGTTATCGCTCCAACTGTATGTGGATCAGCGGCGGGCGTGACTGATGTGACACACACACACTTGCATGACACAGTCAGCGCTTACCGTAAACAACAAAGCCAAGTAAACCGCTGGAAATGTGCTGAAGCAGCACGCGTCACGTCGTCCCCCAGACGGGTTAGTTCCCAGAATACTGTGGGAACCTGATTTCCTGACACAATTAAAGGAGTCTGCACTGGATAAATTGGGACTGAAACTCCAAGCGATGCAAGTCGGTCAGTGTTCTGACCTACAGGTGGAGCTCATGGGCGTGGAGCCCAGCATGTTTCCCACAAGGCATGCTGGGACAAGAATTACTGCGAAAGTCCCGGGGAAAAAACACCCAAACGCCCGGGTCACGGCCGTACTTTCAGATTTCCACTTCACACGTGGGAAGTAAAGTGGTACCACATCAATAGCCGCACAGCGTGAGTGACAACAACAACAACGTAGTGTGCTGTCGGCAGGCTGCGGTAAAGAAAACAAATCCTGTGCCAATCCACTTTTATTTCTACCCAAAATTCGCTCTTGCTGTAAATTGCCCGGCCCAAAACGTGTTAGGATGACTCTTATCCCCATGACGAAGCAGCGGCAGTCACCGACACCAAACTGCACGTTGGGCAGCGCACGTTTGGGAAAATGTGAACCGCAACTCAGCCGAGCGAGTGTGATCTGGATGTAACACTGTAGCGCGAGGTGGGGGGAAGAAGCGTTTGAGGAGAGCAGCAGGCCCAAGGGTTCCATGAAGGAGGAGCTCACAGGAGGCAATACGTGAGATGGCAAGTTGGTTAAAGCCTGGTCAGCACATCTGTGTGGCCCTGGCAACTGTGGATGGGACAAAGGCAGATCATTGCATCCAGATGTTGGAGTAGCATTCGGCGCGTCCGTGCCATGCGATTCTATTCAAGGAGGGCCTGATTTGTGAAACCTGAATCTTCAAATCTGTCGGCGAATCTTCCATCTTTGGTGAAGTGAACTGCTTTCGAATGACTTACAGTCAAGCAAAGCTTTTGATTCGATCCATAGCGAGCGCGCTGCCATGCGGCGAGGACATCTGCGCCGACCTCTCGCTGCAGCGGTGAGCACTGGCTCTCAGCACCTGCAAAGCACTGAGATGGAAACTAGCAAAACATTTCTTGGAAAACAGGATTTTCAGTCATCAGTCATTTAAAAAAAGCATTTAAAAAAAGCTTTCTCAGAATCCACGGTTTCTTCTCGTCTGCAGTGTGGCATGCGGAACATCTCCCAAGCAAATACGGATGGACTTGGCAGGAGGCGACTCTCGGGGGAACCGTTGCGCTACAGTGCGCCGAGGCTTCAGCCCCCTGCTGTGGGCCACAGCAGTTCGGACCTTTCGGTCACGCTGTCCTCTTTCCCTCTGGCTCGATGGTTGGCTTCTCTGTCAGAGGGGCTTTCCCAGAATAAAGTAACACGGTGGTTTTTGGGGTCAGTTTAGCTTCTCCAGCTCACCTCCTGGCCTCGTTACGGCCACACACACACACACACACACACACACACGCACACACACACACACAGACACGGACGGATCGTTTGGAAGAGACACACGCTGCTCTGTGTTCAGCCTCCGCTCCCCCGACGGATCTTAGTGCAGTTGTTTTTTTGTGTGTATGTTTAAGGGCCATCAAGAGCATTGTGAGTCTGTGCCTCGTCCCATTTGATTTCTTTTTAGTTTTGTGAGAGCAGCTGCAATCAGACGATCCTCACCAGGTGTTAACTTGCAAATGAACCACATGATATCAATTAACGCCAATTAAAAGGAGTTCTTAAGACCTGGATGTGAATTTTGGGGATTTTGAGTTTCTGCAGTTTCTTAATTGTCTTAATGCTTTGCATATGTAGCATTTGTTTCAATGTGAAGCCCAGGATGAGAAATTATCACCAAGGCAACCGCTAATGAGGATCTCAATTGACAGCCTCCATCTTCAAACCGGTCGCGACCACAAATAACCAGAGGCTGTGTCCTCACAATGAAGACCTTTGTGGCCCTTATTCAGCGCGATAAAGCAACTGTGCAATCAGGTTAATCACGTTGGTTCCTGTCCCGATTAAACCAAGTCATTTTCTTTGAAACATTTGAATCATTCCTTGAAATTTGCTGACTATGTGATGCTGACACGGTTTGCTGCAACCTTCAATCAAGTAGTAAATATGTCAGTTTTGAATGCTCATAAAGCAACACCCCTAATTTAATCTGGTTTGGCTGCAGCATGGCATTACGAAGGGGCAAATCCTTCGACTTGACAGAGAAAAGAATGTGCTTCGAACTGAGAAGCGCGTTTTGGAGGCAGCTTCCGAAGCCGTCTGCTCTGACATTGCCACACGGAAGTCCTTATATACGCTCATAGTTTCATAGTGCACAAACATTCCTCTCCACAT